TCGCACTCTCTTCATTATTCTTCTTTAAATATACAACAACTCGTTTTGGCACCGAACTACGTGATGTCGTCAGGGAGCTGCCACGTCATTGCTCGTATGTTACGGCAAGGACACCGTCGGTTTGGGCTACGGGGCACGTCGAAGGCCGGTTGGCGCTAGTCAGTAGCCGATGCAGGACACTGCGGTACATGGTGTTGTCGGCAGTGAGCTTGGACTTGAGCGAGAGAGGCGCTGAGGTTGGCTATAAATCATTTTGATGGCTGCTCGAGCAAAGACTCCCCTCGTACGCCTCTACGGCGACCGCGCTCGAAGGGTAGCTGCAATTCCATCGAGCTTCGAGCAAGAGGTCCTTTTACTGCACGCATTCTCAAGCTGTTTACGAGCAGATAGGCTCCATTGTGTGCTCGTAACCAGCAAGCGAGAAGACATCAACACCATCCGGCCGTCAAGTGTGCTCACTGCGTCACGGCAATATGCAGGTGGCTGCTGCAATGTTGGACGCCTACACGAGCGAAAGCTATGCATGCCCAACTCCCACGTGGCTGCTAGCTGGAAGAAACAACGTAGTGGACCCTAAACGGTCCAACGGCCCACGGATGAACACGCTGCAGAAGACCGCGTCGCGCCACCCGCAGAGCAACGTGCATGTAAAGCACACAGTATCGACCCTGCACGAAGGGCGTAGTCAGGCGGACAACGAGCGATGCAACAACGAACGAGACTACGTGCGCTCTACTCGTAAATTGCGTTAATTCTTGGGTGTTGGCATTGCCTTGATGCCAGTGCCGGCGACGAAGCCTTCCTCTACAATGATAGCATAAGCCTCGGTGTGCAGTCTGGTGGCGCAGCGTCGTACTCTCGCGCTTGCCCTCGAACGACCGGGCGCGGCCTGTCTTGTAGCTCTTTTCGTCAAAGCCAAGCTTCTCGAGGTTCTCGGGCTGCATGAGACCCCTACGCATTCCAGCTCAGCGACTAGTCGAGAGGTAGCTGCAGCGCTACTTGTCCATGCGGCACTGAAGGTACTGCTGCGAGAGGTGCTTGCAATCGATGTGGTTGTTGCTCTTCTCGCGGAGGCACGCCAAGTAGACCTGCGCAAGCATGAGCAAGAGCACATAGCCACGACGTCTACCTTGATCTGCTCTTTGCATTCGCCGTAGTGGTCCAGCGGGAACGCGCCCTTCTCCGGCGGCCGGGTCGTCGTCGCAGCGCCACCAAACGCGTTCATTGTTGCGAGCTTCTATGGCACGCGCTCCGAGATTGCACATCCGGATACGCGGCCAACCACCGCCGCGCCGGACTTCCACGGAACCGACATGATTGTCGACCTGCACGCAACGCTACCTCATTTCTGTATACGCTCTGTCGACGGCGTTTTCATCAAATCTTATCATACAACGAGGTTAATATTTTCAACAAATGGCGTGATTTTAGACGAAGGAAGGACTTGCTGTTAGCAGGTCCAACCTGCCGGAGGCTCTGGAGCAACAATAACACTCGACGATCGAGCTATGAATCCTAGATGAAGATATAAGATTGATGACCGCCTGTGCTACGAGGCAGGCGACCCAGTGGCTCGCGTTCGAATGTCCTGTGCGCTTGTCAACTCAAGAGGATCCAACGTGTCAAAATTCGCCAATCAAATCCGACCTCATTTTTCGATCCATGGTCGCCTTTCGCCTCTTGATGCTGGCGGCGGTTGTCGCCGGCGCAGTACCGAGCGCATGCACCTTTGAGAGCAGCTACCCGCGGCGGTACGCCGTCCAGCACCTCGACGGCGCAGTCCTGGACGTGGACGGCCAGCTCGACGACGCTGGCTGGGCCAACGTGCCGTGGTCCGAGCCCTTCGTCGACATTCGCGGCGAGACGTTTGCGGCGCCGTGGTTTCAAACACGCATCAAGATGCGCTACGACGACGGATTCCTCTACGTTGGCGCGCACATGGAGGAGACAGAGGTGTGGGCCAACGTCACGACGCGCAACGAGGTCATTTTTTACGACAACGATTTCGAAATGTTTGTCGACGCGACGGGCTCGACGCACAACTACAAGGAGTTTGAAATGAACGCGATCAACACGACATGGAATCTCCTTCTCAACAAGCCGTACCGCGACAATGGCCACGAGAACAGCACGCGCGTCGACCCGCGCTTTGGCTTTGACTTGCTTCCATTCGGCCTGCGCTCGGGCGTGTACATGAAAGGGTCGCCCAACCACCCGAGTACGATCGCGACGACAAACGATGACCGGATATTGATGTTGCAGTAGACCAACGGCTCAAGTATTGGACGGCCGAGGTCGCGCTGCCCCTTGCCGGCCTTGTGGCCGGGACGACGGCGCGCGTGCCGCCGACCGATCACAGTTTTTGGCGTATCAACTTTTCCCGTGTCGAGTACATTGTGCAGATTGTCGACGGCCACTACGAGAAAATTCCGGGACTCAGCGAGGACAACTGGGTCTGGAGTCCCCAGGGCCAAATCGCCATGCACATGCCCGAGAAGTGGGGCTATATTCAGTTCCAACGCCACTCGCCGCTGTCGCCCGTGCCCATGGACCCGGCATGGCCTGTCCGGTATCTGGCGTTCCAAGTCTACTACGCCCAAGCCGCCTACGTTGCAGCGCACGCAGTGTACGCGTCGAGCCTAACGCAGCTCACACCCTACTTTGGCAGCAGCCACGACGTCCTTGCGTGCATCGAGCTCACGCTTCAGGTAACGTTATGACGAAATGCTTTGCGCTCTATTTTGATGGCGCATGGGCAAAATAGCTTTCAGGTCACGGGTATGAGGCTGTTGTTGCGTCCCGCAAGGCGACAGAGAGCGTCGCCCGCATCACGCACGAAGGCTACCTAACAGTGACCTAGCTCCGTGTGCGACGCAACACGACGAGTCGATGTGAATAGCACACCGATTACTAGCGGCCTTGGGATTAATATTGAGTACTGCACGCGCAGAGCGCATAATACCAAGGCCTCTGTAGTCTTGACAACACCAGCTTCAAGCAAAACCCTGTGAATGTGCACTATATTTGTAGTACTTTGATTACGCTTCAAGTTGTAGACCGATCGTTTCTGCAACCCCAGCGACTGGCTCTGAGCCAGGGGTAGGGGAGATGGATTGCGCATCTCGTTTGTGCCGTCGAACCGAGCCCATCATCAACCGTCTCATTGATTGCCGATCCGGCGACTGGACCAAACACGCGTCGAACGTCATTGCGATCTTTCACCATTTCAAAATAGTCTTTGTCTACAACGTATCGATCATGACCACGATCACGCCGACTCAAGCGGTCGCGGTCGCCAGTGCCCTTCTTTACGCCAAGTACTTTGCCGTGTCTATTGTCAGCGCCAAAAAAAAGGTTGCGACTGGGAACCGCGCCCCCGAAGACACGGCTGCCGAGCCCGGGAAGCCACAGTCGTTTGGCCTCGCGACCTCAGCAAACGAAGGCACGGGTCTCCTCTTGGCGTCGGACACTGCCGCCGCGATCGAGGACATTCGCTGGCAGCGCATCCTTGCCAACGATGTCGAGAACATTCCACTCGGGCTCGTGTTGGCGTGGGGTGCTGCGACGGCTGGGGGCAACGCGACGGTCACGGTCACGGCGGTTGCAGTCTTTACAGCCGCGCGTTTCCTCCATACGATCGCATACGCCAACGGTTGGCTCTACCCTCGCATCACGGGCTACACCATTGGTGCGTTCAGTCTCTTTACGCTCGCTGGGAACGCTGTCGTCGGCGCCTTTGCGTCCTGAGCCAAGATGTGGGATTATCGATTAACTATCCGAATAGCAACCTCGCATTATTATTGTGTTTTGCGTTTCGTATTGGAGCTTCACTCCAGCAGCGCCACGTCTTATTCGTTTTGCAAGGGCCCGCTAGAATGGATATATGCTCGTCGAAACGCTTTGTGTCTTTTCATTGGCTCTCATATTTATTTTTGTCCAATCATCTTTTAGTGAGATCCTCAGCTTGCCGCCGCTGTGCCACACGATCGCTCGAACTTGCATTGAAAATGAAATCGCTTATACTTGGCCCCGTGATAGAGATAGCTTTGGCGAGCACAGCATGCCATCTCGTGTCGGTGTTGCAGGCGCACAGCCCGAGATGTGGTCGATACCATATCGTTTTTTAATAGTGGCATATGCCACAAATAATCACAACGGATACACGCGAAGTGGGCGCGGGAACACTCGATACAAGCCCCTCACCCTTTGCCCACACCTGTGCACTTCACATGAGCACCTCACATGCGTGGCAAAGCTGAGTGAACTGAGCGATAAGCGAGCTTGACTGTCTTGGGACTGTTTACGTATGCGATTGCTGCCAGCTCCGACACTGCATGGGCCGACAGCATGAAAAACGAAATATCGATGCACGAGACGAGCCAATCAAACCCCCGTAAAAATCGAATCCAAGACTGAACGTGGAGCCTGTCGAGGATGCGTCATGCCTGTCCGATGGCCACGTCGCCACCCACTGCACCAGAGCTGCACCAGAGGCGTCGACATCACTTGCTACAGTATCAACGTTCTCGTCTGTTCCAGGGTGCTCCCAGTTTCAGATTCTGCGGAACGCGTCAACGATCAACATGCCAGGACCGTCGCCTTTCCAAGCCATTGCGATCTGCAGCACGCTGCTCTACGCCAAGTACATTGCCGTCGCGCGCATTAGTGCCAAGAAGAAGTTTATCGCTGGCAACCGCGCACCCGAAGACGAAGGCTTCCGCCCCGGTATGAAGCAGTCGTTTGGCCTGTCGTCGTCCGAGGCCCTCTCGCCCAAGGAAGTCGCGGCCAAGATTGAGGACCTGCGCTGGCAACGCATCCTCGCCAACGACGTCGAGAACATCCCGCTCGGCCTCATCATGGCGTACGGCGCCGCGACGACCGGCGGCAACGCGAGTGTGACCGTCGCCGCCATCACGACCTTTACGGCCGCGCGCTTCCTCCACACGATCGCGTACGCCAACGGGTGGCTCTACCCGCGTGTCGCCGGCTTTGCTGTTGGTGCGCTCAGCATCTTTGTCCTCGCTGGCAACTCGATCGTCGGCGCGTTCACGAACGACCATCGCGCGACCGCGTAGATCGCTGTATCTCCTTTGAATCGACTTCATTTTAACCCATGCATGTGTATGAGTCGGCGGACAAGGCGAGACGAGTGGGCTTGTGGGGCATTGTCGTGCAGCTGACCTGACCTTCATAAGTCAAGGCATCCTGCCCTGGGCCCAGTCACATTGTCGGTGGGGCATCTCGGACAGCAGACGCATTCTGCTGGCGTTCAGACGTGAGTGCACACACCGTGTCTCGTTATCGCCAAGTCTCGGCCATGGTGCTGCAGTATGAGCTTGAACTTGCCGCTTTGCATGGCCACTCTGTTAAAATCCAACACTATTTAATGTGCTATTTAAACATAAATAGTGTATACTGGGGAACAAGGCGACGAAGACAACAAGAACAACGAGATGGCGGCCAACCGACCCAAGTTCAAGAGCAGCCTCGCTGCGTCGCTCGCCACGGACGGCAACGAGAAGGACCACGCGCCCAGCGGCCGGGGTAAGTCGTCAGGCCGCGACCGACCAGCCAAGCAGCCATCGATGGACGAGCATGATGCGCCCAAGACCCACGAGGCGCGGACAAAGAAGCGCATGGTCTACGCGCCCAAGAAGGACGTGACGAAGGAGGCGACACCTTCGGAGGCGCCGCCGACCAAGTTCCGATCGAGCTTGATGGCGTCCGTAGACACGGTGACAGAGCCCAAGGCCGTCGCTGTCGCGTCCGAGCCGTCGCCGCCGGCCAAGACGCCCTTCAAGTCGTCGCTCATAGTGGCGGCCGGCAATGACGACAGTAGCGCGCCCAAGACACATCGACATGACGAAAAGACGTATCGCGAAGCCAAGCCGCGCTTCAAGTCGTCGTTGCATGCAACCTTGCAGGAGGCCGAGGCCAAGCCGGCGCGTAATGACGGGCCGCGCTCTAGCTTCAAGAAGCGCGACGTATCGATTGAGCGGCAGCCACGCGATCGAACGGTCACGCTCGAGCGACAGAGCTCTCAGGCAAGCAGCCATGACGGGAAGAAGCGTACGCCGAGCGCACGATGCTGCTGTCCATTCTGACCCCTTGTGTAGCGTCGATTCTGTCACGAGTCGGCCCGAAGCACACCTCTACAGACGATCCCCGCGGCCTCTCTCGGTCCAGCTCCCGCTCTTCCATGGACGACGCGCCGCCACGCGAGGCGCGACGCGACCGAAGCAATAGCGGTAAACGGGACAGCGACTCTTCGCGGCGCAACATCGAGTCACACGCACCGCCGCCGCCGGCACCACTCGCACGAAAGACCTCATTCGAGAGCCGGGGGCCCGCGCTGCACCGACAAGCATCTGCGGGACCTGCCGTCCAGCGGCCAGCCCAAGCCCCGTCCCCCGAAGTGCGTAAAGGTACATATGACACCTTGTCCGTTCGCGTCATACCGCAGCAATTAGTGACATTGACACGCACTGTGACGGACGAGCAGCCGCAGTATGCGACGCTGCGAGAACGGCTGCAGGCCCGCGGCGCCATGTCGGTCGAGAAGCCGCGCAGCAGCTTTGCAGCATCATCGTTCGACAAGCCGAGGTCGGTCGAAAAGCCCCGCGGCGAGTCGCTAAGTGAGAAAGAGAAGCGCACAAACGACTACTACGCCAAGCTCCAGAAGGAGACCGCGCCCAAGCCATCCGCGCCGGTCTTCAAGTCGTCGCTCATGCAAAGCATGAAGTCGAGTCTCTCGTCGTCGCTCGCCTTAAGCATCGCACGCGAGCCCACGAAGCCGCTCGAGAAGATGCGCTACTCGTATCTCGAATTGCTGAGGTAGACAGGGGCCATTCTCTCTTTGCCGATAAGATATCTTTGTAGCTACAAGCGCGAGTACCCCAAGCCGGCCGACTTGACCGCCGACATGACCGTCATCACGATGCCAGCGTCACCGCGCGCGCTTGCGCGGTCAGCAAAAGGCTCGTTCGCGTCGCGCGACCGTAGCTCGTTGCGCCGAGGCACTGCGTCGCAGCGGCCATCTGCGTCCCATGGTCTGTCATCGTGACTCGTGATGGCTCAGATCTGACAGATCGTAGGCAACAATGCTGGCAACGGCCGCCGCGAGCGCGAGCGCGACTACGGTGGCAAGAAGGGCGGCAAAGGGCGCCGCGGTGGACGAGACGTCGCGCCGCCGCCGCTTCTCGATGGACCGTACGAGCCGTTTGTCAAGTCGGAGAAGCGCTGGGTGCCATCCAAAGAAAAGGTCGTCGTTATCGACGACTCGGTCGCGGCCACGGTCAAGACTCTCCTCAACAAGCTCACGCGTGAGCTCTTTGAGAAGCTCACGCTGTCGTTTTGCGAAATTCCACTCACGTCGTTTGGGGTGCTTCGCACCATCGTTCGCATGATCATGGAGAAGGCGCTGGACGAGCCCAACTTTGCCGAGGTGTACGCCGACCTCTGCGCGCGCCTTCACGCCCACACGCTCGCCAACGGCGCCTACAAGTTTCTGCACCCGGTGCAGCACGCCACCAGCAAGGTATTCGATGTTGCAGCCTTCGTTTGTGCTCATGTGCAGTGCTAGAGCTGGCTCTGGACGGCCATTTCGAGCCCGTCGTTTCCGCCGTTCTATGGTCCCTACGAGAGGTAGCAAGTGAGACAGTGGATGATGGTTGATTGCGTGTCGAGTAGTGTCGACGCGTGCGTGGCCGCGCCGCCGTCGAGCGACCCGCCTGTCGCGGTGGACGAGCTCAACGTGCCGTCGTTCTACTGCAACGACACCCACCTCTTTGCTATTTGCACCAAGCGCGCCGGCGCCGGCTACTTTGTCTCGGCCAAAACCCGCGACTCGCTGACCGAAGACGAACTGCTGCTCGGTAACTTTCCTTCGGGTACGTTCTTGGGGTGTTTAGGGCTACGATACAAGTATGAGATGGCGTAGCGGACGCTGCGATGAAGGCGGCTGTCAAGTGCACAACGTTCAAGCGCCTTCTTGTGACGCGCTGCCAGGACGAGTTTGACAAATGGGTACATCGCCACCTCTGTCACGGACGGTCGCGGACGCTCGTATGACGTAGAACGTGGCCGACAAGACCGTGGCGCCGACGACCGAAGAAGAAAAGCACCGTGCGGCGCTGGTACAAGCCTCTTCCTGAAGCAACGTTTCCTGAGCCATGTGGCGATAGGTGGCCAAGCGCGCCAAAGCCCGCATGCTTGGCAACATGCGCTTCATCGGCGAGCTCTTCAAGGTCGAGCTCCTCGCGGTATGACGTCATGTGCATGACGAGGACGCGACCGTGTTGGTAGGAAAACGTGGTTCAAACGTGCTTGCTCAAGCTCCTCGGTCTTCGCCTCGTGACGACCGAGACGCAGGGCATTGCGCTGCAGACGCTTCGGTGCACATTCGTCTTTGCATGGACTCGCTGACGTAATGGCGTAGCATGCCGGACGAGGAAGAGCTCGAAGCGCTCTGCAAGATGCTTGCGACCGTCGGCAAGAAGTTTGATCATGACGGCGTCAAGACGGTCATGAATGGCATCATTGTTCGTCTCGTCGAACTGTCCGAGACGCCGTCGCTGCCGTCCCGGACGCGCTTTCTGCTCAAGGACCTTCTCGAGACTCGCGACTACCAATGGGTGCCCCGGCGCAAGGTACTCGCTGCTTGTACAATCGAAGAGACGACACGATATGACTAGGAACTGCAACAAAAAACACTCGACGAAGTCCGCAAGGAAGCCGAGAAGCTCCAGCGTCTCGGGAAGAACGCGCAGCACGACGATTTGGTCGGGAAGCGCAAGAAGACTGCGAACTCGAGCGAGAAACTCGCCAAGCAAAACAGCACGCTCTTGCTGCGGGCTCCCGCGCCGCTGTCGCCGGCCGCGGCTTCGAGTCGCATCAAGGGCATTGTCAAGGAGTACCTTGCGTCGCACGACCTCGACGAGACGCGCGCGTGTCTCCGCGAGCTGCCCCGGGACGTGCACGTGTCGTTCATCGATACGGCCTTGACATATGCGCTCGAAGGCAAGGACCACGAGCGGTCCGCGGCCGTCGATATGCTGGCGTCGCTCTACGAGACGTTGGATCTGGGCGCCACCGAGATGCAGAGCGCGCTCCTCAACACGCTCGAGTTTCTCGACGATCTCCGCATCGATATCCCCATGGTCCGTTCTTGATGAACGTCGCGGATCCTGACGGCCCGTAGGTGCACGAGTCGTTGGCGGCCGTGCTGGGTCGGCTCATTCTGGCAGGTTGCTTTGGTCTCTCCTGGCTACAGTCGGTCGTGGGGCACTTGGTACGGCGCTATCATCCTAAAGTCGCGTCTTCACATATGGCTTCTGGTAGGTGGACAGCGGGCTTGCCGGGCTCTTGCTGGCCGAAGTTCTCTCTGTGATTGAAGAAGAGACGTCGCTCGAGTCGGTCGTTGCCATGATTGCACGTGAAGAGCTCTCGGTCGTTGCCTTCTTGCCCGACGGCGCATCGGTCGACGCGTTTCTTAAGGAGCAGGAGATCGACATGTACTTTTACGATGACGAGGAAGACGAGGATGATGAAGAGCTCTGGGCGCGACTGACGCCGATTGTCGACGAGTACCTTGTCGTTGGCGACATTGCTGAGGTCGAAACGTGCCTCCACGAGCTCGCGGCGCACGAGAAGCTCCACATGACGCTCGTCAAACTCGTTCTCAACATGCTCTGCGAGTGCAAGAGCAGTCAACGCGCGCAGCTTGTGACGGTCCTCCGCGATCTCCACGGCCGAGGGACGCTGCCGACGGCAGATCTCCAAGCCGCCCTCGCGTGGTGGCTCGTCTCCATCTTTGAAGACGTTGAGATTGACGTGCCGCAAGCGGCCAGCTACGTGGCACCCGTGCCTGCGTTTCTGGTTGCAGCAGGTGCCATTCCCCTGGCGTGGCTCACGACCACGCTTCGCCCGCTGGTAAGCAGACTGCTCGACGAAAACATAGTTGCTCATGGCGCTCGTATGAAGGTCGAGAGTGGATTGGCGGCCAAGCTTGTCCAAGCGACGTGCGCCGAGATCGAGACGAGTCTGGGCCACGAAGCCACCGTTGCCCTCGTCCAGGCCAGCGCGGTCGCCCTCAAGGACGTTGCGACGCTACCAGCCCATGTCGACAAGGTCGCGCCGTGGTTCGCATAAGGTCGTTGGGTCGTTAGGACACGATAGGTTGACACTCTTATATATGTATTGGTTGCGACGCATACTACGATCAAAGAATGGTGCAGGTTGGGGACGGCGTGCAGCCAGGCACTTCGGTATCGACGGCGACGGCTTCGCTGTAGGCGACCGCGCCCGTGGCCTTGGTCGTCGCCTGCACGCGGATGTGGTAGGTGCACGTCGGGTTGAGGTCGTCGAGGATCGCACGCGGCTGCGGCGCGACGACGGCGACCGCGTCGTCCCACTTCTCGTGGGGCTGCTTGTACTGGAAGACGTACGAGACCTCGTTGCTGAACTCGTCGATCTCCATGTCGATCGACACTTCGGTGCGCCCGACGCAACGCGGTGGGGCGACGGCCATGCTGCTGCTGCTGCTGGGAATTGCGAAAGTGTGGATTGTGAGCAGCTGAATCCTCAAATAGTGTATGATCTTTCGCGATATACTGTTACTGGGCGGACCGAGCCTCACCAGCGTGATGGAAAGCGACTGCTGCAGCTACAGCGGCGATTGCCATTTGGCGTCTTGGTTCTCAAGTGCAAAGGGACTGGGAAGGTGTGCGAGGGGCGGGAAGGTCCCGTGGCGCCCTGCGTGGCCGCTTGTATCCTCTGGATTCATGGGCTCGTAGTGGCAGGAGGGCGGCCGCGGTACCCCGATACGACCATGTACCACGGACCCGCCATCATAAGGTGTTGCGGGTCCCACACACGCAGCTGCGCGCGGCCTTGTGCTGCGTGGATGGGCGAGGCCCTGGCAGACTGGCACACGTGCGTGGCAACGTCCCGTGCAATATCGATTGTGAAAGGTAGAGTTGGATGCGGATCGAAAATAAGAGGTTTGGTTGCATCGTGAAACGACGCAGTCGGATCGCGCTGGGATCGATGGACGACGCGATCGTCCTCTTGCGGCGCGAGCTGGATGCGTTCATGGCGACGCATGGCTCGAATGTGCTAGTGCGAGGCTCCGATGTTGACCCGGCAGCGGTCGCCGAGATGACGCGTCTGAGCTCCTTGTGGGCAAGCATGGCGACGCGCAATTTTGTGGCGACCGTCGACACGCTCCTCAAGTGGCACGTGGCCAAAGTCGAAGGCTCAGTCTTTGGTCGCGCCGGCCACTACCTCGTGGGTCATTTGCTCTACGATATGCTGCAGGCGCTGTCATCGCCTTGTGATGAACGACTCGACGCGACCTTGACCCGACTCGTGCGGCTGACGCTCAAGCTCCTGAGCGAAAGCAAGGACCTCGACGCGCCAGCAGCTAAACCCGCGACCGACTTTTTCTCGTTCAAGTCGCTTACACCGACGCTCGTGGTCGATGACGTTGTGCAGGTGCAGTGGCAAAAGATTCTGGGCCTCCTCGGGCAGCACGCGATCGGGTCGATCCACGCTGCCATGGACGAAACCCTCGGTCGTCTCGACAAGACGCCGTCGATGTCCAAAGAAGTCTACCTCGCGACGTTCTCGTCCATGCAACTCCAGCTGTTGCAGCCGCGCTACGACGAAGCGACGGCGCCGGCCAAACTCGCCTTTCTGCGGTCGCTCCTCGCGTTGGCGTGCAAGCCGCACAAGCTGCCGACGCGTCTCGCCGCGCTGCGCGTGCTGGCAGCGATTCTGCATCGCGAGCTCACACACGGTCTACCGCCACCGAGTCGCCACGTCGACTGGTACAGCTTTCTCAGCGACGTCCACGCCACCGCGTACAAGCTCTGTCTCAAGAAGCAGCGGCAATTCAAGACCATTGCGGTGGCATGGGACGTGCGTGTGGTGGCCCTCATGCTCTCGAACGCCGAGATCTTTGCGCGCTACTGGCGCGACGATGCCATGGCGCTCCTCCGCGTGCACTCGCAGCTCAAGGACGTAACGTCCCTACGCCTCCTCTCGACGTTTCTCAAGCACCTTCTGCGCCGGCACAAGGCATCGCGCAAGACTCTACCGCTCGAGAAGGACGTGATGGACATCGTCAACCTCATCCAAGCGTGGTGCTTCTCCATTACCAAGCACAAGCCGCAAAAACTGCTCTTGCTATTGGAGCATCTCGTCGACATGAGCGTCTTGCTGGCTTCCTACAACATGGCCTACTGCATCCAGAGCCACGTGCGGCGACTCATCCTGGAAGCCGACTCGATCTTCGACGAACGGCGGCTCGTGGGCCTTGCTGCCTTGCGGGCCATCTTGCTAACACCGTCGGATCGGCTGGAGGACGACTATGCGTGGGACCGTGCCGCGCTCGCGGCCTCGCACACGAGCGTCGCCGACGTTGTCGGGTCGGTGCTTATCGAGAGCAACACGATGTTTGGCAGCGGTGTCGTGGGCGCCAGCTCCAAGGCCGGCGCGTACAAGACGTGGGTCGGTCTCCGTGTCTTTGAAGCCGCGATCGCGTGCACGCAGGTGCTGTTTGCCGAGATGCAGCTCAGCGACGAGCACAAGACACTCATCTTGACGCGCGTCGCCGTCCACAGCGAGCTCTCGCTGCGGCAAGTGGCGTCCGACGCGCTCCTGTACATTGCGTCGTCGCTCAAGTGCCTCTGTGCGGTCGTCGACGGCATCTACCAGCACGTGGTGCGGCTGCCCTTGTCGAACAAGGCCATCCAGAGCGCGCTTCCGACGCTTCTGCACCTCGTCCAGCGCATCTGCGAGACATCGAATGGGCCAGTACCCGCCCCCCACGGAGAGGCCATCGAAGCCATGTGCCTCTACGTGCTCTGCAGCGACCTCATTGAGACTCGGCTCAGCGCGCTCGACGTACTTGCTGCTGTCGCCGCCCTGCGCCAGCGCTCGTCGATGCACGCCACGTCGACCATCAACGTCCTCGACATACTCACGAGTATCGACGACGACCTCGTACTGCAGTTGGGACTCAGCGCCGAGGATGTCAAGGCCGCGGCGCGGGCTGGTGGCGTGTTGAAGTGGCTCGCCCAGAAACATGCTGCGCTGCACACGCAGAGGCTGTTTGCACAAGTGCGTCCCGAGGTGGACGATGATGACGACGACGAGTCGACGGACCGGGACGCGCAAGTGGCGGGTGTCGATTGGCTGTGGTCTCTCAGCCTTGCGACACTTTGGACCCGCGTTTGCGAAGCGTGCCCGGAGCTGCTCTCGCGTATCTGGAGCGATGTCAATGACGCTGCGCACCGGCTTGAGCCACACATTCCGGTCTTGGCGAGTGGTGCTGACGCAACGTCGGCGCAGTGGCGCCACTGCAGTATCATGGCCTGTGCGAGCGCGCACATTGGGCACGACAACGTGACGCGCGCCGCAGTGGCACAGCTGCTGGAGCGCCAGTGTCGGTACTTGAAGAGCCCGAGTGGGCATCAGCGGCAAGCCGCCGTCCTCGCACTGGGGGCAACGCACGTCAGCGCCCACGATCTTTTGTTTGAGCACCTCGCTGCGTTAGAGCTCGATGCGTTCTGCGGCGCCGAGTTGTGGCTTGCGACCGCACTCTCACCGCCCACGTCGCCGCCGTCGCTTTTGTCGAATGGCGGCCCAAAGATGACCAAGCGAGGTTCGAAGCACCAACTGCTCGCGACCAAGAGCTTGGGGATTCAAAGTGAGCTACCGTGGGCAATCGCGCGCATCTACCGCAGCCTCCTCTCACACCCCAACAGCATGCACATCTGGTCCAAGCGAGCCTTCCGGCGGCAATTACTTGGCTTCTTGGAGAAGGTTCACGCCCACGTTTCATGCCCGACGCTGTTGTTGCGAAGTGATATTTGCGCGATCCTCGAAGCCGTTGTCCACCACAGCAACCTCGCTACTGGGTTTGTGGCGGACGAGCCCAACCAAGAGCCGCCTCTCGAAGCAGCGTTGACAATGTCTCAGCGAGCTCGGTGGTTTGAAACACTCGCAGCATGGAGTCGTGACGTGGCACCCTCGGACGCGCTGGCGTGGACGCCGCACGTATGGACGCTACGGCTGCCGACAATGGTCGACGAAGCTCACGCGCGCTGCAGCCACCCGCTTCGCCCGACACGCGACGAGTGGATCGAGTTGCGCTACGGCCTCTTGCACGCGGCGTGCGCTGCCATTGCGGGGCTCCTCCTCGGCCCGGCGTTCGATGTACAGATCGTCTTTGCCTGGCTCGACGAGCTCTTGACGGCGACAACAATACCACCGGCGCGCGCGAGTATCTTTGGTCGCATTCGTCGCCTCCTTGGCAACGGCGTGCGTCTCCTCCTCTCCAGTGGCAACGACGAGGCGCTCGCTGTGTGCATTGAGCGGTGCCTTCTGACCCGTCCTTGTGCGAACGAGTATGTGACGCTCATCGCCGACGTTCTACTGGACCTCGGCGCCGAGTTTCGAGCGAGCACAAGCTTTCCAAAGCTGCTTTTGGTGGGCCTCTTGCACATGGAGACGAACAACGGCATGCAGATCCTCCTCACGCTGCTCGAGACGCCCGAGACGACAATGTCGATGGAGCGAACGCTGAGCGTTCCGCTTGGGACCACCGCGGCCGGTCTCTGGGTCGCCCAGCGCGTCGCCAGCACCTACAAGAGCGTGTCCCACGACGTTGTCGCTGCGCTCTTGACATTTGTGCACAAGTGCCCGAGCATACTCGTCCAGTCGCGATTGCTCGAGATGGCGGTACCGTGGGTGCACAGCCTCAACTCGACGGCCAACGTCCATGCTCTCCTCTTCCGCGTCACTACCGACCTCCAAGTGCCGGCTGTGGCCCGGCTCTGGACGGAGCTCGTCGCGTCCGAGGCCAATTTGCAAGCACTGCTTGGGCTCGTCTACGCCATCGAGTCGAACGAACGGCTCACGACGGCCAAATGGATTCTATCGTGTGTGGAGGTCGAGCGGTTGACGGCCGCGACCCTTGCGTACGACGACGACGAGCGGCGACGACACGACCGCGTCCTCGACACCGCCGCGCGGACGATCGCCTTCCTTGCGCCGCACTTGCATGCCTGTAGCGCCGCGCACAGGCAGGTGCTCAAACACTTGGCCGTCTCGGTGCTCTACGGCTACGCGTCAACGCAGCCGCTTTGGCACGTGCAGGACGAGGCTCTGCGCTCCGCGGTTGCCGTCGACTGTGCGCGCGTGCTGGAGGCAACGTCGGCCAACGTCGGTATGCGACTCCGGGCATGTCTCGACCGCCCCTCGACGCCGAGCTTGGATGAACTCCGCGAGCTTTTGGCGCCATTAGGCAGCGCGCTTCCGGAATGCGAGACGGCCGCGTGGGCCGACGCATGCCAGGCGGCGTTTGGTGGCGCCACGGGCAGTGCGCAACAACAGCTCTATGCCCAGTGCAGTCTCTACGTCTACCGCGTGTTGCAGCCGCGCTTTAGCGGGCCGGCGTGTGTGCATTTGCTTGGCCTTTTGCGGTCGGCGCTCGACGATGTCGATGCGATCGCGTTCGTGCACGAGTACCTCTTGACGCTCACGCACTTGGCGCAGGCCATGCCATCGTCCAAGCTCGTGCTTTTCCCGCAGCTGCTCTGGGTCGCGATTGCGCTCCTCAAACATGCGCAGAGCCCACTGAGTGCGCCGACGCTGGACCCGCTCTCGCTGCAAGGTCCGTCACTGAGCCTCTTGCACGCCCTCGTGAGCAAACCGTCGTTCTTTGAGCCTATTGTGCAGGACATGCTCCTGGCGCGACGGCCGCCGCAGTGGAAGCCCCATGTGGTCGACTGCACGCTCGACATTCTTCTCGCGCTTTCGCAACAGCTCACGTCGCCCGAGACCGAGGCCATCGTCGTGCGCACGGCCAAGGCGATGCTGTTTCATACGTCCAGCGTCGCCCATGGCGTCGTGCTCACCGCGCTCTTACTGCCGTCGGTCCTATCGACCGCGTGCCATGAGACAGCCCACGACCTCGGCTACCTCTGGCGGCTCCTCGGACAGCTCGAATTGGCCGTCGCGCTCACCTCCGCCGTGCCGATCGACGAGCTTGCGCCGCATGTTTTGCGCGGCTGCTTGAATTCGCTCAGCGACGAAAAGCTCTTTTTGGACGTTCTGCTCGCGATCCTCGTTGGCCAGTGCACGCGGCTTCACGCGCCGACGCTGCAGCTCCTGCTCCATCTCGTGCTTGTCGCGCCGCCAGCCTTTTGGAAGCGAAATGGGACGCTGCTCGCCGTCGTGACGCGCCTGCTCCACCGCACATCGTCGCGTGACGCGACGTGGCCGACCTTGCTCTCGCTGTTGAGCACCCTCCTTCCACCGCTCTAGCGTAATCGGCTAATTCTGAAAAAGCAACGCAGCACAATGGCCCAAGAAGGTGGCAGGGATGGCCTTGGTTGCTCGCCGTTGGGAGCGTCGCTGGATCGTGAAATGTACGAGGGGTAGGGTTTTTCGGGGCCCGTTGAGATCTTAGTGCGGTTCAATGCACAAAATGACCATCGCCGCTCAAAGATGGAGGTCGCGACTTCCCTCTCGGCTCTGACTCCAACGCTTCAATAAGAACAACTAGGAAGCAAGTCGGTTTGTTGAAAATCAAGTAGATGGGTGGCGACGCGTTCGCATCTGGTGCCATGGCGAGCTTCCTACTCTTTGCCCGAGAGCTTTTGTGGCACAATGGGGTGATTGTGCTGGCCCTTGATCTCATCCCACTCGACGTTGAGCTGGCGGTCGACAAACTGGTCCAAGTCGGACGGTCGGTCGCGGAGGTCGTCCCGGCCGAGCTCCTTTTGCTGCTCGTTGAGGACGCCAAAGCACACGTTGCAGACGCGCTGCGGCTTGTGGTTGGGCGTCGACCCGTGCGCTTTCAACCGGTTGTCAAAGCCTTGGGGAAACTTGAAGGCCGCGACGCGCCCGCCGCCGCATTCGCTGCAGCAGAGGCGGCCGCAGTACCGGCAGTGGTGGCGGCGCGTGCCGAGCGAGAACTTTTTGTCGCAGAGCATGCAACCGGCGCGCGCCTTGTCGTCGATCCAGACCGGCGACTGGTTGACTTTGTGCAAGAGGCGCTTGAGGAGGGGCTTGTCAAGCTTCTCAAAGACCGTCTTCTTGTTCTCGTCCAAGTTGTCGAGCCGCGCGCCGTGGCGCACGAGCCGCAGCGCAATCTCGACGAGACCCTTATCGAGTGCAACGTGGAGGAGCGTCGACTGGTCGACGGCAGCGTTCGGGTCCGCCTTGTAGCGCAAGAGCATTTCGCAGAGCATCGGGTCGTCCTTCGTCGTCGTAATGATGTGCACGCCGAGCGGCGTCTGGTTGCGTACGTTGAAGAACTGCGTGTCAGCGCCGTGGTCCAGTAGCATCTTGGTGATCCGGCGCGATTTCGCTGCCGCCAAATGCAGCGCCGTGTTGCGTCGGTTGTCCGGGAGGTTGATGATCGACGAGACGATGCGGGGCGAGAGGAGCGCCTTGAGCACGCTCATGTGGCCGCCACGAACTGCAAAGTGCAACGCGCTTTGGCCAAACGCTGGGTCGCGCCGCAAGACATCCGTGCCGGGCTGTACCAGGAGCGCATTCACCTCGACCACATCGCCGGATCGGGCGGCGAGCAGCAATGGCGAGTAGCCTTCGGTGTTTTCGACGATCACGGGCGGTCGCGACGGCCCCTGCCGCACGTCGTGCATGCTCGGGTCCATGTGTTGCAGCGCCTCGCTGCCGCGGAAGATGAGGCTGTCACGCTGGCCACTGCGCGGCGGCGCTGCGAGATCGTGCACGGACATGTGCGCCAGCGACTCGCGTGCTGCGTCCGCATGCGCCGACTTCTTGCCCATGGGGCTGGAGGCATACTCGTTGGTCGAGTCGTACTGCGCCGAGCTCGTGAAGCTCGAGTCGTTGACGCTTGCCGTGAGGCTGTCGACCGTGTTGCTGCGGTACGTCTGGCGCCGCTGGGACGTCGTTGAGCCCACCTCGCTGCTCGCGTCGTCGACGGGCATGCTGCAAAATGCGGTTTGGCCCTTTTTTGGCCCAACCCCAAGTTAGTAATTTGGCAGGAAAGACCCATAATACAATATATGCGTTGCGAAATATAATATATCATAAATCGAAATCGGCCCATGGACTAGAAGCACGCAACTGGCGCGCCCGAATTCTGTTGTTTGCGAGGCGCCGACCAAGGCCTTTTAGCTCGAGATGGTCCAATGCAGTGGAAGCGTCGCGCCATATGCAAGCATGTGGAAGCACTGCAGACGTCAAAGGCCTTCAGACGATATTGAAGTCGGTGGTGCTCGTCGAAAGATCTCGGGCGCGTCGCTGAAATTTTGGCCGTCTTTTCCTTCAACGAAATGACGTCTCTCATGGTGCATCGAATGATGGGGGACGCTGCTGCAGGAACTCGCACGACAACCTTGCAGGATACTCGCTTCCTCCCTTGCCGTGCTGGGTACTTGGGCTGAAGTTGCGTGTAATTAGTGCGCTGCCGTTGAAACCGCGTCGGCCCGGCTTTCTCCGAATTAAAATAGGCGGCAGGAATGAATTATTACGCGCGCGTTCGTTCTATTTTTACGTTCAAAATTATATTCGGCATGTATGAGTCCATTGTATGTAACATTAAATACGGCGTTAAAATGCTAGATGCGACGGTTTCACGAGCGTGAAATGCGAAGCTCAGCCTCGCGAACCTGCAACGCCCAACGTGACCAGCGACGGGAAGGCCTTGCCAGCGACCTGCCGCATGGATCGACCAAGGCCATTCCGTGCGTGTACCTCGTTATATCAAGGCTATGCAGCCAGGCATCTTTCCATGGGCTCTTTTGATCGAGAAAGGAACAGAGACATGGGCGGACCGAGCCTCAACTTCTCTCGGCTCTTCTGTTGACGGCGATCTGCTGGTAGATGGAGCCGGCTCGACGAGCGCAATGACGCTCCTGGTGCGGACATCGTGTGGTGCGTTCAAGCTCCAGTGCGTCGTCACGCCAATGCGTCACGGTGCGGTGCGTGGGACTTGCGTATGTGTCACTCCCTCGGGGCAGTCCAAAGCGTATCTTCCGTTCCTCCGGATACCGTGCCACCTCGTCCGGATACTGTGCCAGGCCATTTTGCGGCAGGAATGGACAGCCGAGTGGCGGCGATCGAGGCGCGGGCAGACGCCCTCGAGCAGCGCGTGATTGCGATGGAGAACGTTGCGCGCGTCGTGCAGCACCTGCGGCAAGAGCAAGTAGCCAGCGCTGCCTTGCACGTGGCCCCGGCAGCGTACTACGACTGGTCGCTATCGCAGCGTGCGTACGTCGCCACGCATGCAAAAGGGCGGGTTGACGCCGCCGCTGCAATAGGCAGCTCCTGAACTGCAAGACGAGCCAACTGTGCAAGAGCATCATCATGGAGAACGTTGCGTGGAAGGCAGAGATGGTTCACGCCCCGCGGTACGTACGCCCAAACCTCATCGCCATGGCATGACGTCGAGGTAGCTATGTGTGCGTCATCGTGCAGTACGAGGCCAAGGTGAACGCGGACAAGGTCGCCAAGCTCGTGCGTGATGCTGGCAAGGACGCCAAGGTCTCGCGCAAGCACGTCAACTTTCAGCATGCAGCGACCGACGTCTCGGACGAGCTGACGGGCTTCCAGTTCAACGGCGTCTCGCCCTTTGGCATGAAGACGCCGATCCCGGTGCGCCTCGCGTGCCGCATGGCATTCGTTCACCGTGCAACTAGGTGGTCGTATCGAGCGCGATTCTTCCTCTCGGCTACGTCTGGCTCGGTGGCGGTGCCGTCGACGTCAAGCTCCGGGCGTCGACCGCCGACATTGTGCGGGCGCTCGACGCACTCGTCGGTGACATCTCCGAGCCGCGTGTCTAAAGCTCGTGGCATCGCTTGTAAGCGAGATAGTCGTAGCGCCACCATAGAGACCGCTTTTGTTTCCACTTCTTTACATCTCCAACATGTGCGTGAACGGTCCTTCCGATCGAAACTCGAGCGTCTACAAGGAGTGTGATGACTGTCTGAGTTGGTCAAATAGTCGGACTTGACGATTGCCAAAGGTGCCGGCGCGGATGACGGGCAGTCGTGGCTCTGTCGCATGCGTTGGTGCAGTATGGGATGACCGTGAAGACGTACCGGACGTTGTACCTTGCACGAGGTCCTTGGCCATATCGCCAAGTAGCTGGACGAATGCGAGATACAGAGCCTCGGCGCCCTCGTCCTTGCCGAGCTGCCCGTGGTACCTACGCGCTTGTGGCGTCGAGAAGGCACGGAAACAAGTCGACCTACTGCAAGTTCTTGCCTCGCTGGACCTTGGAGGTGAGCGCCGCTTGGGGCACGACAAGCACATGGACCGGCTCGTCGCTCGCCGTGGACGCTGCGCAGCAGCTTCGTCATATAAATGGTGTACGGTACGAGTACCTTCGCAGATGCTTTGGGGTTTGCCCGACGGAGCGCTGAGCAGGCGAATCGTTAGCAGCGATTTGACTAGCCCTGAGCATAAGCGCCGAGTGTGAGATGCGCGAACGCACCAATCTTGGGCAAGTCGTCGGCGGTCGCTCCTTTTGCCCACGACACATAGAGGATGAGGCTAACCCATCGTTAGCATGCGGCGCCTCGGGGTAGCGCGCGTACCCTTTGCCGATACTCACGGTCTCGTCGACGTTGTCCTACGCCATGGCGTAGATGCATGAGCTTGGAGGCAGCGCAAGGCGGCGAACGATGAGAAGCGTGGCGGCCTCGCAGCGCTGGGTCACGCAGCGGAAGGTCATTCCGTCGAATTTGCGTCAATACTTGTGTCAATAATTGCGTCGACCGAGAAAGAGCGGTCGCGAATAGACACACCAAGTGCAATCTCAGAAAAAGGTCGCGTACCAGATGGTGTCGCAAAAGTGCGTCGACGCAAATACGGCTGCGATACAAAAATCAAGGGATTTAAAATTGCGTCAACGCGTTCCGACGTGTGCAAAACCTCGTGGTACTGACGCGTCGGATTGGTTGAACGTTTTGCATTTTGACCAATCAAGTGCGAGTCGCATTCAATCCAACCCGACGTGCTGGCAGGAGAGTTCCGGGCGGCGATGGCGGTGGGCAAGTTCCAGGTACGTAGCCGCCTCTGTCGTGGTGGCCGCTGATGGACATGGCTGTAGCACCAGTTCCGCGACAGCCACGCGGCTTGCTACAGCATCCGGCTGACCCGCGTCCTGCTCCTGAGCGTCCTCGCCCTGGTCGCCCTCCAGCTCTTCTTTGTCGGCGCCTACAACAACAGCTATGGCTTCGACCTTAGCCTGCGTGGGCCGAGCAAATACGACCGGAACCGCCTCGTGGCCGACCTCCTCGAGATGAACACACTCAACGAGATCTGCCTCAATGCCAAGGACGCTGTGATCTCGTTCCAAACCAACGGCACCAACCGGCTTCTCCTCACGCCCGAGATGGACCACGCGCTGCTGCTGGAGCACTTGGGCGACTGCCACGACGTCGACGTCTTTCTTCCGTCGGACTTGCGCTCCCACGGCTACTGCGAAGACGGTATGGCGTACGTCCAGTTCCTGCACGCGCGCGCCTTGCCACACTGGGTATTCGACATGCGCTTCCAGCGCGCCGATGGTACGCGCTTCAATTCGCTTCCTGCTGCCACGATGCTGCTCCATTCTAGGGACGTTCACAACGTACTTTGAGCTCTGCCCGACGACGCCACTTGTGCTCATGAACCACTACTGGCGCGGCGTCCCCGACATGGCCAAGTTTCCCGATGTACAATGCGACGTTCTTATTTCGTGTCCTGACCGCGTGGTAGGAGAAGCCCGTGGTTCTCATGCCCAACATTGAAATGCACGAGCTTCGCGCGCAGCACTACTGGAGCGTCGACTACGTCCTCTGCAAGACGCGCGACTGCTACCGCCGCGTCGTCGCCTGGTCCTACTACGACTCATTCCATCTCTCGACCAATGTCTCATGCAAGCGGTGTAGGTACGCGCAGGAAGGCAACCCGCGCAAGACACGCGTGCTGTACACGCAGCACACGTCGTCAGATCCGACGACGCTCACCAAGTGGCACTCGAAGCAGCACGCTGTCGAGCGCATCAAGCCGCGGGACTTTCGCTCGCTGCGCTTCTTCCACGCCAACGGCCACAGGTAGCTCTATCGTCGTGTGTCTACCGTTCGATAGTCAATATGTTGTCTAGTACGCAAAAGAGCACGCGGCAGATCCTCGACTGCTGGGCTGGTCGCGACGACCTTCCGCCCTTGGATTTGTACTCGCTCGACGAGTCGTCGCGCGACCATTATCATGAGCTCTTTGCGAATGCGACGCCGGCCAACATTGCGTTTCATTGGGGCGACGATGTCAATGCGGTCGCCTTCGGGAAGCTCCTCGCCGAAGCGCCCGTCATTCTCTGTCCGAGCAAGATGGAAGGGTACGTGCTTCCTACACTGTGGAAATGACATGAATGATCTAGCTTTGGCCACTATATCAACCAAGCACGCGCCTCGGGCGCGTTGGTGCTCACGACCAACGGCGCACCGATGAACGAGCTCGTCGATGCCAACTCGGGCGTGCTCATTGCGGCCGACGTCATCCCGAGCGCCGGGTGCGACGGCATTGAGATGAGATTTGTAAATCTGAATCTGAACGTTAGACACCAAATGCTCGCGCCCGACTTCAAGTACAAACACGGCCTGCGCAACGCCACGAGCATGGAGTACGACGTGCACGGGAGCTACATCTGCGATGCGGTTGACACGGTCCTGAAGATGCCGTCGTACGAACGCGAGCGGCGCGCGACGAATGGCCGGGACCGGTACCTTGCGCAAATCAAGTTCTTCCGCCGCAAAATGGAAGAGCTCCTCAACGAACTCAAGGGCACCGGGACGTTCCTGAACGAAGTGCCCGACGACTTGGACGACGACCCCGTCGAGAAGACGTTGAGAAAGAAGAGGCAGCCTTAGACATACGACCATTAGATAACACACCACACACAAGAGAGAGGGTGGATCGATGACAAGTATCGCTTGGACATCCGCGTTGACAAAGCGAGATGCTAGCACCGCGGAGGCAAGACCTCCACTGGCCATGCCAGTAGATAGATAGATAGATAGATAGATAGATAGATAGATAGATAGATAGATAGATAGATAGATAGATAGATAGATACACGAGGTCGGCTGCATGTCCATGCCACCAGAGCGTCGGTGGGCGTCGTCGCAGGCGCGGACACGTTGTGCAGGCGTGCCAACGACGGCAAGACATTGCAGCCGCACTTTGTACAGCATTGTCTTGGAGCTGTGCGACAGACATACACCGGGTGCGGACATGGGTGTCTCTGCCACCGGGTTGTCGAGGTCGACCACCACTTCAAGCACAGTATCCCAAGCACCACGCTGTGAACTGTACTACGGTACACCGTGTGCCCGTCATGCCGTCATGCATGGGCTACGTTCGTGGCCATGGCCAAAGTGGTCTCGCATCGCATCCTGGCCTTGTGGCTGCTTGGTTCAGCGCTCGATAAGCGATCCAGAGCGGCGCAGTGTGAGCGGTGCCACGTGCACTCGGTGGCTCGGCGTCACGTCATGTGCCCCCGTCGCACATGTTCCGAGCGTGGGACCTATCGCAAGGGCATGCGACGCACAGCGCGGTGCAGTTGCTCGCGGCTTCTTCGCATCTGCGGTCTGCGGCGTCAACCGCATGCAGCGTCCTGGCAGCAGGAGCAAGCCCGTGGGCTCGGCCGTTCGGTTGCTCGGTTGCTACGCCGCCGCCTTGGCGATTTGAGCTCGCGTGCGCGGTTGTGAGGACTATATTAATTTACGAGCGTGCAGTGTCTTTTTATTCAGTCACCAAAGCCACATGCTGGCGTTAGCACTGAATTTTATTCCGTGCGCGAATATTTAAATCCAAATATTATTAAAATTCGTCACCGAATTGACGAAGTTGGCCCATTTCCCGTTCTCGATCATGGCGACGCACGAGGAACCGACGCCCATCGCCGACGCGCCGACCGTCGCCTTGGCGCCGCCCGCGCCCATTGACGTGACGCTGCCTGCTGGAGCGCCTGCAGAGGACGCAGCTGCACCGGTGGCGTCTGAGGCCAAGTCCGTCACTTTGACAGAGGCCACGCCACTCGACGCACCCGAGGCCACGCCAGCCCCTGCGCCCGAGACAGTCTGTACGCCCGAGGTCACGCCAGTCCCTGCGCCCGTGTCAGTTAGTACGCTCGAGGCCACGTCAGTCGCCGTGCCAGAAACCGCGCCAGTGGCTGCGCCGCTCCTCGTCAAGCCGCCACTCAAGCGCATGACCATGTCGCGCACCGACTCGGAGCGGCCGATCCGGAAGGAGCTCATTACGCTCTTTGCGTCGTGTACCAACTTGCACCTGCCGGCGCTGCCGCAGTCGTTCTTCCAGTCGGTCTTCAAGAAGAAGAACTCGGAGGCGTCGACGCCCGAATGCAAGGTCGAAGTCGAGATGCGTCGACCGACCGACAACATTGTCGTGCACGCGCAGGCCACCGAGCCGCGCCGGTCGCGCAACCCGTCGTACACGATGGGCTTTACGATCCCGATCCCGCTCTCGACCAAGACGCCGCGGGGGTCAGCGGCCTCGTACTCGCTCTACTTTCGTGTCCAGCAGACCGACGTTGGCCTCGAGAAGATCGTCGCGCGCGGTGAAATCTCGTGCGCCACGCTCCTCGAGAGCTTCCGCCAGGGCTCGCCCGTCGTGCATATGCCGCTGGCGATGACGGGCACATCGGATGCGATCTTGAGCCTCACATTTGGCCGCGTCTTCCCGGTCAAGCACTCAGTCGTGCCCACGCAAAACATGCTCCTCCACATGTACTCGCTCAACCCGGAGAAGGACGCCAAGGAGATCCGCTCCAAGCGGACGCTGGTCGCGACCGAAGAGGTCCTTGAAGTCGGGTACCACGCGTCCGTACCCCCGCTCTTGCTGCACCAAGCGTACAAGGAGACTGAGGCCATGCACCGCCTCTGGACGGTCCGGTACAAGAACGCCCGCAAGTCCGCCATGGACTTTGCGTCCGACGAAGAAGCGCTTGCGAGCGGCTGCGATGTGTACGCGATCGAGGTCATTAGCGGCCGCGGGCTCAAGCTGCCACCGAACCTCCCGCCGATGGCGCCGACGCGCACGAGCCGGTCGTCGTCGTCGGCATCGGGGGCGAACGACGCGGGCAGCATCACGCTCAACCCGTTCGTCATGGTCAAATTCCGCGAGACGACAAAGGGCAAGCGGCCGATCGAGATCTCCGAAGGCAAGACCAACGTCGAAGCCAACACGTCCGAGCCCAACTGGGCCGCCAACATCGTCCTCGACACCAAGCCCAAGACACCAAGCGAGCCCAGTAAGAAGGACGGGAGCACGCCCCGTCGGTCTCGCTCCAACAGCAATGGCCACTCGCCCGTGAGCACGAGCTCGAGCAAGAAGAACCAAAACTTTGTGTTCTACCGCCCGTCGCCCGTCAACGCCGACGGCCACAGCAGCAACCATGCGCTCGAGCGCGTGCTGCAGTTTGATGTCGCGAGCGAGTGTGTGAGCCACCACGATGGCCAGATCGACATTGGCCAAGTGCTCGTGCCCATCAAGGCCATCTTGTACGAAGGCTCCAACGACGTGTACGCCATCAACGTCACCAAGTGGCTGCCCGTTCTCTCGCCGACCGGCGACGTCCGCGGCGAGATTCTCTTGCGCATCCAGCTCAAACGCACGACGTTGCCCTTTCTTCTCGAGCCCGAAGACACCATCCCGGGGATCCACGGCACGCTGTTCAAGCTCGCCGACCCCGTGCGCGACAAGACGTGGCAGAACAAGCTCGCTGCCGCCGAGTCGGCCAAGCCGCTCACGATTCCTGAGCTCCGAGACGAAGTCGACGCCCTTGAAGGGTCGCTCGCGCAGCTCGGTCAGTGGATCAACTACAACCACGACCACGCGGACGAGTGGTTCCGCTCGAGCATGGACAAGACCAAGGCCGAGGTGCAGCCGCTCGCGACCAACTTGCACGTCGCCTACTTTCGACTCTTTCGCGGTCCGTCGCCGGTCGTGCGCGAAGCCGAAGCGTCGATCGTGCCGGGCACCGACATGTCGGCGTTCCTGAGCCGCCTCGACTCGACGTCGCTCGACGATATCGCTGTCTTGGAGCTCCAGGACATGCTCGAGGTTGACGTGACGTACTCGACAGTCACGTGCGGCGCGCCGACGGCCCACAGCCTCGGGCTCTCCAAGGGCGGTCTCATCGAGATGGAGGAGTCGCTGCTCGCGTGCGAGAAGAACATGGTGCGCGTCAAGACCGAGTACGGTCTCCGGAAAGCCGTGTGTGTCTCGCAAGCGCTGAGCGTGCTCGTCACGACGTTCATGACGCAGCTCGAGCTGTGCGTGCAGCGCATGGTGCCCAACCACGACGCCATCATGGCGCAGTGGGCCACCGTCGGCTTCCTTCTCGGGTGGGAGTCGCTCGTCTCAACGCAGGGCAAGGAGCTCCGCATGCTCTCGGACGCGTGGGTCGCCGTCAAGTCGCTCGAGCGCTTTGCGATCCGCCTCGTCTCGGGCGACGTCGAGATGGAGCTGCGCGAGCGCGACGACGGCTACGTTCTCGACTTGCCCATGCCATCGGTGCACTTTGGCTCGCTTCCGCCAGCGCTCCAAGACGGTCAGCTCATCTCGGTGACCGCAGTGCTCTTCACCCAAGGCATCAACGAGATGCAGACACTGGCCAACGCAGTCGGCGCGCAGGGCATTGAACTCCAGACGCGCGTCAATGAAAAGTCGCTCAAGGTACCCTCGCCTTGTCTATCGAGGGACCTTTGTGACAGTGGACGTAGGCGCTGCAGAAGTACCTCGCGAGTCTCAACAGCAGCCCCGGGCTCGTCCACAGCTGCGCGTCCTTGCGTCTCGAGCCGCTCGCGACGTTGATCGGCAGCACGGAGAAGAAGAACACGCGCATCCTCCTCGAAGCGTCCGACAATGTGCGGCGCATGAACGGCGGCCGCGTCACGTTTTGCAAGAGCGGGAAGGACCGCACCGCCATGTCGGTCACGCTGGACCAAGCGCGCATCCTCGGCAGCACGTGGAAGCAAGCCACGGTCCTCATGAAGGAGTCGACGATGGAGAAAGAGTGGCTTGAGATCAAACCGATCGCGAACCTCATGCGCGAGTACGGCGTGCGCATCGAAGTCGCCAAGAAGAACGTCGGCCAAGCGCGCTACTCGTTCAACAGCCTCCAGCGCAAGTGCCTTCCGAAGATCTACCGTCCGTCGCACGCCGCGATCCAGGGCTCGCACGACGTCGACGATTCGTAAATGTATCAATGTATCAACATCCGATTGCAATATGAGATATGGATATTGCGTGCTTACGAGTCGCGCGCGGTCACAGACGTGACCATGTCCTGGATCGTCGATGTCGGCGGCCGGTACAACTCGGGCAAGAGCTTGCGCTGGATCGAGTTGAACGAGTACTTTGGGCGCCCGACGTTCTTCTTGGCGACGGCGATGCGCACGCCGTACTCGCGCATGAGGTTCGCGGCGGCAAGTTCGTCGCTCGAGACCATCTCTTGGGACGCGTGCGTCGGCGACGTGACCAAAAACGGGTTTTGCACGTTCGCGCGCTTGAAGAGCACGCGCGCTTGGTCGAGCGTGACCGACATGGCGGTGCGGTCCTTCCCGCTCTTGCAGTACGTCACGCGGCCGCCGTTCATGCGGCGCACCGCGTCCGACGCCTCGAGGAGGATGCGCGTGTTCTTCGCCGCCGCGTTCTCGGCTTGGACGACGGCCATGAGCGGATCGAGCAGCAGCTGCGCGGTCGTCCGGTCCGACTCGACGTTGAGCGCGAGGTACTTGGCGTGGTATTGCTGCAGCGTCTGAAAGCTCGCGTTGTTGATCGTGCTTTGGAGCTCGACGCCCGACGTGCCCACCATGTTGGCCAGCGACTGCATCTCGTTGATGCCTTGGGTGAAGAGGACCGACGTAACCCGAATGAGCCCGAGGTCCTTCGGGGCACCGAGGCACGGAATACGAATCACGTAGCCTTCGTGGTTGGCGCCCGTCTCTTCGAGCATCAGCGTCTCGATCGCGTCGTCGAGCTGGAACGCAAAGCGCTCGAGGCACTTGATGGTTGCCCACGCATCGGAGAGCATCGTGAGCTCCTTGCCCTGCGACGAGATCAAGCTCTCCCAGCCAATGAGGTACCCGACGGACGCCCACTGGTGGAGGATCTCGGGCGACGCTTCCATGTGCAGCTCGAGTGAGGCCAAGAACGACGTCACGAGCGCCGAGACGGCCTGCGAGACGCAGATGCATTTGCGAAAGTAGTACTGGTACTTGCACGCTTCAAACGTCTCACGGAGCGCAAGGGCCGACGGCGCAATCGTCTCGTCGCTCGGGTGCCGCGTCAAGCGCGTGCCCAGCGTCTTGGTCATCGTCTTGCGCGCTTTTGCGGCCAGCGACCAGCTCGCAGCCTTGGCCTCGGTCGACTCGTCGTGCTTCTCGGCGGCCGCGTGCTCGGTGTCGGTGCTACTGACGTCGTCGGCATCGTCGACCGGCACGAGCACCGGTCGCTCGAACGTCTTGACGCCCCCTTCGACCATGACGTTGCTATGGAGGTTCTTGACGCCGTTGGCGACCAGCGCGATCTGCGTCTTGACGCGCACGAGCTTGTCCTCGAGACCGATGAGCCCTTGGTCGTCCAGCCCCAGCGCGTGGGCTGTCGGGGCGCCACACGTGACGGTCGCGTACGTCATCAACGTGGGGTTCTCCTACGCCAATCAAGCATCGCACCAGAGTACTATGGGACTTGGCTACCATGCTCGGCGGTGGCGTCGCTGCAACAGCGGGCGGTATGTCATCGTGCAGCCCCAGCAAGTCAAACTGGCTCGGCTCGGCGTGGACGTTCGGACGGGGCGAGGCTGCGGGCCACGCGTACTTGCGCAGATACGACACGTGCAAGTTGGTCGGGAACGCCTGCACGTCGCGCTTCTTCTTGTCGCCACTGCCTTTGAACCAGATGCGCTGGCTCTGGCGGGTCTCGGCCGTGCGGATCATGGCGGCGAGCTCCTTCACTTGGCGATCGAGCTCCATGACGTGGGCGTGGAGGAACCCGATCGAGTAGTGTTCTTGGTCGCTCGGGATCGCCATGGTTTCGCGCAGTGCGCGGTCCATCTACATCGTTGTCGATGTTGGGTTATCGCGAGAGCTACGTACCGTCGACGACGCAAGGCGGAAGAGCGGCGTGTCGTCTGCTTTCGCCTGCCCGGGCTTGGACGCGTGCGTGTTGTGTTCCGACTCGAGCACAAACGGAAGCGACGTCAATCGAATCTGCAAGTCCAAGTAGAGCTCGCCCACCGGTTGCTGCTGCCGGTTGAGGATTGGGACCCACATGGCCGTGTGCAGCGAGAGGCCATTCGGCACCACGTTGCGCGTCTCGGGCGTCATGAGCGGGCGCAAGTCGTTGAGCGAGATAAACACTTGGCCGACTTCGACTGCGCTTTGGCCCTCATTCTCAGCCTCGCCGTAGACATCCCACTGCAGCGCGCCCGAGAGCACTTGGTGGCGCGACGGCCGAAACCACGAGAGGAACGTTTGCTTGGACCCTGGCTTGCCCTCGACGTCGGCTTTCGTATGCAGCGACGACGCCACGCAGTGCTTGGTGGCTGCTACGCCATGCGGACACAGGTGGACGTTTTGGTTGCTGCCAAATCGCGGCGAGAGCGACTCGTACTCGGTGTTGGTGCGGCCGACGAGATGCCATGGGCTTTGCTGCAGGGGCGTTGCCGCCGACTCGGTCTCGTTGAAGAGCACCATCACGAACGGGTGCACGCCACAGCGCGGTGTCAGCGCATCCTCCGCCGAAGAGCCGCGCTTGGGCGAGTATTGCTTCTTTAGCATCTCGCGCGGGCTTAGCGGGTTGGGCGGACGCACCGGCGACGTCTTGCGCGGCACGTTGGCGACTGGCACCAATAGGTTGCGTGCGGCGACGACCGAGACGCGGAAGACGTCACAGCCGTTGCGCATCGCATCGTCGCCGTCGGCAAAGTGCTTGAGCCGCTTCCGCGCGTTGTTGTAGCGCACGCGCCAGAGGTGGTAGGCGCCCTCGAGCTCGCGGCGGCAGTGGCGAAGGAAGAGGAGCGGCATTTGCACGCTGGGCCCAACCTCGGCCAGCTCTTCGCTCACGAGCGTCGGCAAGTGCAGCGGGTTGGTCGTTGACGGGAACGCGTAGCATCGGATGATCTCGTTCTGCGTCTCGAGAAGCGCATGCGAGAGCGGCGCGACGCGTGCAAAGCGAAGTGTGAGGACGGCCGCGTCGGTGACGGTCGACGTGAGCGGCAAGTAGACCGACGAGGCACCGTGCTCGTAGTTTTGTAGCAAATGCAGCCACGAGACGTCGGTGTGGGCGACGACCTTGCCGTTTGCACCTTCCTCGGTCAAGACGACGTTGAAGCACACGAGCGAGTCGGGCGGCGTCGTCGCCGGCAGCTCGAGCGTGAGGCCAATGACAAAGGCCGGATTGCGGCTCCGCACCTTCTCGGTCGTGTAGCGTGGTGCGTGCGGCAGCGGCGTCCGGTTCGCCGCCTTGACCTCGACCTGGATCGCGCACTCGGGCAGCTTGGCCTTTCCACCTGCCGTGCCCAGCACCGACATGGCGCCGCGCAAGACGTTCTGCGCCGTGCTGTTGACCGTCGGCAGATGCAGCTCTGAGCACGACGCAAAGAACGTGACCGAGAGCGTCGAGAGGCTCTGCCGCGCGCTGCCAAAGTTCTTGGGCAGCGAGAGCGGCTGGACCGGCGGCGTCGTCCGGGTCGGCTTGACGGGCGGCGGCGGCGCGCCAAAGAGGCTGAAGATATCGTCGTTCGATGCCATGGACCGCTCACGAAAATGAAAACGGAAGCTTGCACTCGATGCCTCCGCGCTTCAATTGGCCAAATACATTTCTTTTCCACCAATCCGCATGGCGTACAGTAGCAAACAACCCCGGATTGGTGGAGAAACCCAAAGATATAGATCCAATGAGAAACCGTCCACGCCGGCTGCCATACACATTTCAAGTTGGTCAATGTGTCATTTTCCCCACTAAGTACTCTGGTCATCGACCGTCCCAACTCCTTGAGGTACCACCCGTGCTCGACACGCGGTGCGCTACCAGTCCCTACGCAGGGTGCGTCATGGCGCTGAAAAATGCCAGTGAATACCGTTGCTGCAGAAGGACCTCAGCAGTGGAAGCCACGTCCAGAAGAAGAACGGGAGCGAGTAGCATCTGCACTGGCGCCGCCGCTATGCTGCCGAGCCAACGACTAGCAACTGCCACCAGATTCGCATGCTTGGTCGAGTCGCCAGCCACCACATGCACACTCTCTACAGCCGCCAAGTCGGTGGCGCCGATGAGCGGGTCGTCGGTTCGACCGGCTACAACCCAAGCGAGTGTCCATGACACGCCGGTGCGTCTTTTATTATGAAATTTTTATTTTTATGAAACTTTAAAATACGCTGCAAAATAAAATTCAATGCGCCCGCTCGTTACTTGCACTGAATTTCGAGCTCGAGACGACTCGAGGAGCAACTCATCCCGCGCCAGATCGCGCGTCCATCCATCTTGACGCATGATGCTGCGGCCTCTCTACTGATGACCTCGACGTATTGACGGTGGGTAATGTGGTGTACCCTAGCCGCCCTTTGGATGGACCGTGATTTTCATACCGCCTTGGACGTGAAAGCTGTGGACCCTTGCCGCAGCCGTGTACACGGTCGCCGCGTTGTTGCCACCAGGTGGTGCCAGCGAACGGGTGCGACGACGTTGTGGGCATCGACGCACCAGTCGGACCATTTTCAAGAAGAGAAAGAGGTTTTGCGCGCGATGGGACGAGCAGTCACGAACAACAGAAGAACAGAAGCACAGAAGGACAGAAGTCCAAGCAGCAAAACAAGCCAAGGCACTGAGCGGCCCCGCTCTGATCATTCCGCATTTTGCAGCCCGTAGCAAATTAGCTAACCCACCTCGCCCACCACTGGGCAGGCGGGGCACCAATACATTCGTTACCCCCCCAATCTGCTCGGCCGTCTGCGAGGAACGGTTTGTATCAGCACGGCGCTCTGCCATTGCTTGTCGACGGGTCGTGATTTAATTCGACGCGCACGCCTTTCGGTCGTATTTTAATCGAAATTGTTTAAATTAATTTGCATTTAATTGGAAAATGTATTTTATTTGACGGCAGAACGACCAAGTGCATTCGGCCAGTTTGCACTTTTGCCCCGCGATGGCCGACGACCTTGTCGTGAGCTTCTTCTGCGCCGTCAGCAACGTCAACGCCCGCGGCCCACCGCAGAGCTTCCTCCAAGGCGCCTTGGCCTCGCTGCGTGGGCAGTCGCCCGACGTGCCCGAGTGCCAGCTGCTTATCGAGCACCTCTCGCAAGCCACGATCGCCGGCGCGCCGAGCTCGCTGCGCATGTACGAGACCGAGATCACCAAGAGCAGCAACCCGTCGTTCGTCCTTGGCATTGAGCTGCCGCTGGCATCGACGAGCGTCGAGGACGTGGTCCATATCTCGCTCGTGCGCGTCCAGGACAAGCTCTCGATCGCGTCGTGCGTGGTCGCGATGCGCTACTTGGCCAGCCAGGTTCGCCTCGGCGCGCCCGTCATCTACATACCGTTGACGCTGCGGAAAGGCCATACCACGCCGCCCACGATCTCGAGCCCTGCGATGCTCGGCGCAAAAGATCCTGCGATCGTGCTCACGGTCGCACGTATCCGACCACTGGCGCACCCGCTCATCCCGACGCAGCACCACCTCATGCAGACGTACTCGTTTCCGTCGACGACGCTGGGGCCGCGTCGCGTGGCCGAGGAGATCATGGAGGTCGGGTACCATACGCGCATTCCCAAGCTCTTCCTCAAGCACATGCACGCCGAGCTGCAAATGTTTACCGAGCTCTGGCACGTGCGCTGCGAGAACGAGCGCAAGCGGCAGCTGATCTTCGACTCGGACGACGATGCGCTCGCGGCGGGCTGCGACGTCTTTCACGTCGCGGTGTTGGAGGCCCGCAACCTCAAGCTCGACGTGCTCCCGCCACCGACGACGACAACGACACCACCAACGGCACCGGCGCCGACGTCCACGGGCATGTCGCCCAACACGGCAGCGACGACGGTGACATCGCCCACGCCCACGGCCATCAACCCGTTCATTCGCATCTCGTTTGGCGAGACCGACAAGCCCGAGGCCGGGCCGGATGCGCCGTACCCAGCCACGCCCATGCAGGACGTTGGCCGCACGCGCACCGAAATGGCGACGTGCAACCCAGTGTGGGGTACGCACCGCCGGACGTCGGTCGCGTCGACGTCGCCGCAGATGAAGAAGATGGCGACGTCGCTCAGCGGCGACGGCCCGAAGAAGCCCGCGTCGTCGTACTCGATCTACCGACCGTCGCACCGCGTGTGCAACTCCAAGGGCGTCGTTCAGTTTAGCGTCTACCACGAAGCCATTGCCAAGGTCATGGACGTGCCAATTGGCCATGTCATTGTACCGTGGCGCATTCTCAAACTCAAATCGACGTCGATGAACCCCGACACGAGTCTGCCCGACCCGGACGCCGAGTACGTCTTTGACGTTGACGACTGGGTGCCCATCTACCCGCGCGGCGACCGGCGCTCGATGCTCGGTGGTGTTGACCCCGTCGGTGAAGTCCACATCCAAGTCCGCATCAAGTGTTCGAAAGCCAAGTTTGGGCTCGTGAGTGAGACTGCGCTCGGGGCCGTCGACCAAACCCCGATGTTTCGCCTGGCGGACAAGGCCAAGGACCACGAGCTCCGGAAGCGCAACAAGCACTCGCACATCCGCACCGAGCCGGACGGCGCGCCGATTCCGATCGAGACGCTCGCCAAGCACGTTGCCAACCTCGACGGGTACCTCGCCGACTTGGAAAAGATGATGGAGGACGTGGCGGACCGGGACGCCTCCAGCAAGTGGTTTCGCTCGTCGAAAGAGAAGAAGGAGCTGCTCGTGCAGCCATTGGCGACCAACCTCCACCTCTCGTACTTTCGGACGTTTGCCGAGTCGCCCGTGCGTCGGTTCAGCACGGGCGCGTCCAGCTTCCGCGCGTCGTCGCTCTCGGGGCTCGACCTCCCGGCCGTGACGCTCGACGTCCAAGACGCGGTCACGGCTACCGTGAGCTGCGGCGCGCCGACGGCCCACGCCTTGGGTCTCGACAAGCACGGGCTCTTGGATCTGGAGGACGCCATGATGACAGCGGTGGACGCGGCGAGCTTTGATGCTGCCAAACACGCCTACATGTACCGCAAGATCCTCTGCGTGTCGCAGTCGCTCAGCGTCCTTGTCACGACGTTTCTTGCGCAGCTCGAGCTGGCACTGAGTCCGTCGACGCGCGATGGCATGGCCATTCTGCGCCAATGGACGGCGATCGGGTTTCTCGTGCAGTGGGAGTCGCTCGTGTCGTCGCAAGGCCATGAACTCCGCATGCTCTCGGACGCGTGGGTCGCGATCAAGACACTGGAACGCTTTGTGTTTCAGTTTGAGGGGCAGACCGAGACGTCCCGCATTCGCCTCACGCCGGCCCATGACGGCAAGGGCTACGTCATCCACGTCCCCCTGCCGTCCTCGACGCTCGTCGCGTTGCCCGGGCCGCTTCAAACAGGCGCGACAATTGCGGTGGTGCCCGTTCTCTTTACCCAAGGCATCAACGAGATGCAATCGCTGGCCAACATGATGGGGACGACCGGCTGGGACCTCCAGCACAAGGTCAACCAGAAGGCGTTCAAGGTAACTACATCTTCGGCTTGCATGTGGTAGTAATGATGATGCTAGACGCTGCAAGCCTACGCTGCCAGCTACACGGCCATGGAGGAGCACGTGCACTTGGAAGGGTCGGCGCCCAAAGCGGCGCTGCAGACACTCACGACGCTACTGGAGGCCGAAACCAAAGCGGCAGCGACCAAAAACACGCGGCTACTGCTCGAAGCCTCGGACGTCGTTCGGTGCCTCAACGGCGGCCGCGTCACGTTTTGCAAGAGCGGGAAGGACCGCACGGCCATGTCGATCACGCTCGACCAGATGCGCCGCGTGCACGCCACGTCATCGATGACGAAGGACGTTGAAGCGCTTGTCAAACCGATCGCCAACGTCATGCGGGCGCGCGGCACGCGGATTGAGATTGCGCAAAAAAACATTGGCGCACCAAAGTACTCGTTCAACGCACTCCAGCGCAAGATGCTGCCCAAGATGTACCGCCCGCCTCTCGAGTCGATTCAGGGCATGGCCGCCAAGGGCCATACGTAGTCGTTCGGTCGTTCTTATTCTGTTCTTAATGCTATTCCTTGTGTGCGTCGTTGGTCGATGGCGCGTGCGGGAGCGGGAGCGGGACTGCAGCAAGCACGGCCGCTTCCTGGTTGGACGAGGCAGCCGGGATATCACCGGCCGTCACGGCGGCTTCCTCGGACGCCTTGAGCTCGGCGGCTAGCGCAAGCACCGCGGCCATCGCTGGATGGTCGGCGGGAAACTGATGCTTGAACGCGCTACGTAGAAAGTGCAAAGTCATGACGTGGCGGTACGTGGTGCGTTCGAACCGCAGAATGCCATGCAGCGTGCCCATCTCAAAGCCCTTGGCGGCGCCAGCCTTGTAGCCGTGGTCAAAGCCCTCCTGCAACATCTGCTCCTTCCCGACGTCGATCCCTTCACGGAAGCCGACCTACAAAGAGGTTGCAGAATGGCCATAGGAGGCTGTGGTACCGTGCGTGACCGGCGCTCCATGGCGAGCGACTCCTTCTCCATCCAGACGCGGTCGTCGACGACGCCACCGTCGCTCATGCCATCGCTGTCTTCGTCAAACATCACTCGCGGCCTCCGAATCTGACTGGCGCTGCGCCGACACTGAGTGCTGGTCGTGCCAAATTACCTGTATAGTGTTTTCTTCAAATAGTGTTGCTCAAATGGACTCCGTGTTCTATGGCGGTGCCCCAGCCCCACAAAGACGCCGACATGTACGCACCGATGCGACAGTTGCCAGTACTCACTTTGAAGGAAACCGAGTGTCGCTACGGTCGTCCACGCTTGCGTCTGCAGTAGCCAAAGGGCCCGTTGCTTAACACTATTAATAATTACCTTAATCAGTGCGTCATGTGCAATCCACGGCAGTGGACGGTCAGATTTCAGATTCGCGCAGGACGACACCAGACGAGGATGGCAAAAGGCGGCAAGCGCGAGGCGAAGAAGGCTCGGTCGGGCAGCGTAGAGCAACCAGCTGTCGCGGCGCCCAACGAACCGGCCAAGCAGCGCGTGTACGTCCAGGTACGTCTCGGCAGCGGACCTAGGCTCATGCTTATTGCTCGCTGGCTACAGCTACGCTTGGACGATCCGGCACTCATCGCCTACGCCAGCTCAGGTGCGCATTGTCGCTCTCCCAAGTCGAGATATGCATCACTGATATGTGTGTAGTGAGAAAGCAGTGGCAGACAACGACGACATGGAGCGACGACTTGGCCGTGACACCGGCCATCGTCCTTGTCGAGGCCGACGTGGGCTCGGACACGCAGCTCCACGCCATGCAATCGCTCTTTGCAAGCTACGCCATGCCGACGCCCGCCATCGACGCAAGCTGTCGGCTCCAAGTGCAAAACTCGCCCAACGTAGCTGGCAAGCGACTGAGCCTCACGCTGCAGTTCTCGGACACCTTCAAGACCTTCTTGGCCAAGGTATGCTGTCCCAACAGCGTTCTCAAGTATCAGGCGTGTATTCTGTTTAGACGGGCAATACACTGCTGCTCAAGCTCCAGAGCCTCGGTATCAAGTCGAGTCTCAAGTGCGAGCTCGGCAAGAAGGGCCCGCGCGACGCCGTTCTGTGGGCGCTCGACGAGACATTGCCGCGCAAAACTCTCCAGGACGAGATCCAAGATACGAACCGGCAGCCATTCACGACGGCAGTGACGCTCTCAACCTTGATGCTCACGACGCCAGATGCGACCCTTTCGATCCTGCGCAAGGGCCCCTCGCCCGCGTCTGTTGACGACGATGCCATCGGGTCGCAAATCGCAGCGCACGTCTCGTTCACAGGTCATCAAGTCATTATCTTGCGCGGTCTCCCCGGCAGTGGCAAGAGTACGCTCAGCCGGCGTGTTCTATCTATGGTCCTCTCAGCAACCATGCGCGCCCAGCTCATTTTGGGGTAGGCGACGGCAGCTACCGCATCCAGCGTACTGTGCAGCGCGGATCTCTGTTTCGAGTCACCCGGAGGCTATTACTACGAGAAGAGCAAGCTCGGTGAGGCTCATGACGCGTGCAAAGCTGCGTTCATGGCCGCGCTGGCCGACAAGGTCGCCGTCATCGTCGTCGACAACACGCATTCGCAGCTGTGGGAGTACGAAGCGTACGTGACGGGTACGGTATCAACTTGATACTACCATAAGAACTCAGATTGGCATTAGGCGCGCTGGAGGCAGCGTACGCTGTCACGGTGCTCGAAGTCCAGTGCGACGACATGGCCATGGCCCAACGCATGATGTACCGCAACTCGCACGGCGTGTCGTTCGACGTGATTGCGCGCATGCACCAGCGATGGGAGGTCCATGCGCACCCGTTGACGTCTCTCTTGCTCTTGCCGCCCGTCTTTACCACCCGTGACAACCGCACGGCGCTGCCGCTCTTGCTGACCGAGACCAATGATGTGTACATCGCAGCGGTGTTTCTGACGCCAGCGTCCAAGGCCAAGCTCCTCGCGCGGTTCTCGCCCAAGCACACGAATGTCGTGGCCGAGCACATGACGCTGGCGTTTCAGCCAACGATCGCGTACACCAACGGTCTGCCGCTGGGCGCGCATGTCCGCCTCCGCGTGCTCGCCGAGTACGCAGACAGCAAGGGCCACTGCGTCCGCGTCGAGTGGGCGTCGCCGCCGTTGCCGACCGAGGGCCAGCGCGTGCTGCACGTCACCGTCTCGTTTGTGCCCGAGGTCTCGGCTGTCTATTCGAACGAGTTGTTGGCCGATCCCAACGCGTCGATCGTCGACGTCAGCAGCGACAATCTCATCTTGGACGGCGTGGTTGGGCTGGCCTTGCGCCCGCGGTCGGGGCCGCGCTGGGCCAAGCCACAGGTGCTCGATGTGCCCGCGGGCGTGCCCGAGGCGCGTCGGCATCGCCAGCTCACGCTTCTGCACAGCGCATTTGACACGGTTTCCGACATCGACGCCGTCATCTCGACCCTCGAACGCGTGGCCGAGCGGGGCAACCACCTCGCTGTCCATGCCCCGCCGGGTCTTGTAGAGCAGCTCGAGGGGCTCGGTCTCAACTTTGACACGGAGCTCGATACGCGCATTCCGTGGTCCGCAAGGTTGGTATCCTCTTTCGCGTCTCTAGCTAATGCACAAGGTGTCTTCTAGTGTCGAGACCCTCCTTGGGTCGACACTCAACGCCATCACCAACATCGTCGTCGTCGTCACGTCAACGGTCGACGTGAGCGCGCTACCGTCAACGTCGGTGCCCGTGGCCGTCCACGCGACTTCGTCAATCGCTGTGCTGCCATCGCTGAGCCAACAAGTGTTTGATGCTGAGATCCTCGCGCATGTGCGCGCAGCGTGGAGCCGTGTCGTACAAGCGCCCGTGGCCCGTCTCTCGTGGTCGAGCGACGGCCGCCGGCTGAGTGTCCCTTCGCCCACGATGGAGGACACCACAGCGCTCAAGCGGCTTGCGACAGCACTCAAGACCATGTACGGCATGCGCGTGAGTGTGCAGCCAGAGGCATTGGACGTTGTCGTGGTCGCTGCAGTCCGCCGGTCGTTCCAAGTGACAGCGATCGCGGCGTCGTGGATACCAAAGGCTATCGAGAGATAGATTCTACATCGAGTACTTTGTCTGGGTCTTCTTGTTCTGGATCGCGTCGTACTGGAACTGCACCATGTCTGGAATGTGCGAGCAGTCGCGCACAAAGAGCTCTTGCGCCCACTTGTGGGCGGCAATCGTCGGAAAGAGGGGCTCCAGAATCTACACGCGGCCAGATTGTACATGCACCACATGCACAGTCTGGACGTACGCGCTCCATGCAAATGTACCAGAGGATACCGACACCCGCACCGACGGCGACGCCGACGACGACCTGGGCGTAGCTGTGGTAGCCGAGTCGAATTCTGCTCATGTGAATATCATGTTTGCTCGACCAGTGGAGGCGTACCGAGAGATGCAGCAGAGGAACGCCAGCGCGACGATGCCAACCATCGCTGCCTTGTGTTCCCACTCTCTTCGCTTGCTCATGCTAGTGGACGACATAAGGACAACGCCGACGACACCGACGAGGTACCGGTTGGACGTGTACAGCACGACGTAGGTCGCAAAGAAGGCCATGAACTGGGCATGCGCCGAGGGCATGCCAGCGTCGTGCATTTCGGCACCTACGCTCGCATCGATGGGGCTGCCCTTTGGAGGTGAATATGTACCATCAGGACGCTTTTGGTCGATCGTGCGCTTGAGAATTTGGTTGACAACCTCATTGACCATCTACGGTTGGCAGCATAAGTCTCTGCAAGCGGGAAGAGGTGTGTACTTGGCCCAGAAGCATGCAGATCACGTGCAAGTCGCGCTGGAACACGATGAGCGTGGCATACATGACCATGATGAACCTATCGAACGCATGAGTCTCAATGGCATACATGGTGCAGTAGCCTACACGGGCGATAGCGTCACGAGTGCGGCGAGACTCCCAAACGGATCGTCGGCTTCGTACATGACCTAGCGCAGAGAGGTAGGAGGAGGCGGTACGGCTTGCGAGCGCTGTACCGAAGTCAGCGTGAAGAGCTTCTTGTTGGTCATGGGCACGACCTCCGACACGAGCGCATCCTTGATCATTTCGACCGCTTCGGCAACCGCTGCAGTTGCGACTGGCGCCTGGATGGCCTGCTGCTGCACGTGCGCCACGGTCTCGACGGCCACTGTCGCCGCGATGGCGCCGACGATGGCCTCGGCCAGCTCGGCGGGCGGCGCTACCGTGACCGGCGGCACCTCGTCGGTCGGCGACGGCTTGGGCGTCGAAGGCGTCACGGCCGGGGCCTCGGTCGTCGGCTCGGCAGTCGTGCAGGCCTCGCAGTTCTGGAACGCGCCCATTTCCAATTGGCCCGACTGGCGAAACCCGCGTATCTGGCAGACGATGATTGGCTAAAATACATTTCGTCAATCGCATCGGATTGGTCGAGCAAAGAAATACGCCTCGTGGACAAGTTGTCTATGGTACGACGCCAAAGCACAAAAAGGACACACAATACGTCAATGACAATACGCACCACGTATCACATAATATCGGTCTAGTCGCTCGTCGATTCATTAGTCGTCGTTGTATGACTACTTGTTGGCGGGGGCCGAGTCGGCCGGCTTGGTATCCCGCTTCCAGACTTTGGACTTGAGCTCGTCATAAGTCAGCGGGTACTCTTCTTCCGCCGCCTCCTTGCGGTGCATCTCATGGAGCGTCATGGTCGGAGGCTTGACACCGCCGTAGCGATACGGTTGCTCGGTCTTGCCGAGGATGAGGGGCTCGGGGGGCAGCCCCTGGGACATGAGCGACCGCGCGACGGCCGAGACGCTGATGCCCCGGCCCAGTCGCATGGCTGGCACATTGCTCGCCTCGCCCTCTTTCTGCTTCTCAATCGTTTTCGTGTGCAGTGTTTGGAGCAGCTCGACCATCTTTTGCTCGATTTCGCCCAGCACCGAGTGGAGCCCTTTGTCCTCTACATACTCCCGTGAATGACGACGATCCAACTAAGGGTTCAATGCCACGGTGTACCTTGATTTTCCTTGCAGCCGATGCGCACATGCAGCGCGATGAGCGCGGGCTTGAGCACAGTCATCGTTTGTTGAATTTCGAGCGTCTTTTCGACGAGCCGCGCTTCCTGCTCGGCAGCTTTCTACAGGCAGCGCTGCTCTTTTCGAGCTCTTCTTTGAATGGAATGCGCAACCTCTTGGCGGGTCTTGAGCGTCTTGTTGCGCTGTAGCTTTTGCACGTCGACCGCGTCATTGCGCATCTTCATTCTAGCGACACGGGTATGACGTTATATGACGGCGGACGCCGACGTACTTGGCGATTTCTTCGCGCAGCTTGGCGCACTGGGCGCGATGGATCTCAATGTCTTCGGCGAGTCGGTTGACGTACTGCACTTTGGCAAAGTGCTCGAGTTCTTGCGTCGTAAATGCTTCGATGACGTCGACGACCGATTTCGTGCCTGGGCAACGTACAAAGTGTCCTCGCAGAAGAAGACAATATTGTACCTGCGACTTCGTGGATCTTTTCGATGAAATCGCGGTTTTCGTTGTACTTTTGAATCGACAATTCCGACGTAACTTTTTCCTGAATGCTTTTCCAGCGACTGCGCGTGAGCTTGGATTTGTTGAGCTTCTCCTCGATCAGCGTCTTGTCGTTGCCCGGGTTGAGGTATTTCTTCGGCGACGCGACCGCATTGTCGTCGAGCGAGTTGGTCATGGTCTCCGCGGCCCGGTGTTTGAGGTCCTAGTGGATGTTGGACAAGTTGTCTTCTTGTCCAATGTTCTTACCTTGAGGATCACGGTCGCCTTGTCTTCGCAGAGCTTTTCGTACGCGTCGGTCTCGCTTTTGAGCGATTCGAGCTCGGCGACTTTGGCTTGCACCTGCTCCCGCATGCGCTCGACCTCCTTGGTCTACAAGAGCATGTTGCGATTTCAAGAAGTGGACGCTAGAACCTGGGCTTGGATGTCAAAGGTTCGCTGGAACACGTCGTGTTCGATCTTGGCGTAGAGCACGTCGGCGGTCGCGCGCTCGGCCCGCTTGATGTCGAGTGTTTGGCGCAGCGCCTTGTTGGCCGCGAGCTTGGCGTTGAAGCGCACCATTTTGCGGTCGATCTCCGTCTCCATCTTTCTATGCCAGTGATGACGTTTGAGGTGGTGTCGACGAGGGTTGTATCAACTTGATCTTGTTGACGAGGTTGACCTCGCTGAGCTCCATGGCGGTACCGTGCCCAAGCGAGAGCTTTTGCTCGGCCAAGATGCGCTCGCAGTCCTGGATCGCGAGGTCGTGCTGAGCAATCTTGCGACGCTCAATCTCAATCATGCGCGTGTACTTGTTGCCTAGTCATTCAGATCTGAGCGCGACGGCGATCGACATGCTATGGAGACCTTCGGTTTGCACATGGGCCATCTCGTCGGCCGACACGGCGTTGTAGTAGGGATCTTTGCGCGTATTCCGCGAGTCGAACTCCAACTAACTCGAATGGTTGCCAAAGGCCACAGAGATGGAAGAGACACCTCGTTCTCGAGCTGCTTGTTCTTCTCCTGCATCTCGGCGAGCTGCTTCCCGATCGAATCGAGCTTCTTGGTGACCTCTTCTTGGTGGCGGCGCCCGTCGTCGCGCTCGAGCGCCATGAGCTGATGGTCGAGCGCATGCGGGTCCTTCGACATGCTGCTACAGATTGCGCAGTCCAATGAAACGGTTCGTCTATCTCAGTCCATGACCAACTGACTAACGAGAAGCACGAGAGGGCTTCCTTGAACTAGAGTCTCATCTCGAGTGGTTCCGCTGTTCATGTATGTTAAAAGATGCGATCGACGATGCTACTGCATTACCAATAGCAGAGTGTGGAGTCGACTACGCACACGAAGTTGGTGTGAAAGTTAGTTGTCTCAGGCTAGTGCAGACAACTTGTCTCTATTGCTAAATGGGACGAAGGCTAAGCCGCGGAGACGGTTGGGCAATGTCGTTGCGTAGCGAGGGCGGTGCGATCGATGGGTGTGGGGTGTGCTTGGTGTTAGTTAACAGAACGGGGACGTCGTCTTGTCGCAGCACGGGTTGCCAGTAAGCACGAGTTGCTGCTGATAGCGCGCGGGCCATGGGCAGAGCCCGAGTGCGTTGTTGGTCAAGACGAGCGACTCGAGCTGCGGTAGCGACCACACGCCGAGCGGAGCCGCCACTAGTGCGTTGTTGCCGAGGTCCAGCTGCGTCAAGCGCGGCCATGTTGTCCCCTACACCGAGACGCTTGAGTCTTTGCTCCATCAATATGCACAGCAGAACATTGAGAAGCGGTATCGTCGTCATCTGGTTGAACGAGACATCGAGCGTAATGAGGCTCGAGAGGTGTAGCAGCGGCCATGGCAGCGACGACAAATGACAGGCGGCGAGGCAAATGTGCCGCAGGTTGCCCCACGCCGAAGGCACCCACACCGGCCACTCGACTTGGCTCCAGTCGGTCATGGACAGGTCCAATGTCGAGACGAGCGGCGGGAGCTCTCGCAGCGACAACGGAAGCGCAGTGAAGACACTGCCATGCAGCGCGAGGTACCTAACCGCGGTTCAATGCAGCGTCTCACCATCGATCGCATACACGAGGGTGGTCAAGTGCGTCAAATTGAACTCCATCGTGTCCACGTCTTCGTGGCAATGTATGAGCGAGAGATACCAGAGCGACGGCAGCTGCTCGACGCCCGCGACGATGGCCGGCGTATGCTGCTGCGAGCAGTTGGTCAGTGAGAGAGCGTTGATCGACTGCGCGGCATGCGAGAGCAAAAAATCGCTGATGTTGTTGCTGTCGTGCGTGGCATCTATAGCCCTTGGACGGTGACCACTCGAACAATGCAGGTAGACGGACGTACCCATGCTTGCACACGCGGCCGAGAGTAGCTTGCACTCGCAGCGCTGGGAGAAGAGAGGCTGAACATGCCACGGCCGCACAAAGCTCGTGCAGGTCATCTTCGAATGGGGTGTCGTTTTGCAGGGCAGCGCGGCTCGTAAGACAACCTGTACACAAGGATCATCAACGCAAGTTTGGTATCGGCAAAGGTTGGCACCAGAAGGAGCGCCGCGGCAAGCAGCGTTGAGAACGCCAGCATGCCTTGGAAGAGCCGTCGGCGGCAGGCATGTGCACGCGCTTCCTGCCGAGCAAAGGCGTGGAACGCTGGAAGATCGTAGATTGTGGGCGAGACAGAGGCCTTGCTGCCAACGGGCGTCGTCGGCGCCACGGACGCCTTGCTCATGCGCGACTAGACACGGTGTGGATGCCTGCGTTGACACGGGATCATCATGTGTACCTTGAAGCGCGTCGAACGACGGGACCGCGTCGATGGTGCTGGCATCTTGGCTGCCACCGTCTACAGACGCTTGGAATGCACACTCTGTCTGCGAATATGCTTACAATATTCTCCTTCAAGAAGGCGCGTCGGCGAACGGCGCAGACACTCTGCAGCGTCCAGTAGATCACGCCGAGCGTGATGGTGGCCGAAACAAGATCGAGAACCGACCCTATCTGGTTCAGGTTCAAACACCACTTCATCGAGAGTAGGGCGATTACGACAAGAGCGCGAGCGACCGAGAGGTCGTGCACGTGCTCGATGGTCGGCGCGTCTGCCACGTCTCCGCGCACCAAATGCATGACGCTCGGTCCAAGTAGTAGCACGGGGATCGCGACGCCAAGAACAAGGTCAAAGGCCAAAAGTAAGAGCAAAATGCGGATCCGACCCGCTTGGATCTGGTCGCGCTTGTCGCCCGACGCGTGCACCGAGTAGAAATTCCACCTAATATGTGCTCAAATGGGAGTGAAAAGGTATGGGTCCTACGCCAAGAGCGGGGGCACCACGAGCCATTGTATAGCCAGCACGACGCCGTAGACAACAACCCACGCCGACTCGACGTGGCTGCTGAGCTTGTACCCGCGCAGAAACTGAATTGGTACAATCACAACTTCGCGCGCGAGCAGTCGGAGCTCGTAGAGCGCGCCATTTTGGCTAAAGAGCCCTTTCTTGCCCAAAAACCTAATGCGACTCGGTAGTCTGTCAGAGTACAAGGAATGCAGCGTAGTACCGTTGAAAGTATTTGTCGGCCGTCATTGCCACCGTCACGACCGTCATCTAGGCCGTCGTTAGTACGTCTCAACAAGCGGGCAGTAGAGAAGTACCTTGACGTGGAGGTGCTGGAGGCGGATGCTTCGTCGCGTGCCCGCGCATCCATGGGCCGCCAACCCAGCAGCGATATTGTGCCGCACAATGTGCCAGTCATGCACGTCGTCCCCCTGGTCTTGGAACCGGGGCGCGACCGACGATCGAGATGACATGTGGCTGCGACTGCGGCTGTGTCGCGAGGGTGGTAGCTGGCGCATCGAACGCATGCGCGAAATGATGTCGTTGAGGCCGCTTCGCGAGCGGGCGAGCTGGTAGAGGCCAAAGAGATGGAGGACGGCGACACTGAGGAGGACGGCAGCTGTCGCGAGCGGGTTGGTCGCCGGTGCCACGAGGCGGAATGGCACCGAGTCGTACAAGAGAGCGTGGGCACTTGCAATGCACACAGCATAGAGGCAGCACACGGCCCCAATCACGTCGAGCTCGCTGACTCTGCTCAGCCGTCGCTGCCCGCCCTTCTCGTGCATGAAACGTCAACAAATTAAAAGGACACACCACTGGGGTGTTAACGGTCTACACAAAGTGGACACTTGCGACTGTCGCACGGCATCTCACGATGTCCAGGGCCATGACGCGGCGTCGTGAAGATTGTGTTTCGATTCTCTATCATGTTACTTTTTCCAGCTTTAATCTCCGCCACACGAGGTCGCAGACTGAAGACGACACACCACAGTGTTGCAATACGGGGAGCACACGGACGACGCCAGCCGCTGCGGATCGCAAAGTGGCGCGCAACTCGTCAAGCAGGTCTCCAACGGTTTCGCATGGCAGCACGGGTTGGCGTCGAGGGTGTAGAGCGCAAGAGGTCGACGCGGTGCACTGCAGTTGACGAGCCGGTTGGCCGCCAGCGTGAGCGTCGAGAGCTGCGGGAGCGACCACAGTGCGTCTGGGATCACCGTGAGCCGATTGCCGCCGAGGTTCAGAGTGCTGAGCTGCGGCCACGTTGCTGTCTAATACCAATGTATAAGGAGGTGCGTCTTCCTCTTTCGAGTTGCTCACCGACAGCGGTGGCAGCGCAGCGAGTGCATTTCCCGTCAAGTCGAGCGATGCGAGGCGGTCTAGAGCCACGACGGGCGCCGGCACACTCGTGAGCTCGCACGCGACAAGGGATAGAAGCGAGAGGTTGAGCCATGTCGTGCTGACCCAAGGTGGCCACGGCTCAGTGAGCGGGCTGCCGCAAAGCGCAAGGCCGGACAAGTGCGGCGGTAGTACCGAGAGCGCGGTGGGCAGCTGCGTCCATGCTTGGTTCCGCAGCGCGAGGTACCTAATCATGCGACATGAAAACCCTCGTCTATCTTGATGACAGATTGGGCGCACAAGAGCTTGGGAAAGGCGGTGAGCGACGGCAGTCTGTCCGAGTTGTGCAAGGACGCGCCGTCGAGATGAAGAAACCAGAGGTTGCTGAAGCGCTCAAGCGACGACGGCACGCGGTGTGGTGCCGTCATCGAGCAGTTGGTGAATGTCATCATGTTGACATACTCGGCGGGGTACGTGCTCAGAAAGGCATCGAGGGTGGTGTAAAACGCGCCGAGCTGCGACACTACGCCACCAAAAATTAGTCGTCCGACCTTTCGAGCCGCGACCTACGTGGCAGCGCCGTGCAGTCAATGCGAATGACTTGGCAGTAGCATGACTGCGCCGTCGAGGGAGCAAGCGTCCACGGCCGCAAAGCATCGTGACACGTCACGATCGATGTATTCAGAGGAAGCGAGCAGGCATCACTCGGAACGGCTTGAATAATGGTCTACGCACCGTAGCGTCACCATGTCATATCGATGCACAGGTGCGTACGAGGAGCGCCAGGAGACCACAACTCGTGCCAATAACGCCAGCCAACACTAGACCAAGGACATACGGGCGTCGTGGCTGCGGAATCGCCAGCAGCGAGAGCGATGTCTTGCGGCGCGCAGCGAGTGAGCCCCGGAGAACCTTCTCGGCCCAGCGCCGTGTTGTCTCCTACATGTTGATCAAAATAAGATGCCGGAAGCGTCGCGCGCGCCACCTGCGGCGTCGTTGTCCACCACTCGCGATGGTGCCACTACGTTGTGTTGCACTCAACACCAGCATCCACGAGTCGTACTACCTTGGACGAGAGCTCGGGGGCGCTCAAGCGCGGACCTGGCACCACCGCCACGGGTCGAAAGGCGCCGATGCGAAAGAGCTTCTTAATGAGCTGGAAACGCATTTGCACGGACGCCGCCATAACCTAGAGTATAGGGTTTTGGCGGGGATTAGGGTTCACACCAATTACCACTTTGGCATGCAAGAAGGCGCCAATGGCATTTGTGTGGATGCTCTGGACCGTCGAGTAGATGAGCAAAAGCGGTACGCTACACGTCAGCAAATCGAGCACCGACGTGACCTAGCATCCGCGTGACAGTAAAGACACTTAGTACCGACTCGTACCATGAAGGCTTCAATGGCGGAAATCGCATACATACTAAAGTGAGCGTTCTCGAGCATGCGCGGCGTCCGTGCGAGGGTGTACACGACGGGCACCAACACACAAATCGGCACGACGACGCTCAAGACCAAGTCCAAAATGATGATGAGCAGTAGAATACGGATCCGGTGGTGGCGGTACACCTCTTGCTTGGTGCCAAACTGGTAGTTGTAGAAGTTCCACCTAAACACAGCATGACAACCCGTCTATCAGACAATATGTACATGACAAGTGGAAGCACGAGAATGCAGTGACAGGCCCACACGATGCCGTAGAGCGTGATGAGCGGGCTGTTGATACGATGGCTCAGCCGGACGCCGCGAACGAGCTGCAGTGGCAAAATCACAGCCTCGCGGAGGAGAAGGCGCACTTCGTACAGCCGGCCCGTGCGACTGAATAGCCCGCCGGGACCAAAAAACCTAGTGGAAAGTACTTGAGTCACCCACTCGAGGCGCCGTTGGAAGAGAGACCGCTTGAAGAGCCCTTCGACCAGCATAACGACGCGCACCCAAGCGCTCTACGTCTATTATTCAACACGACGCAGACGTCTCCGTCGCAACGTACCTGAAGATGCCAGTACCGCAGTTGTCGCCGTGACGGCGGATCTGCCGTCGATGCTTCAATCGTCTTGCGATGCAGATCGTCTTGGATAACTTGGAGGTCGGGCGACACTTCGGCCGACCGCAATCGCAGGCGAAACAAGCTGCGAAGGCGCAGCGAGACCTCGTGGAACGGCGACTTGAAGCTCGACTTGGCGTGTCGCTGCGTGCGCGTGTCGAGTGGCCTGAGCAAGCGGAGGTGGCTCGTCGTGTCGTTGACGCGGGCGCGCGCGCGGCACAGCTGGACGCCGCCCACAGCATGCAAAAGCGCACAAACTGCAAAGACGAGAGACGACCCGAGCGGGTTGATGGGCGACGCGAACGCAACAACGTGTGGTAGCTCGGTCAAGTACGCGTGCACGGCAGCCACGAGCAGTGCGTAAAGGCAGCATACGATCGTAATGGCGTCGAGGATACTGGGCCGGAGCCGACGACCCGGCATCCGAGTTGAAGCCGTATTTATAAAGCGACGTAGCCGTTGCTCAAGTCCAACTTGCGCCGTTTCCGAATTGGAATAAGTTTATAACTCTCTATCTCATTTCGAATCTTAGCGGTCCTTGTCCTTTCTACACGGCTTTGATGACGACGTAGCATGCACCGACGGGTGCCTGGTGTGTTGCGTGGCGCTAATGTATGGAACAGACAGGTGTCGATTCGTATCTGGCGTTAGACCAAGACCTACTCGATGACCTTAGGCGGTGGAGAGCTGGCAGCTACACGGAGCAGCTCGAGGTCGTGCGGCACGCAATGCTACTGTTGCAGAACGGACTGCAGACCGGGGACTTTGCATAGTAGTAGTCGCAGAGCGGACTGCAGCTCGACGCACAAGCTGACAAAGATGGGGAGCAGCACGGGTTGCCGTCAAGTGTGTAAATCCCAAGTGGCATCGGCGCAACGGGGCACGAAGTGAGTACGTTCTTGGCCAGCGTCAGCGTCTGGAGGCTCGGGAGGGCAAAGATATTGGGTGGAATGGTCCGTAGCTGGTTGCCGCCAAGGCGCAGATCCTTGACGCGGGTCCACGCGCCGTCCTACCCGAAGTCATTTGCCTACGCAGGCGGGAGAAAGCGTGTCGCACCGGCACGGGGGGTAAGGACTCAATCGAGTTGTTGGTCAAGTCGAGTGTTGCGAGCCAGTCGAGCTCAAAGAGAGCCGTCGGAAACGACATCAAGCGCGCGCTCACGACGGTTAGCTGCGTGAGATTAGACCACGCAGCGCCCACCCACGCCGGCCAATTGCGGAAGGACGTCTCCGAGAGGTCCAGCGCCGAGAGGAGCGGCGGAACTTTTTTTAAAAGCCGTGGAAGCTCGGGCCATGGGTTCTGTCGCAGCGACAAGTAGCTACGTAAAAGCTCAGAACGCGCGCCGGCAAGCTGGGTCCGTACACAAGTTTGGAGAACTGTGCCAGTTCGATGTCTGGCGCCTCTGAGGTTGGCACTGCGCTGGCTTCAAGGCCCCATAGGTCGCTGAGACGCACCATCGACGAATAGAGGCGGCGGAGATCACACCCCTGGAGCTTTAGGTAGTTGATATGCTCGGTCGGGTACGTTGTCACAAAGGCTGCGACGTTGTCGTACACGGGGGTTTCTAGTATTGTATCAAGGTATCAATAAGTGGCGGGTTCAGATGGCTATGAGACCCGAATCGGAGGGACAGTGGATATGTACAATCTGGCAAACGCACGATTGGTCCCACAGTGGGGACAAGTGCCACGGGCGAAGGCTGCCCGCGCAGCTCAAGTGGTCGGTGAGAAGCGGCGGAAGACAAGTGGTCGCAGATGCGGCGCGCAGCACCACCTACGCAGCTGTGGCCAGATGATTGTCGACGGAACTCCGTACCACTAGAACGAGGACGGCCACTGTGCTGCCGACCAATAGCACAGCACCAAAGAGGGCAAGTCGACCCGCGTGGTCGGGGGAATCTTCGTCCTGAATGGGAGCCAAATGCTGCTCTGTAGGGCTGCGCTCTTGCTGCCACGGAGCGACGGAGACCGCCCGCATCTTCTTGAGCGAAGGCCAGTTTGCAAACAGCTACATGCGCAAGTTGTCATGAGGATTGTAGCGCATATTGTAGCAGGTGAACCGAGGCAAAATCGCGCGGTGGTTGTCCGCCCTAGTCGAAAACCGTGGAAAACGAGTTCGAGGTTATGGATCGTACGCCAAGGTTAAGCAATGCCCCGTTGCGAAGCGTTTTGGACGGCAGCCGACCCTCCAAGTCGGTCAAGTTGAAGTACTTTTTCAAGTGGGCGAGCTGGTCCACGGGCGACGCAGCGGTCACCTACGCCGGACGATGCTCCACAATTTCCCTTCAAGTACGTACAATGCTATCCCAGAGAAACGCCGCAACGCGCGCCTCGTGCAGATTGTGCAACGTCACTGCGATCAAGAACAGCGGTACGACGAGCGCGATCAAGTCCAGGACGGACGCCACCTAGCGTTAATTTCAACTGTCAATGTATCGGGTACCGCGTACCATAAACGACTTGATAATCGAGACGGCGTAAACATCAAAGTTTACGTCCGAGAGGATAGCCGGGTTGACGTAGTAGCGCCAGTAGGCCGGTACAATGATCGCAATTGGAATGCCGACGCTGAGCATCATGTCGAACGCCATGACGAGCACGAGGATCCACTCGCGGAGCTTCCGGTGCTTGGCTCGCTGCCGCGAATCGGCATACTTGTAGAAATTCCACCTACGTCCCTGAGATTGAGGTGGTTTTTCCTTTTACTGTTATGTACGCGATGAGGGCAGGTAGGACCGCGCAATGCAGCGCAAAGATGAGGCCGTACAGCACGACAAAGTTGTTGCGGATGCGACCGCTCCAGTTGACGCCGCGCACCAGCTGTAATGGCAGGACAATGCACTCACGGAGAAGCAGTCGCAGCTCGTAGTGGGACCCCGCGCGGCTGAAGAAGCCTTTCGGGCCCATAAACCTACTCGCCACTCTCGCTCCATAAGAGCCGAGCGGTTCTCAAGTACCGTGCATAATGACCTTCGCCAGCGATTTGAAGTCGCACCCATCGACCCTACTCGACAAAGGCAGCTTCCGTTGGAAGCACAACGGCATACCTTCCATGTGAGTACAAGCTTCTGCATCGGGACGCTACCCAGGTCCAAGATCGATTGGCGGCGAAGCGCTGAGTGCACGACTTGGAGGTCAGTCGCAATCTCGTTCGACTTGAGACGAAGCCGAAAAAAACTCTTGAGCCGCAGCGACCGCGTCAGGCGCGGCACGATGTGGACGGCTTTGGGCCGGCGGCCGCGCACGACGAGGGGCTTGATGGCGCGCAGCTGGCTCGTCGTCGAGTTGATGCGATAGCGTGAGGCGACGAGATGGTAGGCAACACGGGCGTGGAGGGCGCTACAGAGGGAAAAGACGGCGCCCGACCCGAGCGGATTGAGGAGCGAGAGAAACGATACGACGGCGGGCATGCGGGCGAGGCGCATGTGCAAGTACGCTGTCGTTCCCGCATACAAGACGCAGATCCACGCAATGGCATCCAGCGGCGAGACGCGAAGACGGCGCTTGAACATGGTGGCGCCAGTCGGGAAAATGCGGCAGAAATAGCCAGTGCTATCAGCAGTTATCTGCGTAACCGAAACGGTGCCGTAGGGCCATTCCCCCGCGACTCCAACGACCTCGTGGGCTCCGGCACTCCGCACTCTGGCAGACTCGACGGGTTACGATGGAGCTATAGATTGTACCTGCACTTGGCTTTCTCAAGAACATCGCTGATCGCGCTCTTGACTCGTCACGCTGTGTGGCGCCAAGCGTTTTGCGGCGGTCCTGTCTACGGCAGCAGCGCGGCAGTTTCGATATCACATCAGTCAGTTGGGCGTCAAATGAGGTCACTGGTCTTCATCGGCCACGAGCAGAAGCAAGAGCTGCCCCACGAGCTGCACCCTTCCAGCTCTCTTTACCAAACCTACGGAGGGATGTAGATCTTGATGGCAACAGTAGCGTCGGTCGGCCAAGGCAAGGGAGCGGAATTACTCAGAGTGTGTCACGGAAAAGAGAGTATCTCCCTTGGCCAAAGCTTCTATTGTACGTAGCACGAATATTGGCGCTTACGACGAGGCAGATTCGCATGCTTGGCACGAACGCGGGCAAAATGCGTTGCAGATAGGCGACGCGGCGTACTCGGCATCGCAGAGCGGACTGCAGCTCGAGTGGCACGCTGGGAACGACTCGCTCGCAGCGCAGCACGGGTTACCGTCCAATGTATACAAGCGCAGCGAACGAGGCGGCACGTCGCATGTGCGCAGCGCATTCTCCGCCAGCGTCAAAGTCGAGAGCTCCGGCAAGGCCGTGAACCATGAAATAGGGAATGCATCGAGTCGATTGCTGGCGAGTCGAAGACGGCTCAGTTGGGGCCAAGTGGACCACTACGCAGGTGGTCGATAAGCATCCAATGCCACCACGCATCGAGAGACGGTACAGGCAAACTCGGGAGCGACAGTATCGAGTTGTTGGTCAAGTCGAGCGAGAGAAGACTCGAGAGACCCAAGAGCGGTGCAGGAAGCGACGTCAGATGATTGCTCACTAGAATGAGCTGCTGCACATTCGTCCATGCTGCTGAGACCCAAGTTGGCCAAATCGTCAGCGCCATTTCGCCGACATCCAGCACAAACAGATGCGGCGGAAGGCGGGACAAGAGCGATGGCACCTCTCTCCACGCGTTGAGGCGCACCTGAAAGTACCTAGTTGCACGTCAATGTTGAGCTCTATGAGCTCCAACCAACACGAGATGGCGCAGCGTTGTCAAGTCAAGGCCCGGGTCGGTCGCATTCCAGCCGGCGCCCCGAACGCGGAGGCCCCACAGTTGCTGCAGCTGGCCGAGTCCTCGTGGCGCCGTCTCAAAGGCACAAGCGTCCAGCGAGAGTAGACGGACATCTGGCGCCGTAAGCTTTGTTAGGATCTCGTCGAGCGACTCTGTCATCTCTAAGCAGCTGTCAGTCATCCGATGACGCCAAGCCGTAGCGTACGGGGCGGGCAGAGAATCTCGACGGCTTGGCAGACGCAGACTTGATCCCACCCGAGGCGCCACGGGCGCAGCGGTAGCAAGCACGCAACGTACGGCGGCGCTGTCGGACCAACACACTCGTTGGTCAGCGACGCCCGCAGGACAATCTAAGTGTCGAGATGATGCACTAGTAGTAGATAAGTAGTCTACCGTGAGCACGAGCGAGCCAAGAACGCTGCCGACAACCGTCGCGCCAAGAAAGAGAAGCGATCGACCAACGTGGTCGCGCGCGTACCCTAGCGTGTGGTGCAGTAGCTCGAGCGTCGGGCTCGAGTCTTGGATCATGGGCAACACGGGCGTAAAGTGCCCAGTCGACTTGTGACCGAGTCGTGCAAACAACTACATGAGACATCAAGTAGCTCTGACATGCCCCGCCAAGCGCGCACCGAGGACGCATTGAGCTCGCGCGTCTTCTACACAACGCATGAGTATATGCGACAGGCTGCGCCAGCCAACGACTTTGTGGCGTGTGGTCCCGTGTCGCTGAAGCCACTTGGAGGGCACCCGTCCGTCCAAGTCGCCCAGCGTCAGATAGCGCTGGAGGTTCTCAAAGTGGCTCCCGGGCGACGCCGCCGTCACCTAACCACCACCACGTGATTACGAGATATAGGAAGTGCCCTACGATGCTTTCCCAGAGAAACGTCGACACGATCGCGTCATGGAGGCTGCGCACGCTGATGGCAATGAGCACGAGTGGCGCGACCAATGCCGCGAGTTCTAATAGCGACGCCACCTCACGCAGAGATACGTGTCGCTCAACGAGCCACCGAGGAGGTACCATAAAGGCTTTGATGACCGACACGGCGTAAACGTCAAACGTCGGGTTGGTGAGAATGCTCGGGTTGCGCAGACAGGCCACGAGCACTGGGGCGACGATCGCGATCGGGAGGCAAATGCCCAGCACCAAGTCAAATGCGATCGCAAGCGTCAAGATGTACACGCGCAGCTTGCGGCACTGATCGCGCTGGTTAGGGTCCGCGTACTTGTAGAAATTCCACCTACGGACAACGTGGCTTTTGTGGTTTTTGGATTTGAGCGAGCATACGCGATTAACGGCGGCACGAGCATGCACTCGAGCGCGAGGACGAGGCCATACAAAACGACGCACGGGCTCTCGACGTTCGCACTCCACTTGGCGCCACGGTAGACTTGAAGCGGCACGGCGATGGCTTGCCGCAGAAAGATGCGGACCTCGTACAGTGATCCTGTTCGGCTAAACACGCCTTTGGGGCCGAAAAACCTAGTTGGCCTTGGTACATGGAGTGTACAAGCATGCGCGCACCGGGCGTATGCGCCTTCACAGGCCATTTGAACTTGCACGAATCGCGCCTACGTGTCATCGCACAACCGAAGGCGATAGGCAAGCGGTGTGTACCTTCCACGAAAGCGCAAAGCGCTCCATGCGCGGTGCCTGTATTTGATCCAAAAGCAATGACCGGCGGCGAATCACGTCCTTGACGACCTGCAGATCGGGGGCGACTTCGGCCGGGTGCAGACGTAGTCGAAAGAAGCTACCAAAGCGGAACGTCCGCGTCCGACGAGGCGTCGTCGACATGGCTTTGTGGCGACGACCGAGCGGACTCAAGTGCCGGAGCTGGCTCGTAATGAGGTTGATGCGTCGGCGCGACTGCAACAGCACGAGCGACCCGTACGCATGCAAGCCCGTGCAGCAGAGCAAGACGAAGCTTGTCTGCAACGGTGAAACGAGGTCGAGGAAGGCGACGACGGCCGGGAGCTGCGTGATACCAATGTGCATGGCCGCCACGACCACCGTGTAGATGAGACAGACCCAAGTGATCGCGTCGAGCGGAGACCAGCGCAGGCGACGCCCCCCCCATGCTTGGACGCCGTAACGCCTGGTGAACCCTCTAACACCTGACAAAAACAGGCATTTGCGTAACCGGGCTTCAAGTCCTCACATCCTCGGTATCGCACACGATCCAGAGAGTGTTTATAGACCCTGGCCACACTCTTGGCGACCTGCTCTACCGTTGCGACGAAGCCTTCCCACGGCTCGTGCCTCGGGTGTTCTGCCCTCGCTCGTTTCGTACCTGGCGGTCAGGCTCCGCCTCCTCAGGCTGTACACTCCCATACCCGTCCAATCGAGGAGCTAAGTTCTTATAGATCACTGCAACGCTAGCTAAGCTACTCGAGTGCCGACGCTCTCAGTTTGCACTTGGCTTCAACGAACGGCGTGGCAGGAGAGACGCAATGCGTCATACCACGCTGCCGAGCAGCGCTATACCTCCTAGGCCATACAGGCTGGTGTCGTGTCTGCCGAGGCGGCCATGACGGCCACGGCGTCACGAAGAAGGGACTGGGTCCGTTGGCGGCAACTTGAGATATCTTCACGCGGAATTCTTTGTTTTGGCCAATGGGAGTTCACGAATCTGCGTTTGTACTCGACATCTGCCGCCGAGTATACGCAATAAAATGATGAAATGGTTTTAAAATATTTTCACCGGCCACGAGATGGAGTCGGCGCCGGTCCCGAGCTACAACGGCGCAGGTCGGTCGTCGCCGGCGGCTAGCCATCCGTCGCGCCCCACGCCGACGCCAGTGCACGTACCTACGTTGGCCGATGCGCCGACGCGGGTACGCACGACGCCGACCGACCGCAGCAACAAGGCGACGGCCGCGCTCGGGCTGGACTCGAACGACGACTTTGGCACGTCCGAGCTCTTGAACCTCCTGTACGCGTTCCACAACGCCAGCACGGCAGATGAAGTCGTGCTCGTGCTGCAAGCGCTCTTTGGCTGGTTCCAGGCGCAGACGTTCCATCCGACGCTGACGCCGCCGGAAGCCACAGGTCCGTTCCTGCCGATCCAAATGCTGCGGGAGGCCAAGAACGAGTTTGTACAATGTGCACAGATAAAGCAGAGCCGGCAGCCGTACGTGTGGACGAACGTCGTTGCGAAGCAGTATGCGATCATCCTACAGCACCTCCTCGTGGCCATTCAAGCCCAAGCGCAGATCCGCGCCCCGTCCGCGACGCCGCCCTCGCACGCACTCCAGAGCCAGCTCCACAATAGCATTCACGAAGCACATGCGCAGTACTCCAAGCAGCAACAAAGCCGACAAGCGACGCCGCAGCAACACGCCGTGCACTCGTCGGCCTCGTCGCTGGCGACACCACCCGTCCACGCGCCCAGCACCAGCGCTCAAGCACCAACGCCGACCAACAACACCCCGCGAAAGCTCGACTTTGGTCCAACGCTATCCGCGTCCTCCTCGTCGCTCGTGGTCAAGGTGCCCAAGAAGAAGGCGCTCGAGCCTAAGCCCAAGGCAGCGCAAGCAGTCAGCGCAACCGCGCCGCGTCCATCCGGGCCCATTAGCGAAAGCCCTTTCTTTGTCGACATGACAATGCGGTCCGCGACGCCCGGCGCCGACGACGACCATCTGTACATCCCGGTGCGCAACATCAACAAGGTCATGAAGGCCGCGCTCCCAAAAGAGTCCAAGGTCAAGATCGCCGAGGACGCCAAAGGTATTCGACTCGATAGCGCGTCGCCTCCTACATCATTCCCTAGAGCTCATGCAAGAGTGTGTGACCGAGTTTCTCCTCTACTTGACGAGCGAGACGCGGGACCAAGCGATCATCAACAAGCGCGGCAAAACGACGCTGACAGGCTCGGACGCGCTACGAGCACTGTACAACCTCGGGTAAACCCTTGGTATGTACGCTCCGAGCAGCTGACGACTCGACTGTAGCTTTACGCCCTATGGTGATATCCTCGGGCTGTACAACGACAAGATCAAGGTTATCCAGGAAGAGGCCGCCAAAGTCAAGATCGAGAAGCGCGCCGCCAAGAGCCAACCGACGATGCCGACAGCAACACCCAGTGCGTCGCCCGCCACCGACCTCGTCAAGAACGAGCACCTTATAGCTAGCAGTAGTAGTCGACCGTCGACGCAGTGAATGATACAGTACACACAATGTTGCTCTGGCTACTCGACGGTCGGACGCACGAGCTCGAGGCGCATCGTCAACGGCGCTTCCTACGGCGTCCGTTGATCGATCTGCACTCCATCTCGTTGTTGCATCGTACCTCGACGAGCGGGGCCAATGACGCGGGAAGGAATCGAAGGTGCAGCGTCGCGTAGGCTTGCCGCGCCTTTTGCTCGGCCTCTTCGGCAGCACGCAGCCGCGCCTGCATCTCCCGCGCCTACGCAGGACGTATCGCAATTCGTCGACGTCGTCGCGTCATGTCTACCGCGTGCAGATGCTGCTGTGCAAACGCCTTTCGCCGTCCGAGCTCGATGGCCAGCGACGCAAACGACGCTTGGAACTGGGCATAGAACCCCTCGAGCGTCACGAGCTCCTCGTACAGCGCGCGTGTCGCACTGTAGACGCGGTCGTACTCGACGTTGACGTCGTGCATGTCGGCGAAGCTCTCGACGATCTTGCGGTCGCACTGCTCCATATCCACAAAGTGGTCGAGCTACAGACATGTCGATGATGCACCGGAGAGAATGAAGGGCATCGGTGGTACGGCCGTGTCGTAGAGCGTACTCAGCCGGTCGACAGCGTCTTGGCTGGCCTTGACCAGCGCGAGGGACGACGATGAGACTTGGCTACCGACAGCATCAGGAGCGCAAATACGCAAATCCGCTGCGTACGAGGTGTTGCCATCGAGCAACGATCGCTACGTCAGAGGTCAACAAAGGAGTTCAATGGAACGTCCAAGGGCGTCGTCGTACGTGCTGTGGGATGTTCTCGGCGGTGCGGGCCACGAGGTCGCCGACGTGGCTGGCGAGGGTCGCCCACACGTCGCCACCGGGGATCGCAATCGCTTCGAACGACGACGTCGCGTCACCAAGGATCTCAAAATCGATCGTGTAGTAGAAATGAAGCATCGAGCGGATGGTGTCGAGGGCCATCGCATGCTTTGCCACGAGCGCGTGCAGCCTAGTGATTGGCAGCGATGAGTGCCAGGCAGCCAAAGGTTGCGCGGTCAACATGGCGCCATGCGCGGCGGCGTCCTTTTGCAGCTGCAGCACTGTGTCGCCATCGACAAAGTCGAAGAGCGTCTTGCCCTCCTCGCCGCCGACCTGGCACATGCTTCATCAAGGACCCACCGATGGGCCATACAAGTCGCTACCATATTGGGGTCCACGGCCTGGCCCTGAAGCGCATCAAAGATCGAGTTGATCCTGAGAGTGACCTAGCATACCCAGGTGATTTACAGCGTGATAGGCGATCGGGTCCACACAGGCTCGTGCGTGGCCAAGAAGTCGGTGGTCGCCGCCCGCTGCGCCTCGACAGCTGCCTCACTCGCCTCAACCGACGACGCGACCGCCTGGATGCGCATGGTCATCGTCGTACAGATCTCATGCAGCAGCCCTTGGAGACCAAGCGCTTGCTCATGCAGCTCGGCGAGCGCCAAGCCATCGCGCTTGATACCGACGTCGCACTGCGCGACGGAGATCATTTCCAGTCCAGATCTTGCCACAACCACGGTTCACTAAACCGGTCCTTTCATTGTCTAACCGACTGGTCCAACCGCTGTAACCGGTTCTACCAATGCCACCTCCCTCGCCTGTCGCGCCCCCTTGCGACTGCTCGTGCGGCCCGCGAGACGAAAGCAGGCCTTTCTTCGAATCAGCGTCATCACAATCCTCAAGAGGATGTGCTTGAACTCCGGTCTTCAACCTTGACGTCGTCTGCCAGCCACACATTTCACAGCTTCACGCCCACGGATCTTCGGCCCAGACAGGCGCCATCAACTTCTCTCATATCGCTCAGATAGCTTCCTTCCATCAACTAGGTTGAGCGAGCTCAAGCGATGGCGGCCCATCGCCGTCTTCCTAGGCGTTGGTCGCCATTGCTGACGCCATTCGCCACTGACGTTCCACCGAACTCCTCGAGTCTTGCACTGGGACATCCCATGGATATTTCCCCGCATAGGGGTCGGGGTGCAGCACAGATTCCCTTGATTCAGTACAGTGCCGCGTGCGCGCTTACCAGCTTGTTTTCAAGAACAGGTGGCCAGCGTCTTTTTCAAGGCAATTGCTGCAGGGTTTGTCCCGCTGGCTGGGAAAATCCTTTTGGCGGCACGTGATTCGCTACTTGTGCGCCAATCATCACGCGCGAATCGCCCACCTTGCACACCGCTTCATGGTGGCGGCGCCGATTCGACAGAATTATCAGCCAATCAAACACGCGAATCATTATTCGGCTCGTGGTCGCTGACGTCTCATTTTGCATTTGCACCATGGTCGCCTCCTTCGCTATCGTGCAGCAGTACTTGCCCGTGATCCTCGCCAACCTCCCGTACGAGTGGCGGGGCACGACCTTTGCCAACTCGGCGCTGCTCGGCCGCGAAGCCTTCGCCGCCAACATTGAGGCGCTCATCAGCGCCAAGCACGCGGCCAAGGACGCGACCATTACCGAGGCTGAGCTCACGGCGACCGGCAACGCCGAAGACTACCTCCGCGTCTCGTCCAACATCTCGACGCTGCTCGAGTTTGTCCTCGGCGCCCAGGTTGGCTTGCCCACGGCGCAAGTCTTTACGTTTGGTTCGACGACGATGCCGATCATCTCGGTGCTCCTCGCCGCCAAGCTTCCAGTCGTCCTCTACGTCGACGAGAGCGCGACGACGCCGTTCACGCAAGAGCAGATCGATGCCCTCAAGCTCCTCAACACCAACTTGACGGTCCGCGCCGGTCGCCCCGTCGCTGACGCGTCGGTCGTTGTGCTCTCGCTTCAGGCGACGCCGACCGCGGTCGCCCACGCCGACGGTATCGTGACGCCCAACTCGGTCTTGTACATCCACAACACGGCCAAGATTGCGCCGGCCGACGTCCTCGTCGTGCGTAAGCGCCTCGCGACGCCGCTCACGACGCCCGTGTGCGAGGCGTACCTCCAGGCGATTGCCAACGTCAAGGTGACGGCCGACCAGGATCGCTCGTCGCCCGAAGAGCTCAACGCGTTCTACGCGCATTTGCAGACCATGTCGGGCACGGACGCCAAGGCCGACGCGCAGCCGGTCGTCTTCACGGCCGGCCTCCCGTCCGTGTGCACGCTCTGGCTCGCGCTCCTCCAGTCGGGCGGCGCCGACGTGCTCATGGCCAGCACCGCGTACGGCGGCTCGTCGCAGCTCACCGACATCTTTACGTCGCGCGCGCCGACGCTCTTCTCCAAGTCGACGTTCGACATCACGGGCAAGAACGAGATCTCGTCGTCGATCAAGGCGGCGCTCGATGCGCTCTCGCCAAAGAACAAGACGACGGTGCTCTTTGTCGAGATCCCGACCAACCCAGACATGAAGGTCCCGGACATGGCCACGCTCGCAACGCATCTGACGTCGTACCAGACGCGCACGGGCAAGGACGTGCTGCTGCTTGTCGACACGACGTTTGCGCCGGCGTGCGAAGTCATGCGCAAAATGTCGGATGTCGCCCCCGGCCTCACGACGATGGTCTTTATCAGCATGAGCAAGAGCGTCAGCCGTGGCTTCACGACCGCCGGCACGATTATCGCCAACAGCGCGTCGGCCAAGTCGGTTGCGCTGCTCGAAAAGGTGCGCTGGACCGGCGCGCTCCTCGATACGACGGCCAAGCATGACCAGCTCTACCGCCTCACGAGCAACCACGTCGGCGTTGAGGCGCGCAACCGCAAGGCGTACGAAGTCACGAACGCCGTCGGGAACGCACTCGTGCAGGCCGTCAAGACGCACGCCAAGGGTTACGTGATGGACTTGGCGTTCGTGACGCCGGCGCAAGCGGCCGCGGGCTTTACGACGTCGACGTTCTCGTTCAACTTGCCGCCGCTCCCGACGGCGACCGCTGAAGAGAACATTGCGCTCGCCCAGCGCTTTGTGGACTTGCTCACGGCGCACAAGAACCACTTCAAGCCGTGCGTGTCGTTTGGCCAGGACAACGGCCTCGTCTACTGCACGGTGCCCGCGACGTCGACGCAGGGTGCGATCAAGGCCGAGGACAAGGCCAAGCAGCTCGTCGGTGGCGTCGAGCTCTGCCGCCTCAGCTTCCCGCCCAACGCCGACGTCCCGGTTGTCATTGCCGTGATTGAGGACGCGATCAAGACTATTTACGCGTAAATCGACGGACAATAATGTTGCATGTTTCCACTGTCTATAGCTCTCTTTCTATAACGGAGTGGGTCGACTGGAAGCTGCTTTGAGGGTGGCCTTGGCGCGTAGTAACCGGTTGAGCTCCGATAGCGTCTCTGTCGGGTCTACACCGTAGGACTCGCATTTTCCAGTAGTGACGTTGTAGCGCCCACCTTGCTCGAGCAGCGACGGGCGGGTGGGAATGTCGGCGGCGCTATGCACACGCCGGGTCGCCCGGTTGCGTTGCGCTGGCGCATCGCTCGATCTACGCAGGACAAGTCTGTACATAAAGCGACGCCAGAAAGGGGTACTTGGGCTTGCCACTCAGGAGATGGCGGAGCTCACTGATCTACCAAGTGGCCTTGTGGATCAGTTCCAACACGACGTCGGGTACCGAGAGCACGCCAGTCTCGTGCGTTGGCTTGGCGTCGACAGTAGCGGGTTCTAGGTTGTGAGTCAGGTTGGTGGGAGGCTAGAGGGTCCGACTGCTGGTTGTTGCAAGACTCGGAGGGGGTAGGGTAGAAGAAGCTGCGCGCTCCGTGAGCACGTTGTCGATGCGGTCTTGGGAGGGCCGCGCCAAGGACACGCCGTCATCAGCGCCGAGTGCCAAGTACTCGAGGACCTCCATGCGCTAGTAGCATGCCCGATACGATCAAGCTGGCTCAAGAATCAAGCTGCCAACCTCCCGTAGCGCGCGGTTCTCGAGGTTGAGCGCGCGTACTTCCGCCGTCTGTGCGCCGACGTCGCCTTGGGCTTTCTCCAGCGCGAGCCGCAGCGTTCGCTCGTTCTATTGCAAAAGCCACTTCGAGAACGAGACGCGTGTATCAATGTATCAACTTGAAACATGGTTTTGATCAGCGACACGTTGTCGATGACGTGCAGCTGCAACTTGGTGGTTTCGACAGTCGCTTGCGCCTCGTTTGCTTTGGTTGAGGACGGTGACAACGTCACCGCACTGTCCTTTTCTTGGTTGTTGTTGCGGCTTGGTTGTGCCAGAAGTTTGCCCGGCTTGGCAAGCGGAGCCGCAGGCTCGAGCCGCGGATCACATTCGTTGTTGTCGCTCGTCTTGTGCCTTGTCGTTGTGGGCAGCGCCGCCGTTCCTTCCTGGTCGCTCTGGCGCTGACTGCTCATAGATCCCAGCACGCGTTCGTCCTTGCCCCCCAGCTGCATAATCACGTCGTGGGCCTACCCAGCGATCTTCCACTGAAATAATCAAATAAGGTACGCACGTGGGCCAGCTGTGCTTTGAGCTGCGCAACTTCGTCGCGAAGCTGCTGGATCAAGAGCGTCTTGGGGTCTTCGTTCTTGGTTGGCTTGTTGGCAATCGACTAGGTAGCGTGGGGCACCCGTGAGTGGAATTCATCGCTTACCTGCGCGCGGGCCGCATACACGAGCGTGCTCAGGTTCTCGTCCATATAGACGTCGCTGGGCGAGAGGCAAGCGATCATAAGCGTGATGCTGTTGCCACCCAAGCTACACGCAGCGTGAATGTACCGATCCGTCCGGCGTAAGAACCTGTGCTTGAGAAGCGCCGTGAGCTTCGAGTCGCGGTATGGTACGTGTTTGGTGTCGCCTCCGTCTTTGGCCTCGTCGCTGAGCGTCTGAATCACTTGGCGCAAGACGAAGAGCGACTTGTTGATGCCGATCGACTCTTGCAGCGTGACCCCTACTCTAGCGTTTGCTGTGCTTGCTCTAACAAGGCCTACCGGTCGCGCCCGTCTTGACCACGCGCTCCGAGCCAGCCAAGTCGACTAGGTTCCGGTGTAGTCAAGTGTCATACAAGGAGGTGCGGCACCGAGCGAGAGCTTGGCCTTGACCACGTCTTCGGGGTTGGTCGTATCGACACTCTCGACATACAAGGTGTAGATGCAGTGGGACCGCGACGACGCTGCGTTGAGGTTGTGCGATGCCATGATTTTGTGCTTGACGCCGTCTTGGAATTTCGACAGCATCTAGACACAGTAGAAACACATGCCAACCGTTAGCGCCCGAACCTCGTCGGCGCTCGTGCACGTGATCGTGATGAGGTTCTCAACGTAAAACTCGTGGGTGGCTGCCCAGCGCAGTCGAAGCGACCTAGTGCGTGCCATTGCAAATGGTAGTCGTCCTTTCGTAGTACTTTGTGGCGGCCCCCAGACTTGGGTTCAAGAGGTCGAGGATCTAGTGCGGTCGATGCACGCGCACGAGATGTGGGACGGGTACCTGCTCGTTGTAGATCTGAACAAACGAGCATCGAATCGTATACTCGCGGATCTAAACATGCATCATCTTCCGCTCTATGGACCTTCCGCGTGCGTGTACCTTGTCGGCGCTCGCCACCGCATTGTAGATGCCCAAGATCACACGAGGGACGATCTAGCCATCGTTGATCGACATCAAAGGCGATGGCCGCTCGTACGCCAAGGCGGTCGGACGACACGTCGACTTTGGGCCGGGCGTTCACGCGCTCAGTGGGCCGGGATGCTGTTTTCTGCTTCCAATTTGAGCTCGGAGTGGTAGCAACATGAGGCGCACCTCGTACTCGTAGCCTTCCATGCTAAAGGTTTTGCCCGACCCGGTCTGGCCGTAGGCAAAGATGGTCGCGTGAAACCTATGCTAACGTCGTTGACGTCAGTGATAGAAATGCGTACCCGTCTAGAACGCTGGCGATCATGCTGGCGACGCCCGTGCGCTCGTACAGCTCGCTCTGGGTCGTCGTCGGCTCAAAGACTTGGTCGAATTGAAAATCCTTTGCCGCGTCCTTTCCGAGCCGGACGCGCTTGGCCCGCGGGTCCAACACGAGGCTCGTGCACTGGTGCGCCTTCTCAATCGAGAGCGGCGGCCGCACGCGCACAACCACGCGGATCTACGCGCAGCTCAACACACCAGTTGTCACTTCAATGGCACCTTGCTGCTCATCGATTCAAAACGGCTGCCAAGTCAGTTTTCCGCCAGCGACAATGGTCAATTTGTCCTACTCCCAGTGCGTGCGATGCTGCAGTGCGTCGATGCATTCGACACGACAGACTCGGCGTTCAAACTGCGTCAGGTGCATACTTGTAGCGATCTGCGATCGCGCTACGGCCTTGTTGCTGTAGAGAAATGTCATAGCCAGGTGGACGGATGGTATACAAAGCGTCCTACGGACTCGACGGACCTGCCCTTTCTGGCTTACACTACGAGAGCTACTGCGAGATTGAGCTGCGTGCGAGTTGCACCTGACCTTACTGGCTTACACTACGAAATTGAGCTGCGAGTTGGCGCGCGATTACAAAGTACTAGTACAATTATTTGCAAGATTATTGATATTGGTCATATTCGCCTTGTCGACTGACGCTGTGACGTCAGCGGCCGTGGCACATCCCGTATGACGATGATCCTACGTACGTGCTGCCACGATAAGAAGCTTGCGGTCTCTCGGACGTTCTTGTGGTCACCAACTTCAACTGGCACCGACGGCTTTCGTTTGATTGGCCAAAATTGGGTGCGCCGCGATCCATTTAACCGGATACGATATCCGGTTGACGCGTTGGATCGCACCTTGGCAGAGCAAAAAAGATTTCGACTCCAACCGGCAAGACAAGCATGGCAGCAAGTGGCAAGAAGCTCTGGGGCGGCCGGTTCAGCGGCGCGCTAGACCCGGTCATGAACAAGTTCAACGAGAGCCTCAGCGTTGACCAGCGCATGTGGGCGGCCGACATCCAAGGCAGCAAGGCCTACGCCAAGGCGCTCGCGGCCGCTGGCGTCATCACCGCCGACGAGAACGCGCAGATCCAGCATGGCCTCGACCTCGTCCACGCCGAGTGGGCCGACAAAAAGTTTGTCGTCTGTGCTGGCGACGAAGACATCCACACCGCCAACGAGCGCCGGCTCACAGAGCTCATTGGCAGTGCCGGCGGGAAGCTTCATACGGGCCGCAGCCGCAACGACCAAGTCGCCACCGATGTGCGCCTGTACGTCAAGGAAGCCGTCAAGGGTCTGAGCCACCAAATGGGCGAGCTCCTCGCGGTCGCGACGCACTTGGCCGAGACGCACATGACCCTCCTCATGCCAGGCTTTACGCATTTGCAACCGGCGCAGCCAATTCGGTTCTCGCACTGGGTCATGTCCCACGTGGCGGCGCTCCAGCGTGACGTCGAGCGTCTGAACGACTTGTCAAAGCGCGTCGACGTCCTGCCCCTTGGTAGCGGCGCGCTTGCCGGCCACTCGTTTGGCATTGACCGCGCCTTGCTCGCGTCCGAGCTCGGCTTTGCCCGCCTCTCTCCCAACAGCCTCGTACGTCACTACAGCGGGGTCCAGAAGACTCGTACTGATACGATGCTAGGACGCCGTGTGCGACCGCGACTTCATCGTCGAGTTTATGTTTTGGGCGTCGATGACCATGATTCACTTTTCGCAGCTCTCGGAAGACCTCATCATCTACAACACGCTGGTAGCATTCGTCCTTCTCTACGCTGCAAGGCTCATGGAACCCTAGAAATTTGTGACGATGGCCGACGCGTACAGCACGGGCAGCAGTCTCATGCCGCAGAAGAAGAACCCGGACGCGCTCGAGCTCCTCCGCGGCAAGTCGGGTGCCATCATTGGCCGCCTCAACGGCTTCATGATCACGCTCAAGGGCCTCCCGCGCAGCTACAACAAGGACCTCCAGGAAGACAAGGCAGCGCTCTTTTACTGCATTGACAGCATGGTCGACTGCATCCAGATTGCGGCCGGCGTCCTGGCGACGCTCACGCCCCACGGCGAGAAGATGCGCGCGTTTCTGGTGACGGAGATGCTCGCGACAGACCTCGCCGAGTACCTCGTGCGCCGCGGCGTGCCCTTCCGCGAGACGCACCACGTCGCAGGCGCGGCGGTCCGTCTCGCTGAAGACGCCAACAAGCCACTCTCGGCGCTGACGCTCGCCGAGCTCCAGTCGCTGCACAGCAGCTTTGCACCGGACGTTATGGACGTCTGGAACTTTGACTCGAGCGTCGAGCGCAAGAACGTGCCTGGTGGCACGAGCGCCGCGGCCGTGAAGGGCCACGTGGAGAGCGTCAAGGCGTGGCTCGCCAAGGAGTATCAACTCTAAGCCGTCTCTAGATTGATAGGACTGTACTAGCTGCTAGCGGTGTTGAAGTAATGCAAGTGGCTCATTTATTGCAGGTGGAGACCGACTGCAGCAGCGACCTGCGAGGAGGACGATGCGATACGAGAACCATACATGCACAGACACCGAGCTTGTAGGATGAGCACCGATGCAGGAAGAGCTCAGCTGGCAGACACGGAGGCGCCATCAAGAGCCATGAGTGCAACAGCGTTGGCACAGCTCCTAGCTCCGGAGCTGCAAAGGTGCAGATATGGTGTTCCTGCCGAAGCCGCCAGCGATCGTCCGGATACCCTGTCTGACTGAACCGAACGCGGCCAATTGAGAATGGCCGGCCGGAAGCTGCGCATCCTCTGTCTGTACGTCGTACGAGCTGCGTGCATGGGCGCCAACGACTGCTACTTGTAGACATGGCTGGCGCACGAGCAACAAGGTACTGCAGGTGCAGATGGTTGGGCTCCAGCAAGCGCTGGGTGGCAAGGACGGCGTCGAGTTTGTGAGCCTGAACGCGCCGCACCGCGCGTCTGGGCCTGCGCACGCCGAAGTCGAGCTCTTCTTTGGCAAGAACGGACCGTACTACGAGTGGTGGGACCATGTCGAGACGCCGGCGACCGAGACGACGCCCAAGCGCAGCGACTACGTCGGCCTACCACGGTCGCTGGACTTTCTGCTCGGCCAAGTCGACGCGCTCGGGCCCTTTGACGCGGTCCTGGGCTTCTCGCAGGGCACGGCCATGACGACGATCTTGACGGCGCACTACCTCAGCCACGGCACGCCGCCGCCGTACAAGGCTGTCTTGCTCTTCTGCGGCCTCCTCGCGCGCGACGGTATGCCCGAGGCGCTGCGCTCTGGGAGCTCGTACCACTTGGACATTCCGTCGATCCACGTGCTCGGCGAGACGGACGCCATCTTTTCGTGGTCCAAGAAGCTCGTGGGCGCGTACGAGAGCTCGAGTCGCACGATGTTTGTCCACCCGGATGGCCACAAGTTTCCGACGCTGCCCCAGGCCAAGCCCATGTACAACGAGATCGCGGCCAAGCTCCGCGAGATCTGCGGTTAAGTCAAGCGTGGTTGACTACGACGTCCGTGGGCCTTGCGCGTCGCTCGGTGGGGCGAGGGGCTGTTTTTCAAAAAGCGTAAAAAATGCAAATAAAAAAATTGAGTTTGAGTTTGAGGGCGGAACCACTGGAAGTTGCAAACACACGTAGTGGACGTCCAAGCACCAGCATGTTCAAGCGCTTCTCCGTCGACGAGCACGTCTCCAACATCTCCAAGGTCAAGACCTCGGTCCAGCGCAAGATCTGCCAGCGCATCGCGGAGCAGTACCCGCTCCTCGACGCCAACGATAGCGCGCTCATGGAGGAGCTCCTCCCCAAGAAGGCGCCGCTGCTCGTCGCCAAGTGCTCGGGCACGGAGCACCTCCAGATTGTCGTCGCCGAAGATGGCACGCCCCTCTTCTTTAACATGCGCGATGGCCCGTTCTTGCCGACGCTCAAGCTCCTCCACAAGATCCCGAACCTCATGAAGCAGGTCCGCGCCGACAAGGGTGCGATCCCGTATGTGCTCTCGGGTGCCAACATCATGGCGCCGGGCCTCACGTCCAAGGGCGGGTCGATGCTTGAGGACATTGAGAAGGGCGAGCCCGTCGCCATCATGGCCGAAGGCAAGGAACTCGCGATGGGCGTCGGTATCATGCAAATGTCGACCGCCGACGTGTACGTTCTTTTGTCCTCCTCACTGCGAGGTCGCATGCTGATATGTAGGCGGAGCGTCAACAAGGGCATTGCGATCGAGCTTGGCCACTTCCTCGGCGACGACCTCTGGACGCTCACGAAGGTCGAGTAATTGCGCAGTCGCAAGACGAGGTTGATGTGCACATACACACTGCCATCTATATTTCTTTGAAGAACGATGATTCGCGCTGTAAGGAGAGTCCGTCGAGGAGGTTCAAGTTGGGGAGCGACTCGGACCGCGGCCGGCCCGTGACCGTCTCATCACTGCTGCTGCCGCTGCTATTATTCGCGGCGGCCTTGCGGTTCCAGTCGAAATTTTGCGTGTCGACGTTGACGACGTTTTGCAGCTCAATCCCGCCGCCCATGAGCGAGTGCTCGACGGTGAGCGCGGGGCCCGACGGCGGGGGTGGTCCGAGGTCGATGCTAGGTGCGGCCGACGTCGGGAATGGAAGCGACGCAGGTGGTGCCATGTCTGTCGAGCTGGTTTGCGACCCCAGACTCATGGTGGAGAGGTTCATCATGGGCATCATCGGCATCATCGGCATCATCGGCATGCTGAGGAAGCCACTGGACATGGACGGGTCCATCATGGGCGGGAAGAAGGGCATCGCTGGCGGTGGCGCGAACATGGCCCCACCAAACATGTTGTTGTTCAAGCCATTGTTCATCGCTGGTGGGGCTGCTGTCGCTGTCGTTGCCGCGCTGTTGGAGGGTGTCGAGACTGCCGACTTGCCGGTCCTTCGGATCTTGATCTTGAGCGAGCCCGTCTCGGCGCGGGCAGTGAGTGTGCCATTGGCGTTGCCATTGCCGCCGCTGTCCATGGCGGTCATGTCGTGCGTCCCATCGTCCGAGAAACCGAGCTCATCCGAGGTCGCCTTGCGCTTGCGCGGGTACTCTGGCATCGAGAAGCCTACGCCGCCTACGATCGCTGTGCATGAGAAGGGTATCGACGACGCAGGTCGTACCAGACATGCAGGTGGGCGGGTCGTCCTCGGCGAGGTAGACGGTCCGAAGTGCGACCAGTTCTTCTTATTTATTGCCAACTCTCAGAATAAGTACTCGTTTGGAGAGGATCTCGCACGCGATTGGGTGCTTTTTATTGGCGGGACCTACCACTTTGTATGCAATTGAGTTGCAACGAATTAAATTAGGCCAGTCGTCAGTAGGCTAGTTCCACGCAACCACATGGTGGTAATCATCCGGCACCACCAGAGGCCGCGCGCGCAGCCCGCGCCTTTTCGCTGTGCGAGATACAACGGACAATACATGCAGGTAGCGTGCCATTATTGGAAGCAAAGCGTATACCATCGTCATATCAAAGACGCAAGTCCCACCGCTAAGTTGGGTGCGAGTAGCGTTGCGTGGCTTTAGCCAAAACCGCTGCTTTCGATGTCACAATCGGTTGCGATCTTCTCGCGATGGCCGTCATCACGCCGAGCGACCAAGGACAGACGCGCCTTCGCCGCAACGCAAGCATTCGCCGACTTCGCCACTCATCATGGTGTTTACCCGAGAGTGTGATGCAGTACAGTAGCTCTGCGGTTACGGGCGGCTCGTATTCGACCCTGTGGTTAGGTCGATTGCACCATACGCTACAATGATCACTTCAAGCTCACTCACGGCCAGCTTGACACCCGCTGAAAAATTCCTCAAATTCACAGGCCTCACGATCCCAGACCCGCCGTCGATGCGGCCGGTCGAAGCGACGAGCAACCCTGAGGTCGCCCTCACGCACGTCGACGCCGACACCAAGTACTGCGGGCGCACGGCTAAGTCGGAGTTTGTACAGCTCTTTCGCACCATGGTGTCGCGCCAGCACTTGGACGTCGAGCCTCGCAGTCGCGCGCACCAGCTCCCAGAGCTCGACCTTACCGCTTACAAGGCTGTGATCCCCGAGGACGATGTACGACAACGATGCTCATCGATCTTGTCGATTAGAATTGATGATGCCGGCGTAGGACGAGCCCGACTTTGACACGATGCTCTGCGAGCCGTTCACCGCGCGCCACGAGTTTGCGTCGCTGTGCCTCGAGCGCGAGCTGCCACCGAGCGCGGGCCTCTTGCTGCGCAAGACGCAGACGCCTGCAATCGACATTAGCCACTATGGCATGGGCGACGACCTGGCTAGAGTCTGGGCAGCGTCCATTGTCGACGTGCCCAACGTCACGAGGTACTACAGGTCTCCATGACGTGAGACGGCAATATCCCTAGCTTGAACCTCCGCAACAACCGCCTCACCGACGCAGGGCTGCCCAGCATCATCGCCGCACTGACGGTCAAGCCCCGCATCGCGATTCTCGATCTCTCCGAGAACAAGCTCGACTCGGAGTGCGTCGACGCGCTCGCAACGTACCTCCAGTTGCCCGTGTGTGCGCTGCAGGAACTCCGCATGAGCCACGCCGATGTCGACGACGCCGAGATTGGTCCGGTGGTAGATCTCCTTTTCTGCAAGAAATTGGACAGAGTGTCCATTTTAGGTGCACGCACTCTACTTGAACCAGTCGGTGCACCTTCTCGACTTGTCGCACAACCTCTTGGGGTCCCACGAGCGCCGGCGCAAGACGCCCCGGGGCACGACCCTTGTCGGTGGCGAGGCCATTGGCGCCATGCTCGAGGCCAACACGACGCTTCGGTCGCTGGATCTGTCGTGGAACACGCTGCGGCTCTCGGGTGCGGTGGCCATCGGCCGCGGCCTCGGTCGCAACAACGCACTCCTCGAGCTTAACCTCGCGTACAATGCGATCGGCGAGATGGGCGCGGCGGCCGTCGGCGTCGCGCTTGGGAGCAACGTAGCGAGCAAGCTCGAGCGCGTCGACCTTAGCGACAACAACGTCTCGGCGCAGGCGGCGCTCGTCTTGTCGCAGACGATCCTTGTCAACGCGCGGCTGCGCTTCCTCGTTCTGGATGGCAATCCGCTGGGGAGCCAGGGCGGGCGGTCGCTCTTCCACGCGGTGGCGCAGTGCCCCAACAAGCAGCTCCGGATCTCAATGCAGCGCTGCAACTTTGATCTAAATGTGCACAATGCGAGCAAGTTCAACCCGGACGACGTCAGCGGTCAATACGAATTGGACCTCGCGGTGCCGTACGAACGCAGCATTGCGATCGAGCTCGTGCGCTGTGCAACTCGCAAGAACGGATGTCGCTTCAAGTCCATTCTGTATGTGCCGCCACCCAACAAGGCCAGCCGCCGCGCCTCGGCCAAGCCCATGGCGGTGCAGGTGCTCTTGACGACAACGTCACCGCCAGGTATGTTGGGCACGGCTGAGCCCCAGAGCCGGGCAGCGCTCGAGGCGCTCTTCCATCAGCTCGACTACGATACGTCCGGAGCCATCGACGAGACGGAGCTGGCCCGCGGCATGCGGCGCCTGGGCCTCGACGCGCGCGAGAGCGACGTGCGAAAGCTGCTGGCACGCTACGACCTCGACGGATCCGGCACAATCGAAGTCGACGAGTTTGTCGACATGATGAGCTGGCTGTACCGCCAAGCCGCGCTCAAGCTCCAGGCGCAGTCGGTGCGGCAGCTCCTCGACGTCCGCACCAACGAACCGTTAGAAGTCCCTGCCATCGGTCACTGGTAATCTCGCAATTCGCGCTCAAACCACGACGATGAACCGTAGGATCGTCGACTTTGTGGATCTTCGACTGCCGGCGGACGCGGTCGAGGCCGAGTCGCTCACGGTGGGCGGTCTGGACCACCTTTTGCGCAACATCCGAGAGAACGCCAACAAGGTACATCTCTGGTTTTGCGAAGCCGTCGCCAACTGCTGCTGCTGCGTGTAGGTGCAGCTCCTTCACGTAGCCAAGCAAGGCATGGTGCTCTCAAGCGATCAAGCGCAAACGATTCTCGATCACATCATGGAAGGGCTCGATACGGTGCATGCGATGGCGTCGCTCCTGCCCTACATGATCGACTGCCGCAACGCCTGTGTCTTCATCGACACCAACCTCAGCGAAGCTGCGCGCGGTCGGCTCCAGCATTTGCTCTTGCAAGCCTACGGCCCGATCGTGGGCATGGCGTCCGACCACTACAAGCTTGACCTCGCCGATGCGCTCGACCGGTCGACCGCCAAGAAGCTCCTTGAAATGAACAACAAGTGCGCGCTCGAGTGGCCACGTCTGCACCCGCTCCAGCCCACAGACGAACGCTGCTTTCGGAATGCATACCACAGCGGCAGCGCGGTCACATTGGATGCAAAGATGCTCACGTGGCGCTTTGGCGTGCTCGAGTTTGACTTTGTACATCGTGTGCGCCCCCCGAAAGGAACGCTACCGCTCTCGTCGACGCGGTTCGCTCAAGTGCTTGCGAAGCTCCAGATGAACCCGGTGAAAGAGACGCCCAAGTGGCGCAAAGTCGGCAAAGACGGCGTCATCAAGCGGTCCCCCAAGGTCTACGAGCGTCTCCGAGAGCTTCGACAGATGAAACACGCGCCGCCGGCCGTCGACCGCGCGGCAATTACGTGCAGTGGCGAAAATGGGACCGAGGTTGTTCTCACGGCGCGTCGGCTGCTCATGGAGCTCCAAGCCGCGCTCTGCACGCGCTACGTGAGCGCGCAGCAAGTGCGCGGCATCCTCTTGCAGTGGCCGCCCGAGTTTGCGGCCAGCCGCGTCGATGCACTTGTCTTTATGTTTGACCGCCTTGTGGATTTGCATCACTTTTACCAGGTATTCCTAGGGTGCGTTTTTGTGGAGAATAATGTCGTGCTGCATAGATCGAAGCGATCTTGACCGACGCCGAAGTTGCGCAGTGTACATTGCTAACATTTGGCGTTTGCGTTGGAGTTGTATGTGCGATAGGCTTGCACCGTCTTGGGTGGCTCAACACGTGGACGCCGCTGATTCCCGAAATGTACTATGAGCTCGACATGGCGATTTACGAAGAACGCGAAATCACAAAATATCTGATTGCGCTTGCGCTCGCCGAGCCGGTGCGCAATAATTTGACAAATGGTTCTGATTTGCTAAATTGTAGGGGGAAAACTGGATTGGCGAGACCTTTGGGTGGACGCTCGACACGACAATTCCGGGCTGGAAGCTCAACGCGCAGTGGACGAGCGACGAGACGATGCCTCGGAAAGGCATTCTGCGTCTCGAGTACTACTCTGGCGCCGACCAGGGCTGCTCGCCGATCTGGCACGTGCGCCAGAACCTCTGCAGCCACATGCTCGCGCACCCGCTGACACCCGACGAGCTCGACGACTTTCGCACCACCGTCACCATGTGACCATCAATACACTTGCAATCTATGGCAAGTCTCAAGCACTTGGTTTGCGCAGTTCGTCCTACGTCCACAGACTTGCGTTCATTGCAAGTGGGCGGCTTTGGACCCCTCCTGTACTGCGCTTCCACGATCACGCGGCGTGAACCGGGGCATAGGTCTTTCATTCTGCATCGCGGTGCTGCCAACCACCTTGCGTGTTTTGCACTTGTCAAGCTACTGGAGTCGGTAACTGGCGCGTCGGTATATTGTAAGTACGTCGCCAGCTTCTGCATGAGAGCAGCGACCTCGTGTCGATGGCCACAGCTTCCAGCAATGCAACGTCCACCAACCCAAGCTATGGGTGCGAGGTCCGTGTTTGCAGCCGGTCGAGCGCCACTTCGTGCAGGTTGAACCAACGAGACTCGAGTCATACGCATGTACAACAAGTCCTTGGCGTCCTTTTCAGCATCCAGGCACGAGCTTATTTGCCTCTGAGATACCTACGAGCGCATCGATCGCTTACCTGCGTTTCTTGGTTCACGCGGGAGCGCTCGCGACTTGGCCTTTCCCACCGCATCAAGATTTCGATTGCACTTTTTGGACCAATCAAATAGGGCGAAATTTTAGCTTGCAAAATGCTGCGCCAACGTCTGCGCCGCCGCGTCGCGCGGCTCGTGCGGCAAGCGTCCCATCTCTCGACGAGCCACGAAGCACTACTGGCCTCTATGGCGCCAGGCCGCGTGACCATCGTCCAGGGCCTTGTTGGCACGGGCAAGACCACCGCCGCGGCCGCGCTGCTGGGCCGAACATCGACGCCGACGCTCGCGTTGGTGCCCCACGGCTTTGACTCGTCGTTGCGCCGTAGCGTCGAAGCATGTACGCCGATTGGGTTTCTCGATATGCAAGACGACGTGCGATTGCTCTCGATCGGCGCGTGGAGCGAGCGCTTCCGCAGCGACTATGACCACATGGCCACCGAGGTTGGCGTCCCAATATCGACGCGACCGCCTCTCTCACAGCCATTTTCGTAGAGAGTGCTGAGCCGCACGGAGGCCAAGGTCTTTGTCCACGACCGCGTCGACCGCATTCCGCGCAAGGTCTTTCGCACCCACAAGTCGGCGCCGATGCTGCGCACGGCGGTGAGCGACACGCTGCGTTGCTTTGGCGAGCTCGAGCGCCACGGTGTGTCGCCAAGCGCCTACACCACGTACATTCAAACAGCGTTGACGGACCCGGCAACCGCGCGCCTCTCTCCCAGCTCGTTTCTGGAAGTGCTTGCGAACCAGACCGATTTGTGCGACGCCTATTCTGCGTACCGAGAGCTGCTGCATGCGGCTCATTGCAACACACACGACGGCGTTGTCCTCGACGCGCTCGCGCTGACCGAGGCGCACCCGTACTACTTACTTGCGTCGCTGGCCGCGACGGCGCAGTTTCTCGTCGACGACCTCCACCACTGGAGCCCCGGGGCTATTGTGGTGCGTCATGCGGCGTTGTCACTAGTGTCGTTGATGCCATTGTGTAGCTGCTCGCGCGCCTGATGCTCGCGTCAACAGAGAAACCGTGGGTCCTCTTTTCAGACCCGTCGGTGCCGGGACCCCTCGACCAGCTGCGCGCGTACGAAGCTCGGCGCTCTGTCTCCGGCGATCGAAGAACGCTGACGCTAACGTAGGTTGCTGCAACACGGAGGCAAGGACGTCAGCGACGTGACCGAGGTGGCCTGGTCGGCGCCAGCGGTCGAGCCGACCGGCATGCACAGCATGGCATACGACATCCTCACCAAGGCATCCAACGTGGATTTGCCATCGTCGGTGCAGCTCGTCACGGTCGCCGGCGAGACCGAAGTGACGCGCATGGCCGGTACGATTCGCGACCACCAAGCGCGTGGCGAGGTACCATCATGCTATTGGCCCAAACGAACACAACAGCGAGTTAGCGCCTGCTTGTGGTCCTTGGCGAGGCGACGCGCGTCGACGACCTCGTGTCGGAGCTGCACGCACTGCACGTGCCGCACCTCTCGCTCGAGCCAAGAGACTTATTTGCAACCGATGTCGTCCGCATAGCGTACTCACTCCTCCAGGCGCTGGCGTCGCCGTCCGACTCGAAGCACCTCTTCAACCTTCTCCACACATCGCCCGAGATTGACCCCCTCTTGCTCGCCCGCCTCATGGAGTCGTCCACGTCGCGGTACCCTACCCCTTGGCCTCCAACAACGACAAGTCATGTCGCATGCCTAGCCACATTGACCTCTACGAGACACTACGACTGCACGCAGTGGACCACCCGCCGATCGCTGCCTTTCTAAAGCGCTTCCAGACGTTGAGAGACGCGGCCATGAAGCTCTCGTGCGCCGAACTGTTGCATCTCTACTTGACCGAGTCGGGTACGCCAGACGGGGGCAACTTGAGCGATGGCACAGAGCGGTCGTAGGCGCGTTGGAGCCGCTCCTCCACCCGACCAACGACGACGACGTCGCACGGTCCGAAGCACTCGCGGCCTTCCTCGACATCGTCCTTGACGTCCAGCGACTCAACGAGTCGCCGTACGTCCCATTTGTCGTGCCGTATTTGACGCAGCTTCGCGAGACTGGTCGCTTGCAGGCCCCAAGCAGCCTCACCATGGTCCTGGACGATGCCTTAAACGACCACCGAGTGCTGGTGGCCTCCCAGCGCTCCGCGTGGCGGCTCCCGCCGCACGTGCAGGTACCCCGTCCTTTGTGTCCCCAACTTTTAGCACTCGTGTGGGAGCGCGTAGGTCGACACGCTTGTGCTTCTGCAGTGGCATGACAAGGCCTTTCCTGGCCGGAAGCCCAGAGGCATTGGCGCAGGCATTCTGCCCGCACAGCTGCTTGAAGCGCAAGCGGGCTCCACAGTATCAAGCCGCGATGCGTACGTAGCTACGTGCCGGCAGCGCTTGGCGTCACTTTTGCTTCGCGCGACGTCCTCGGTGCTCATCTCGCATGCTGCCGATACGTCCATCTCGAGGTACCAATTCACTTGGTGGCTCATGCAACAGCGACCCACGGACGGTAGACTGCTTGCGCCGTGGGCATCGTACGAGGTGGCGACGACCGATGCTGCGCCGAGTCACGTGAGCCCGACGTCGTTGCCACCCGTCCTCGTCGACGACGCCGCGTCATTGCCGCTGCACCACTTGTCGTTCTCGCAAATCGACGAGTACATGCGCTGTCCGCACCGCTATTACCTCGCGCGCGTGCTCGGGCTCGAACCCAAAGCCAACTCGAGTATGGTGTACGGCCGCAGCCTCCACGAGGCCATTGCAACCTACGCGTCCATCGCGCCGCATGCGTCGGCTGCCGAGGTCGGAGCTCTTTCGTTCCTTGTAGCCGGCTGACACGCCGCGTAGGACGCTCTGGCAGCGTTTACAAAGGCGTGGACACCTGGCAGCTGCCGGTCGCTGGTCGAAGAGCGCATTCTCCAAGCCCAAGGCGCCGCCGCTCTGCGCTCGTTCATTGCATATGAAGCCGACCGCACACGTCCCATCGAGAGCATCGAGCAAGCGTTTGAGTTTCACGTGCCGGAAGCCGACGTCCTGTTTCGGGGTACGACACGCATTGCCATGGCCACTGCATCGCGGCGGTGTAGGAGTCTGGGACCGCGTCGAGCGAGAGCCCACAGGCGATGTGTACATTGTCGAGTTCAAGTCCAACTTGGCCGATACGCGCCGAGACAACCAAAAGCTGGCGAACGAGAGCCTCCAGCTTCAGCTGTATATGCTCGCGTACCACCGCCTGCACGGAAGACCACCGAAGGGCGCACTCCTTCGGTCGCTCGAGACCAACCACGGCCTCAACGCGCCGGGGGTTCTCGCGCATTCGGCCGAGACTGATGGCGCCGCGCTGCGTGCGATCCAAGCGACCGCGCAGGCGATTCGAGCGCGCGCGTTTGACGCGACACCGTCATTCCTCGGTTGCGCGTTCTGCTCGTTCAGCGATATCTGCACGGCAAAGGGCGAAAGCGCGTAGATCGTGATCGCACCAACAGACACTCGTGGAGCCATTCAGCTTAGGGTACGGTGTTAGCAGTGGATGAGCCAATGCTAGAGAGCAAGAATAAGCTGCACGAAATAGAGTCTCGCTATGCACGATAGTGATATCATGTCGACTCGACGCCTCCTTGTAATCCTTGTAATGGTCGTTTGGGATCTGGGCAGCTCGTATCTGGGCCGTAGACGGGTATCCAGGTGCGCCCACAACCGAGTCGTCTCAGCCTCATATGCCGTCCTTGCTGCTCACTGTGCCACTCAGTCCATCTTAAGACCAACGTGGCGCATTGGAAGGACTCTTGTTATGGACCGGTTAAGCATGACGTCAAGGCTCTTCTGCATGTTGCCGCTCACAAGACCAACATGACGTCCACTGTCGGAGCACATATGGTGGCGTTTCCACCCGCCTGCTTGTTTCCTGACGACACGCTTGACGACGTGCTCTCGCTCCGCTCCCCACATCGTCGTCGTCGTATACGTGGCTGGCCATTGCGAGTGCGTTAGCATGGAGCATCGTTATTATATGCCTCCATAAACTGTAGCACCAAAATATACCACTGTCGCCTTGGCTATGAGTCGACACCATGGCTCGACCCTCCACAGTTGACGATTCGCTTCCTCTTTGTCTCTCTCTCCTCGACGCTACGACACGAATGCTTGATAGAGAAAAAGACTCTGCCATCGGCGACGACGATCGAGCGCGTCGCGATCGTCCATCACGGCCGCCAACAAAATTTCATCCGCAGGACGTACGACAATGACACGTGACAAGATAGTATTCCGCGTCTGCCAAGCACGAAAGGGCAGTGGATACTCTGCGGTGGCGACTGCTGGCCGCGTGGCTGTTGTGTTTGCAAGTCGATTGGATTGCTGATGATCAGGTCGAACCAGGTCTCTCTGTCACTCGCACGTCCCACGGCTAATTGGTCTGCTACCGGTTGTACCTGCCACTTGACGAAAGTAAGACATGGGCGCCCACCACCACACGGCGCAGCTCGGCCCAGCGTACCGGTCCAACAGCGCGGGCGACGGCCCGGAAAAGACGCGCGACCGCAAGCACTGGTTCCCGCGCTTCAAGTCGACGCTCGCGGGCAGCTTCCGCGCGACGCGCATGTTTGCGTGCTGCGAGTGCGCGTTCGGCAGCAGCGACGGCCCCCACCGCTACAAGGCGTCGGACGGCACGCACTGCCTTTGTGGCAAGGACGAGTGGCCGCTCGCCAAGGCCGTGGAAGTCCACGAGTACAATCGACGTCTCGCGCTCTGCGCTGCCCACGACGGCAAGCGCTACGAAGACATTGTGGCGGCCGGCGACGACGGCGCGCTCTCGCCACTGCCATTTTACGAGAGCAGCATCCTCATTCCGGACGACGCGCTGAGCGATTATTTAAGCGAGTTTCTCGACGATGCCAGCAGTATGGACGAACACGAGTAGTAACATCGACGACCCGAAATTTGTACTCTCGACCCGCCATCGGCACACGGGGCGAGCGAGCGAGGTGGTTGGAGGCCGGAACCGACGTGGCGCTGCTCGTCCAAGGACATTCGATCGATCGAGGAGACGCCACGGGCATATATAAGTGGCCTCTGTTGCTCTTTGAAATACAAGCACGACTAGCAATTATCTAATGGATTCGTTATTACTTGGACCGCGTCACGACGAGCTGCGCGAGCTTGACGAGGGCGTCCCGCGCCGGCGACGGCGGGTACTGCATGATGGCGAGGATTGCGAGCTCGGCCTGGATGATGGCGAGGTCCTTGCTCTTCTGCAGCCCGACGCTCTTCTCGACGAGGTCCGCCGCGAGTTCAATGTCCCCGGCCTTGCTAAACTTGCGCGCGACGAGCTCCTTGAGCACCGGAAACTCCTCCTGCGCGAAGAGGACGGGCGCGGTCGCCAGGCCCGCCTTGAGATCGGCGAGCATCGGCTTGCCCGTGTTCTCGCCCTTGTAGTCCAAGACGTCGTCAATGAGCTACGGCACCCGTCGTCAGTCATGAGACTCGAAGCCTGCACAATGAACCTACCTGGAAGGCAAGGCCGAGGTGGCGACCGTACGCAAAGCCGAGTTCGCACACGTCGGCCGAGTGCTCGCCGAGAATGAGCGCCGCGCGGCAGCTGTTGGCCATGAGCGACCCGGTCTTGTAGTAGTTCTTCCGGAGGTAGTACTCGAACGGCGAGATCGAGCCGTTCTTGTCGGCGTGCCGCATCTGCATGACTTCGCCCTTGACGAGGTGCTCGATGGCGGTCGACATGAGCTCAACAGCCTCCAAGCTCCGGAGCCGCGCGAGGCAGATCGACGAGCGCGCAAGCAGAAAGTCGCCCGCGAGGATCGAGAGTTTTGAGCCAAACACCTTGTTGACCGACTTCATGCCGCGGCGCGTGTCGGCTTCATCGATCACGTCGTCATGGAGCAAGCTCGCCGTGTGGATCATCTCCCTAGGTGGGTAAATATGAGATATGAGAGGCCATGTCGGTCGGGCGTACGTGACTTCAGCAAGGCGCTGCTGCGATGCAGCAATGTACTCGAGCGACTTGTCGGTCGACAGCGGGTCCCGCGCGGCTTCGGCGGCTTGCGCCAAGAGCAGGATCATGGTCGGGCGGATCTTTTTGCCACCGTCGTTCTCAAAAAAGTACCTACGCACATCGAATGAGGACGCAAGCATGGGTATGCGCATGTAGTACTTGGCCACGGCTTCGAGCACCGGGTGGTCCGAGCCAAGGATCGTCTTGATGCTTTCCGAGACCGACACGATGTTGTCCTTGATGAGCTCAAACGGGTCGGCATCCACGGGCGTGTTGATGTACACGCAGTCGGTCACGGCGTCGCCGTTCTGAAGCCTATGTTGCATGAGGCAAGTGCGACCATGCTGCACTCCGTACCGGTCGAAATCCTGCGTCAAGTTGAACGACCGGTGCGCGGTCGCGGCCGTAAAGCCCGGCGATGGGTCCAAAATCGACATGGTCGGCTCGTCCTAAGAAGCGTGGGCGAATGAATTGCATGGCCATGCACGTACCACGGCCGCCGCACCCAGCCACAAGCTCGTGTTGCTCTCAATGTCGACGTTGCTCTGGAGCGAGCCGACAACGCGCTTCATGGCGCTGGCCTGGAGCGAGCTGAAGCGACGGAGCGAGGTCCCTACATGCAGCCATGAGCGCGGTGATGCCATGCCCATGCGCCTAGTACCGGTGCGCAGGAAGCGTTGCATGCTGGACGGGCGGGACGACGGAAGCCTTCGATATGGGGGTCGTGACCTCAACGACCGCGTAAAATCAATGGCCGATAACAACGGCAGACGATCAAAAGTGAAGCCGTCAACATCTTATTGGCCAATCAGGAACGCGAATCGCGCAATACGCGTCGTGGATTGGCCAAATGTGGGTTGTATGGTGTGCCCACGCAGGGGGCCATCATCAGGGACGAGGATAAAAACACCCAATCTTCAACCTGCGCTTCAAGTGCAATTTGGGCGCGGTTGTGTCTCTGCGAGCGTGCTTGGCCCGCCACATGCACATTGGACAACACTAGTAATGCAATAATTCGCTCAGTCGAGTGCGATGAGAGTCTACCAGAGAAGGGCACTTGGACTGTTGCAACCGTCGTCGCGTCTGTCTCAGTGCACGCACCGGTCCAGCTACCAGTCCACAGACCGTGAGGTCCACAAGAAGTGACCATACCGTAGGTGTATGCTCTCACGCAAAGTTGTGTCACTCAGCATTGACCATTTTGTGCCACGTGCACGATGGGCGGATGTGAACTGCGTCCAGTTTTGTCGCGACGGTGTCGCTCCTCTCACCCGCGGCGCCGGCGACGTTCGCAAGGAGTTGGGTGTTTTGGGCGCGCCACGTTGACGCAAAATGATTGGCTGAAATCCTGAACAAATCGACAGGAATTTGGCCAATCGACGCGCGTGGCAATCCCACCAGAAACCCGATTCGAAGGAAGCAGCGACGGATGCCCCGCCGCCTCGACGTCCTGTGGCCGGAGCGCAATGCGGTCGTCGACTACGAGAGCCCAGCGTACCTCTTGGGCTGGCATCTTCAGAGTAACCTCGTCTGCGTTGCGGCCATCGTGCCCGTGTCCCGCTATGCGCTGCCCGTGCTGCAAAGTACGTGCGAATCTTTGGGCGGCGTCGCGCTCACCGCTCACTTCTAGGCGAGGTCGACAAGTGGTCAGCCGACCTCCAGCGCCGCAGTAAGACCGAGGCTGCGTATGCAGTGACGCCCAAGCCCGCGCTCATGGTGCTCGGCGAAGTGCGCCCTGCCGCCATGGCCGACGAGACGACCACGTCGGACGCGACTTCTTCGTTGCGCCAGCGCGGCAAGTCCAGTGGCGCCAAGCCACTGCACCTCAAGAGTCTGTGGCTCAGCGTTGTCTGGGACGGCAACAAGACACCGGTCCTCAACGTTGTCCATGAGCACGGACAGGTTGTCGCGTGCGAGCTCTGCCACGTCATTCTGTACGACGCATCGTTTCCGTGCCGGTTCCGCCACTTTGTCATCAAGAAGCGCCAACGACAGAGCGATGACGAGTCGATGGACACGCCGTTCCAGCATGCCATCGCGCAGCTCAACGATGCGCACTTGGTGCAGGAGCGCTTCCTCGGCCTCGCGCCCCGCTCGTCCTGTACAGCAACAACTGATCCATTCTCTCACAAGTTTCGTGTATTAGACGTCGGTCGCTTCAAAGCGCTCGTGCTCTGGCCGTTCCTCCTCTTCTTTGTGCTCTGTCGGCCGCTTCTCAATGCGATTGCTTGGGTGCTCAACACGCCTGTGCCGCAGCGGTTTCCGGTCGTCAAAGGTCGCTCCATCAAGGTACATATCGTTCTACGCTGCGGCCGTCCTGCAGTGTAATATCCTAGTCGTTCTCGCTCTTTTTCCGGCTCTTGAGCCGCCGCGTGATCCTCCTCGCCAACATCACCGAGCAGTGCATCAAGTTCAACCACATGCAGCACTCGGTGCACCCGTTCCATCCTTTGGGTAATGGATGTTTCTCACCTTAGTCGATTCTTATTGCGTGCTGATAGACAACCGATACGCCGAGTTTGTGAGCGACCTCTTCCTGCTCGTGCTCGACTTTATTGCGGGCTACTACTACGGGCATCTCGTGCCGCTAGCGATATCGTATTTCCAGTCGTACGCCCCGTGGTTTGCAAGGTTGATAGATTGAAACTGTTTGCACCTTAGGTCCTGCAGCGGCCACTTTAATGTGCTCAAGTCCCAAGTCACGTGGCTCATCGACTCGCCCGCGGGTTTCAAGGTACTACGTTTTTTGTATCGAAATCTCAAGTTGCGTAGATCAACGTGGCCCTGGCTTCGATCCTCGGCAAGGGCGTCCACCTCATGGTCGACGTCGCGCAATATGCGATCGAGTCGGTGACACCGTTCATGTCGACGCTGCTTCAGGTGTGCTAGTTCGCGTTGCGTGGACTCTAGACGAAGCGTAGGTTGCTGCGTTTGCAAGCTTGTTTGGCTTGACGGTCCAGCTGGGCCTTCTCTACGACACGATCGAGTACCTCACGCTGCAGACGTACTACTTGTACCTCTACTTTTCCAAGCTGCACCGCGTCCAGGTACCCTTTTCCATTTTTTCAGATATTTTTGGACAATTTTGGACAATTTTGTCTAGTTTGACTTGCTCTCGTCGCTATGGAAACTCTTTCTCGGAAAAAAGAAGAACGTTCTGCGCAACCGCGTCGATTCGTGCGAGTACGACGTCAACCAGGTACGAGAGCCGCTCGCTCGGACTTGATACAATGTTGATACTAGCTTTTGATTGGCACGCTTCTCTTTACGATCCTCTTCTTCGTCGTCGCGACCAACTCGGTCTTTTACCTCTACTTTTGCCTCGCGCGCTTTGTCGTGCTGTGCCTCCAGACGTGCGTGTGGTGCCCAATCGTCTTCTGCCACGTCGTCCCGCTCTACTCGATCAGTCTCTGGCTCGAAGACGCCTTCCACTTCCCCATGGACGTCTACCTCCAGCCGCTCTCGCACGCCCGCGCGCTCTCGATCTCGTTTCCGAATGTGCACACCAAAGACTGCTTTGTCGGCGACGACTTTGACGCGACCGATGCGAGCCGCAAGGGCAGCGACACCAAGCCCATCAGCACCGCCGTCTTCACCTTGCACCCGCTCGCCTACTCGTTCGGCGCGCTCTTTACGCGGTACGTCACGTTGTCGGACGCTCGTTGCATATCAAATGAGAGTAGGTGCAGCGCGTACGTGGGTGCGCTCGGGTCGCACTACACGGTGGCCAAGTTTCTGCGGTGCTTCTTCCTCGGCGAGTACATTCCAGCGCTGCCGTTCGTCAAGACGCCGCTGTGCCACCTTCCGTTTCCGCCATCCACAGCGTTCATGTCGACGAAAGAACTATGGGACGGTCTGCGTGCATGTCAGTGGTAGGACCCATTGCCACGCTCCGTGCGTCCATAAGACCAACGCAGTATTGTCAAGCGATGTTCCGAAAGCTCGAGTCTTCGCTGCGCTTAGCCCACACCAAACTACGTGGCACTCGGAGAGGCGTGCAATTGAAACGCAACCAGCAAATCACAACTGCTACCTCTTCTTCTGCGCAATGTGGGGAGCGCACCACGTCCTCCAAGTATATGGGCCTACGCTTCGACTAGAGCACTCGGCGGACGCAAAGGTAGCAACTAAGACCGACTGACGAGCACTGGACAAAAGATACCAGCGCATTCATTGGCGGAAAAGCCACGTTGCTAGTCGAGGATTGGTGCGATTTTTGAAATCTACGCCAATCATCGCGTCGTATCTTGGATCTTGGCGAAAGGACACACAACTCGATTCGGTCAGCATGAGCGGCAAGTCCAACGACAAGTTCAACAAGACGGTCGTGTTTGCCGAAGACATGACGGACGTGATGCTCGAGAAGGTCATTGCGACGGCCAAAGACGCCTTCCAGCTCCAAGTCACGGTAGGCTCACCTCGCCTCCGCCCACGACATAAACGGCTCTGTAGTCGGGCAAGACGTTCTCGACCGTCGCCGACATGGTGCGGCGCAACATGGAAAAGGAGTACGGACGCGGCTGGAACTGCGTCGTGGGCCTCTCCTTTGGCGCGTACGTCACGCACGAAATCAAGACGTACGTCTACTTTAGCGTCGTCTCGGGCGTCTCGGTGCTCGTCTGGAAGGCGTAAACTTAGTCGCATCATGTATATATATATATTGCAAGCGTCTTAGACCCAGAGCATTTGGCGCATCTTGGTGGAGAGGCTCACCTTGATCTTGACGTTGCACTCGTCACTGTCCTCGTCCTCGTCCTCGTCGTGCGTGTCGGCGCGCGGCGACAAGATTTCCTTTTGGTTGATGAGCTTCCCGCAGGCCGCAAGCTCGATGAGCATGTCGGTGGCTTCGTGCCGGTCGACAACGACCACGTCGATCGCGTCGCCGTGCTCTTCGTGCGTCGGCATGGACGCAAAGCGCGAGGCCCAGCCCGCCTCGCCGTCGTCGCCGACCACGTTGACCACGATGCGCAAGATCTTGATGCGCTTGAGCTTGGTGCAAATGTGCGCGAGCGACCGCACGACGCGGAAGTTGAGCACGTCCGAGCTCATCATGACGACAACAACGTCGAGCGGCTCGTGGATCTTGAGCGCCTCCTTCAGCTGCGCGTTCATCTCGACCGCGTCTTCGGCGTCCTGCATGGCCATGCAAAAGCTAAACGGCTCCCACCCGCAGTTCTTCATGCGGCGCTTGGCCGAGTTGACGACCACGAGGCGCTTGTCGTCGCCAATGATGAGCGACCGGAGCCCGTCGACCTTGCCGTTCTCCTTTTGGCGGCAGTCGCCGACGTAGCGCAGCACCATGCGCAGCAAGGGCGGCCCGAGCAGCTGGTTGAAGATAACGACCGAGACGATCATGGTCGCAAAGTAGCTGCCCCAGCCCGGGTACAAGAGCTGGATCTTCTTGGCGAGACCGAGCGTGACGCCGGCCTGCGTTATGTACCCCATCCACGACACCTTGTTGTGCATCGGGTTCTCCTTGGCGATCGTGCCACCGACGTACGCCCCGAGAAAGATAGCAACTATGCGCGTGATGCACAGCACGAGCGAAACCGCGAGCGCCTTGACGAGCATATCGAGCTCAAGCGACGCGCCCGTGAGCGTAAAGAAGCCGACGTAGACAAAGTCGGCCATGTTCTTGAGCAGGAGCGAGAGCTCTTCGCGGTTCGAGGTCGGGTTCCAGTTGTACAAGGTGGCGCCGGCCACCATGCAGCACATGAGCGGTTCGAGCCACGGACGGCAGAGGTGCCCGAGCACGAAGAGGGAAAAGCCAAAGAGCAGAATCACCGCTTGCTTGCAGAGCCGCAGCAAAATGTACAGACGGCTCTTCCGGCGCACGCGCGGCGTCCGCCACAGCACCACGTACGAGATGACCTTGGCCGCGACGACGCCGACGCCGATCGAGATGGCCATTTCACCGATCAGCTCAAACACGCTCGCGGACGAGACGCTCTTGTTGGAGAGGAACGCTTCCGTGATCATGTTGTTGACGTTGAAGAGCACGATGACGACCACGTCGCAGAGCACCGTGACCGAGAAAAGGAACGTGGTAAAGTGGCCTTGGGACCCGGTCTCTTCAATGACGGCGAGCGCCGACGACGGCGACCGCGCAATCATCATGCAGCCGGCGAGCATCGAGATGGCGTAGCGCTCGGTCGACGTCGTGCTCTGCAGGAACACGAGGTGGTTGGCGAGCACAATGATGGTGAGCGTCCCGACAATGTACTCAAAAAACGTGAGCCAGATCGTGACGCACATGATGCTCTTGAGCTTCCGGCGCATCTCAGACCAGTGCAACTTGGCGCCGGCCGCCAACCCAATGTACGCGAGCGACACTTCGTCGACAAACCTACGACGGCATCAGCACGCTGCGACAATATCTAGTAGAGCGAGAGCGTACCGCATCTGGAGGGTCTCGTTGGCCGTGATCAAGCCGAGGACGTACGGGCCAGCGACAATGCCGGTGGCGAGGTACCCCGTGATGCGCGGGAGGCCCACAAAGGGAAAGAAGTTTGCGATCGTATGGGACGCGATCGCGACAATGATAAACGAAAGCAGCGCGAGGCGGTCCGGGAGGTACGCGGCAAAGTCCTTTGTCGGGTCAAACTCGTACGGCTTGAGCTCGCGGGCAAAGAGCGTGTTGCCGTCCGTAAATGCGTCGACGACCTACGCATCGTCAGCAACGACCGAGCGTAAAGAGGTCGGCACGGACCACGACGTTGCCGCCTGCGTCTTGGAGGGCGCAGTTGATCGGGAGTTTGCCGGGCTTCCACATCGAGTCTTCCTTCCCCAGCACATAGGTCAGTAGATACGTGTCGAGGCCTGACCGCGTAAAGCTCTTGGCCTACAGCCGATAGAAATAACGATGGGGCGCGCGTGGTGCAAGCACGTACGACGGTCGCGTTGTTGATTTCGCAGTCGTCCTTGTGCACAGTGAGGGCCGTCGTTTCGTGGCTGGTGCGAATTTGCACTTCGATGACGCTGTCGACGTGGGCCGGGTCGTCGGACGAGAAGAGCAGCGTCGTGGCCGAGATCGTTGGCCGGTTGGCGTCGATCGAAAAGTCGAGCTTTGGGTCGGCCGTAAAGACGTACGTGTTGCCGGCATCGTTGGCGACGCGGCACTCGAGCGGCAGTGTGCCGTTGATCGGGATGTCACGGTCGCCGGCGTTGACGAGGTACTTGGCCATGTACAGCCCGCCGTGCGCGTCCGACGTCTCCGAGAGCTCAATGCCGCCAACGCCGTTGACAGTGCAGTTGCCAAAGTAGCCGCTCGTGCGGTTGGCCGCCTGGAGCGAAATTGTCACGAGCGACCCAATCTTGGCGGGCACTTCGGACGAAAAGACCATAAAGATGCTCTCGAGGATCGGAAGTGTCCCGTCGACGAGCACGCCGTGGCTGGTGACGACACCGCGTGCGCTCGCAACGTTGCCCGCGTCGTCCGTGACGTTGCACTGGTACGACATGCCACCGGCTAGCACGAAGGGATCACCCTTGGCAACGACGTACGAGCCCTTGGAGGCGCGAATGTCGATCGTATGGCCGATGGGCTGCAAATTGCACTTGCCCGCCACGTCATGGTTGGACTTGGTCACGAGGGAGAACGCGACAGTTTGGTCAATGCCAATAGCTGGCGCTGGCGTTGGCGCCGGCGTTGCTGCGGCATCGTCGCTGGGCGTCGCAACGGGCGCGGATGTGGGCGCAGCCTTGGGGACGACAATCTCGACGGCGTCGACCTCGGGCGGGTACGCATAGATGGCCATCGGTACCGTGTCGTCGACCGTAGCGATTGGCGTCGACACGCCCTTCGCCATCACTTTGCATTGAATGCGCGTCATGCCGGGCTCCGAGTCGGGGTCGCCGAGCTGCACCGTGTAGCCGACGTGCAGCTTCCACGACGACGCCGCGTCAAGCGCCAGCGTCGTGTTGGGCAACGGAATCTGGTTCAGCGTGCACGACGACGTGAGGTTCGTCGGCGCCGCGTCACGCGGCAGGTCCACGGGCACGGCAAAGGCGAGGCGCATGTCGACACCGCAATAGTTGTTGGTCGGCGTCACCTGGTTCTTCTGGAGCGGCGTGCACGAGAGCGCGAGGTCCTTGTCCAGCAGCGTGGCCGTGGCCGGCGGCAGCGCCAGCGCCAGCAAGAGGAGCCATCGGCCCATGCGTCGTCGTCGTCTCCGGGCCACGGGGCGGGACGAGGTATGTTGGTCCGCCATTCTCGTCTCGGAACCGGGATGCTGGGTACAACGGCCAGCACCTGCACCAGAATATTTTAATCGTATTTCTTTTCCTATTTTTTAAATGCGGTTCCATTGCACTCGCATTTTGTATACCCAGTAGCGTTTACGCATTGTATTATCGACAACAGCTAAAAAAAGATCCAGACCGCGTCCGTGGAATTTTACGGGATCGAGCATTTATCCATTTCGTCTCAAATGATAGAAAATGTATCAAGTGTGTCTCAAGACCGTGACGTGGCAGCCAAATAAGGTCGCGCCGAGAGTCGTGCAGTTGTGCGAGAAGATCGTGGGTGCATTCGAACGACAGACATGCGGCGTAGCATCTCGCAGCCCATCTTCCACTGGTGCATGCGCATGTTCGATGCGTTGCTGCTATCGCAGCATTTGGCTGACGCCAGGCACTGCCCACTCGCCGGCTGGATCCATGATACCATGTACCGTCCATGGACATGTTCGTGTGGGCTCGCCAAAAGCAAGCTTGCTTCGTCGTCCGTGGCACCCACGATGAGGAGGTTGGCTTGGGAAACGACCGGCACCTGCGTGGTGGTATTACGCTAGGGCGGGGGATGGCCATCTGATGGGTCGCGCGCCGCTCGCGCAGCCACATGGGGACGGCGGAGGTGGAGGCGTGGTCTCGAAGGGGCTTCCTTAGCGAGAAAGATACTTGCCCGGGGAAAGCTCCGCCGCCCGCCTTTGCATATGGTGCGTGGCACCGACGGTCGCGCAGATGCCACGCCCATCTGTGTCAGCGGCCTGTCGCCTTGGCCACAAACGCATGAATCTTACGCCGCGCGTCGACGTGGGCGGCGTGGTGCCGCTGCATCGCCGACGACGTCACGGCGCCGTATGTGGCCGCAAAGGTCTGGAGCACGTCGTTGTCGGCAAGCAGATCCACGTGCGGGTGCGCCTAGAAGGACCGCCTGAGTGCTCCATCGCGCACGCGCATCATCATCGTCGTACGAGGTAGCCCGCGACCTTGTCGGTGCGGCGGTGGTGCTGGGCGTACGCGGCCCGCACGCGGCGAACGTCGAGGAGAAGGCGTGGCCGGCGCGGCCCGACGCCGTTGGTTCCCGCGATGCGCTGGCGCACGGCGGTCGCCCGGCGTTGGTCGCAGTGTCGGCGCGCACGGACGCGGCGCCAGTTGCGCTGGATGAGGCCAGCGCAGCAGTGCCACACTTCCCGCAGTCGCCCGAGCTCGCACAGGTAGATGCGGAGAACGTGTCGGAGCTGCATCCCGCTATCCCACAAGACATGGCATTACAGCGAGGCTGCGCGACAGACACGATGACAGCGTTACCGCCAACGTGCTTGGATCCGCGCTGCCATGCGATGCTGCATCGCCCATATGCGGTGGACCAAAAGGAGAACGTTGCCTTCGAAGCGGCGCAACCTACACGCATGGCGTAAGATCGCATACGGTCGCATACACACGTCACGTCATGGCCGGCCCCGCACGTCGCACGTATGCACGGTAGTCGGCTTGGACGAGCGCAAGGTCCGCCGTGTCAGTAAACCAAAACACGCGCGCCGTCGCGGCCGACGCCTCGCGCAAGAGCGTTCCGAGCAGCGTCGGGTGCGTCCACGCGATGAGCCACACGCCCGATTGGATCCTCGTGCGCTGCCGCGTCTGCATGCCCCGCACGCGCCGCTGCAGCAGCGTCGCCGCGCGGCGCTCGAGAGCGTCACGCGCGGCTTTGGCGCGGCGCCGGCGGCCCGCTTCCAGTCGTGCGAGGCCGCCGCGGACGATGCGCTACAAAGACACGCCACTGCTCGTCCTGCAAGATGGCGAACTAGGGCCATGACGCACCTGCAGCGTCAAGCCGGCCGCGGCACGAATGTGCTGGGCGTGGTGAAAGGCGGCGGCTTCGGACGCGAGGGCCGGCGCGTGGTTGGTCGCGCCAACGTGCAAGGCCAGCGTGCGCCCACAGCCCACGCACTCGGGGAGGACCTCCCGTCCGAGGCCGAGGCCGCGTCGCCCAAGGGTCGTGGCCGGCCCGAGGCGGTACGCGTTGACAACGTTGAGCGCGTTGCACTGCGCGCAGGTGAGGTACGGACTGAGGTAGACGCCACGCGGGCGCGCCGCCACGTGTTTCATGGACAACCAAAATAGCCATCCCGAGGCGGGAAACGCCACGATGAGTCTCCAAGGCATATATAAGGCGATGTGTATATCGGGATATCTACTACGTAAAGGGCTAAAGCTAATCTATACAAGGCCGCTGACTTCGTCGAGGTTGACGTCCTCCTTGAGCATGTCGTACTGCGCCTGGTCGTCCTCCATCGGGATGAGGACGCACTCGAGGCACTCGGGGTTGCCTTGCGGGTCCAATAATAACGTCAGCGACAAGCTGCTCGTGGCGCGGCCGTTCGCGACAGCGTTCTGGACGACAGTTCGCACCGTCTTGCGCGAGTCGACAGCGTTGTGCACGAGGCTGCGCGCGCGGCCGAGGTCGGCGCTGAGGCAGCCGAGCAGCACCTCCTTGTTCTTGAGCGCATCTTCGCTGTAGCCCGTGGCTTCCCGGAACGTCCGGTTCGCCCGCACGACTTGGAGGTCGAGCGTCATAAGGAGCGTCGGCGTGCTCGAGTTTTCAAAGTACCGGTCGAACGGCGCGTCTGTCTTGTGGCCGCCGCCCGTCGAGTGCAGCATGCGCTCGGCGTGGTCGGCCTTTTGCTTGGCAATGACGAGGTCGTTGCGCAGCATCGAGATGTAGTGCACCGTGTTGTCAAGGATCGACTGCTTGTTCTTCTTGCACGAGACGCCCGCGTCGTCGAGCGACTTTTTGAGCTGGTGGATGGTCTCGTTGAGCTTGAACATGCGCTTCTTCTCCTTCTGGTTGAGCTCTTCGCGCGACCGCTTCTGGCCGTTGATCGACTTGTTGTCGTCCATGTCGTCGTGATCGTTGTGCATCGAGCCGTTCATGTTGTTGACGTTGGAAAAGTCGGTCGACACGTGCAGCATCGGCGCGTTCATTTGCTGGTAAAAGCCATGCTGCGGATGGCCATTGTTCAACACGAGCGGCTCATGATCAAACTCGCCATTGTGGTGGCCCATGTGCGCGGGCGCGTGGTGGGCATGGCTCGGCGGGCCTTGGTGGTGGGCCGGCGTGTGGTGCGGCGGCGCATGGTGCGACGGCGCGTGGTGCGCGGCGTGGTGCGGCGGCGCGTGGTGCGACGGCGGGCCCTGGTGGTGCGCCATCATTTGGCCAAAGTCGCCCGGGTGGCCCTTGTCCATGTACATGCGGCCCTGGTGGTGGTGCTGCGCCTGCATCATGTGGTTGGGCGAGTAGCTGTAGTCGTTGCGGTTCATGGTCGATGGCGGCAAGGGCGGGAGTAGCGGCGGCGGAGGAGCTTCTTAAACACTTGGGCGAACAGCTGCTAAAGTACCGTGTAGTACGTGCTGCGGCTTTCTCCGCAAGTGTGCGTCGTTGAGCCAAATGGAAAATGAAAGCCATATGAACGCCAGCTGGCATTCGGGCCCTGCTATATACAAACGCCAAGTCACTTTCGCTATATTGGATGTTTGTATGCCAATGTGACTCACGCTTTTTACTTGGTGTTTGTATACCCGATAAGATCTGGTGGCCATTTTGATACCCATCTGGTGCGCCGCGTGTGTTTTTATTACTAAAGTTTTTGCTGCATACAAATGTAGAGAGATGTATGTGCAATTCAATTGACCATAAAAAAAGACGGCTGCCGTTGCCGCCTGTCGACGCCATCGCGCGAAGTTCGAAGGGACCGAGGGCGAGCATACTGCGCTGCCGCGTACCATCGAGGACGACGACGAAGAAGGAAAGGATACGCGGTTGGTAGTGGAGTGGGAGAGGCTGGCGTCGGTGCTGCCGTCACGGACGCCGCGAAGCCGCTCTGCGTCACCGTCCAGTGGGGTCACTGACCACAACATGTCGCACATGTCCCAGTACTATCGTTTTAACGCGAGGTGATTTTTCTATTTTTTAATTCATGCCCAAACACTCTTCGTTTGTATGCTTGCTCGGGCAAGGCGCGTAGGTACCTTACCTACACAGTACTGTACTACGCTGGGATGTGTTGCCAACCGGCCGATTCAGTGGTCCGCAAAGCAGAGGGGTTTGCAATCGTGTCGGCCACTCGTCACGGCGGTGCATTACATCGGCGCAGGTTGAAGACGAAGTTTCTCCTTGGCAACGAAGACGACCTCCCTTCCACACACACGTGTGTACGCGTTGCCACCACATGCGCCGCTCGTCTTCCTTATGAAACGGGCCGCCGTTCGGCTGACGTCATAGCACATATTGTCTATTGTGAAATGCTATGGCAGAGAGCGCATATTTGCTCTCCCAATCGCGGCCACGCAATGGTTGGGATAGGATAGTGGATCGGCTTCGCGCTCGTTCTCGACACCGAGCCGGGCCAGAAAAATCGCGCCGTTTCCGACGTTCGAGGAGAGGCCCCACGCCGACGCGCCGCGCCACATGGTTCTAAGCACGCCCTCAATCTGATCAATTAACATGCTGTGGCATGTATATAAACAGGACCCGTGGCCCTCGTCGCCCGCCCGCAGCTGACACAGCTGACACGGCAGGCCACGGCGCCTTACTACCCCATGGCAAGTAGTAGTACAGTGTACTCACTCGTGCTATTCGCTCCGTGCTCGAGCCCATCGAAGCGCACCGCGTACGCTCCTTGAGCTCGTTGTGGTGGGATGTTGCCAAGAGGCGGGGCGCCGCCCTTCTTTTTGGCCGGTCCCCCTCGTTGAAGAACGCGGGTTGTCCGGATGTACGTGTATCAGCATCCGGTTAATTTGAATTCGACGTTCGAAACGCTCGACATTTTCGCGCGCAAATCTTCGAGAATCCGTCGAAGATTTCGCCGCCGCTTGCGCATCACGCATCGTTCATATTTCAACGCGCAGCCTCCGATACGACGATATATGACCACACGCAAGCATGTGCAGCCCGACCGACCCGCTTCGACTTCCGGCCTATGAGCTGCCATCGCTCCACGAGCTGCTGGCGCGCCGCCCGCCACAGCACGTCGCGCCGCTGCGTCGCCATAACGTGTCCTTTGCATCTCCTTCGCTCCTTACTGCTCAGCTCGTCGCCCGTGCGACGCGCACGTCGTTGCACGCGTTGACACGCGGCCCGTGATCCTCTCTCCACTGCACATTGCACTTTCGGCGGATCGTCTTTGCGGATCTTCCATCAAAATAATCGCCCGTGGTCCTTGTACAAATAGCAGGCGCACACGCCTTTGTGTATTAATACATGCATTTATACCCATCGATCGCGTGCGGAAGGACATTTAGACAAGGCCCTTGGCCCGCGCGGCTTCAAACTCCGAGTAGTTGCCGCTAAAGTACGTGGCCTTGCCGCTGCCGTCGTACGACAGAATGTGCGTCGCGATGCGGTCGAGGAACCACCGATCGTGCGAAATGACGAGCGAGACGCCGTCAAAGTCGACGAGCGCCATCTCGAGCGACCGCAGCGTGTCGACATCCAGATCGTTGGTCGGTTCATCGAGCAAAATCACATTGTGACCGCCCAAGAGCATCTTGGCCAAGTGCACGCGGTTGCGCTCCCCGCCACTGAGTTGCGAGACCTGTGTCGTTGTCAGTTGCAACATCCCAGCGAGAGGTACGTACCTTCTTTTCCTGCATCGGGCCCTTGAGGTTGAACGACGCAATGTACGCGCGCGTGTTGATGCGCTCGCCGTTGACTTCAACAAACTCGTTGTCGCCCGAGATCTCTTCGTAGACCGTGTTGACGCCGCGGAGGTCGCCGCGCGACTGCGACACAAAGCCGAGCGACACGGTCTTGCCGAGCGTCACGTTGCCAGCATCCGGCTCGAGGTTGCCTGTGATGATGTTGAAGAGCGTACTCTTGCCCGCGCCATTGGGCCCGACAATCCCCACAATCGACTTGGGTTCGACCTCAAAGTTGACGTTGTCCAGCAGCACCTTGCCATCGAGAGTCTTGGAGACGTTGTTGATGGTCATGACCTTGTTGCCGAGGCGGGCGCCGCGCGGAATTAGAATCTGCCCTTCGTCCATCGTGTGGAAGCCACCTAAAGGACGATATAGCGCCGTTCTCAAAGGGGTAGGTCTACCGTCGCCCTTGAGCTCGTCGATCTGCTTCTGGCGCGCCTTGGAACCCTTCTTGTTGCCCTGGTGCGTCTGAACCCACTCGAGCTCCTGCGCCAGCTGCCGCGCGCGAATCGCTTCGCGGCGCTTGTCCATGTTGAGGCGGTTCTTCTTCTGCCCCAAGAAGTACGAGTAGTTGCCCTCGTAAACAAAGTAGGCGCCGCGCTCGAGCTCGAGGATCCAGCCCGCGACGTTGTCGAGGAAGTACCGGTCGTGCGTGATCGAGAGCACCGTGCCCTTGTAGTTCTTGAGATACGCCTCGAGCCACGCCACACTCTCAGCGTCCAAGTGGTTCGTCGGCTCGTCCAGAAGCAGAATGTCGGGTTTCTCCAAAAGGAGGCGGCAGAGCGCAACGCGGCGACGCTCGCCACCCGAGAGCACCGTCACGTCCGAGTCGCCCGCCGGCACACGCAGCGCCGCCATTGCACGCTCCACTTCGTACGTGAGATCTATTCGTTACGATGACGTCAGCACCAACTGCATTCGGGTAGCAGGCATGTACCCCAGCAGTCCAAAGCCTCGATCTGTTCTTGCAGCGCCGCTTGTTCGTCGAGGAGCTTATCAAAGTCAGCGTCCGGCTCGCCCATCGCCACCGAGACCTGCAAATTGGCATGAGCCTCGGGCGAGGATATTCTTGGGTGCTGCTACCTCGTCGAAGCGCGTGAGGAGCGCCGTCGTTTCCTTGATACCATCCATGACATTCTCAAAGACGTTCTTGGTCGGGTCGAGGTACGGCTCCTGCTGAAGGTAGCCGATGCGCAAGCCCGGCTTGCACCAGCGCTCGCCTTCAAACTCCTTGGTGACGCCCGCAAGCACCTTCATGAGCGACGACTTGCCCGTTCCGTTGCTGCCAAGGATGCCAATCTTGGCGCCGTTGAGAAAGCCGAGGTTGATGTTCTCAAAGAGCTTCTTGCCGTTGGGCAGCGTCACGCCGACCGACTTGACATGCGCGACAAAGTCGCCGGGGGTACCACCGCCAGCGTTGTTGGTCGCCGCAAACGTGCGGACAAGCGGCGTTCGCGTCAGCTGCAAGCGGCGCCACATGAGGACGATTCGACGTTCGGGTTCGACAATTAGGATGCCATCCAATCGGTCGCCGCGATGCCATTGGTGGAATCTTCGCGATACACGCTGTTTGATTGGTCCATTGATGGCTCGTCGCACGCGATTGGTCGCTAGAAAGGCAACTCGAGATGATGCTGCGCACCGCCCGTCGGGCGCTCCACGCCCGGCGCTTTAGCTCCACCGCCGCCGGTAGCGAGAGGTAGCATTAGCTAGCTGTCGGCTCATGCTGCACGGCGCGTAGACGACGTCACGCCCAAGACGCTCGGCAAGATCTTTGCCTCGCAGATGCACGAGCTCGAGGTCGAGAACACGCGCAACTTTAGCATCGTGGCCCACATCGACCACGGCAAGTCGGTGCGTCGTTCGTCCTCTTTACTGCATGTTGGGCTCTTACGGTGGTATCGACCAGACGCTTGCGGATCGGCTCCTCGAACTCAGCGGCAACATCACGACCAAAGAGCGCGAGTCGGCGCAGCACTTGGACAACCTCAAGGTCGAGCGGGAGCGCGGGATTACGGTCAAGGCGCAGACTGCCTCGATGCTCTATCGCTGCAAGAAGACGGGCAAGCAGTATCTTCTCAACCTCGTCGACACGCCAGGTCGCGACACGGCGTGACGAGCATGGCACCTCATTCGTCGCATAGGCCACGTGGATTTTAGCTACGAAGTAAGCCGGTCGCTCAGCGCGTGCGAAGGCGTCTTGCTGCTCGTGGATGCGTCCCAAGGCATCCAAGCCCAGACGCTGGCAACGTACCACGCGGCCAAGGACCTCGGGCTCCGCGTCGTGCCGATTCTCACCAAGATCGACATGCCGCACGCACAGCCCGAGGAAGGCATGTTGAGCCTCTCGGCGCTTCTGGGTAATATGTCTACTACCTCTTAGGATGGAACATTGATATGAAGACGCTAGATGTCGACCCCGAGTCGGTGCTGCTCACGTCCGCCAAGAGTGGTGTTGGTATCGACGAGGCAGGCCCTTCCCAAGACTTCTGCTTCTGCTAACGTGCTTGTGACAGGTGTTGCCGGCCGTCATCGAGTACCTTCCGCCGCCCATCGCGAACCGCAGCGCGCCGCTCAAGTGCCTCCTCGTGGACTCGTACTACGACGACTACCGCGGCATCGTCTGCCTCGTCAAGGTCGTCGACGGCTGCTTGGCACCGGGCGAGAAGGTCCGTGATTGTCTCACTCGGCGCCGTCGTGAGCATCGGCGTAGGTGACGAGCGCAGCGACCAAGACGTCGTACGATGTGCAGGAGGTTGGCGTTCTCTTGCCGCACCGCTTCCCGACCAAAGGGTGCGTCATCGACTTGACGTCTCATTGCACCTACCGTGTCGGCGTAGGCTCTACGCGGGCCAGGTCGGCTACATCATTGCTGGTATCCTACCTCTCTCTTTTCACTCGATGGACTCTGGCTGTAGGTATGAAGACGACGACCGAGGCGCGGGTCGGTGACACGTTTCACCATCCTGGCAAGCCCGTCGAAGCGCTGCCGGGGTTCCAGGTACATCGAATCTGCGGCTCAACTGTTCAAGCTCACCGCGTTCGCATTCAGGAAGCCAAAAGCATGGTGTTTGCCAGCATGTACCCGACGGACGAGTGCACGTTCGACGACCTCCGCACGGCCATGGGCAAGCTCACACTCAACGACGCGAGCGTGACGTCGCAGGTCGAGAACAGCGGCGCCCTCGGCATGGGCTACCGCTGCGGCTTTCTCGGGCTCTTGCACATGGAGGTCTTCCACCAGCGGCTCTCGGACGAGCAAAACATGCAAGTGCTCGTGACCGCCCCCATGGTGCCCTACACGGTACCCGCCCGCTTCGTGGCGAGGTAGATCCTCCCACTCGGCTCTTATGTGTAGGTCATTGATGCCGACGGCGAGCGCACCAAGGTCGAGACGCCCGGGGAGTTTCCCGAGTCGACCAAGTACTACCGCGTCGAAGAGCCGATGGTGGAAGCGTCGATCATCACGCCCGCCGAGTACGTCGGCGCTATCCTCATCTCGACCAACGTGCATCATCCGACTTGCCTGCTTGTGGTCTTATGCGTGGCGTAGGAACGCCGCGGCGAGCAAACCAACATGGTGTACCTTGACGACAGCCGCGTCGCGCTCACGTTCCGTCTCCCGTGGCAAGAGGTCGTGACCGACTTTTACAACGAGCTCAAGACCGTCACGTCGGGCTACGGTAATCTCTGGCGCGCGTCTGCTTGAACCCAAAATCGGGCGTAGCGTCGCTCAACTACCGCGAAATTGAGCCGCAGGAAGCCGACATTGTCAAGGTCGACGTGCTCATCAACGGCAAAATCCTCGACGCGCTTTCGTTCGTGTGCCACCGTTCCAAGGTCCTATCAACGATCTTTTCGAGGACTCAGGCTCCTCGTAGGCGACGGCGGCTGGCCGCGCGCTCTGCCTCAAGCTCAAGAACGTCATTGACCGGCAGCAGTATGAGATCAACATCCAGGCGACGCTTGGCGCCAAGGTCCGGACTCGATACAGGCGATATACCCATGCGGCGGTGTAGATCTTTGCCAAGGAGCGCATCCCGCCGTTCCGCAAGGACGTTTTGATCAAGTCGGGCAAGCAGGTCGGCGGCGGCGACATTACGCGCAAGCAAAAGCTGCTCAAGAAGCAAAAGGAGGGCAAGAAGCGCATGAAGACGGTCGGCAACGTGCAGCTCTCGCAGAACGCGTTCTGGTCCGTCCTCTCCAAGTAGCTCGTATCACAGTAGACTCGTCTTGATGATGATAAACAAAGCCTACGACTGCGCCATGAAATCCGACTCGATCCACGCCAGCGCTGCCGCCACGTCATCGACGACCGCGTCGCCCGGGTGCTGAGGGTGGTTGACACCCGGCGGCGCCGTGTACATGCCCGTGCGCGTCAGCACCGACTTCCAGTGGTCGCCCGCGGCATTGGCACCCTACGCCACGTCAAGATCGAGGCGGCGACGAGCGTTGGCGCACCTTGATGTCTGTAAACGGGTTGTCGCCGACCATGTAGATGCGATCGAGTGCGTCGGCGGCGGGGAGTTGCGACTGCAAAAGCGTCTCGGCGAACGCATACGACGTCTTCTCGGGCTTCCCAAAGAGCGTTTGGGTCAAGTGGTCGCCCGTCGTGCGCGTATAGAGGTCTTCGAGGACCGCGCGGAAGGCGCCAGCGCCAAAGCGCGGCAAGTGGTGCTCGCCAACGTACTGAAAGTCCGAGCACGCCGAGTACATGTTGACCTAATCACGCCATGGACATTTGCATCAAGCATCCTCGATGCAGTCACCGTACGTGCTGGTCGTCCGAGATAGTCCCAATCTGGCCTTCGTGCGACGTGAGCACATCCATGATGATCTGGAGCTCGCGGCCCCAGTAGATTGGATCCATGAGTACAAAGACAGCCTTGAACGCGGCTGCGTCGTACTTGCCGAGGTGCGGGACCTAGACCAAGTCGCGTCCAGTATGAGTGGCGCTTCGGTACTTCGGTAGTACCTTGGGCACGGCAATGTCCGGGTAGCTCGATGGAAAGTGCGAGTGGATGTCCGAGACCGTCACGACGTTGCGAAAGCCATAGTTGTTCATGACCTCCTACAAGAGGATGCTAAAGCGGCGGGCGACGATGCCGCTTACCTTGGTCGCATCGCACTTTTTGCCCACGGCAAGGATCATCTCATCGCGATAGGTGGGCACGAGCGAGCGCATCGGCGTGTGGGCGAGGCAGAGGCGCGACGCTTGAATCTCAAAGTCGAGGATCTCGGAGAGCTGCGCCGCCTTCTTCTCCTCGGTGACGCCGCCGCCGTTGGTCATGATCGCGAACGGCGTCTGCGAGTCGCGGAGCGACTGGAGCACGCGCGTCGCGCCTGGGATCGGCGTCTTGCCACGTAGAAGGACGCCATCGACGTCAAAGACGACGCCAAACCGCTTCGCCACTTGGTGCATCTTGGCCTTTGACGCAATTTTTGTGGACCGCCGATCTTTTGCGTGTCGTTTAACGCATGCGTTAAATGCGTTCAACACCCTGGCGCCACTTGCAGTTCAAGACTTCAACCCGCCTGGTCGACTGCAGATGGAGGAAGTTCCGACGCATCGCTGTCCATCGCTGTCAGTTGATCAGTGTATACTTGGTGCGAACTAGCGCGCCGCTCGTGGTCAGAGCATGGGTGTCGGCAAGCACACAGACAATATTGTGGTGGGTTAGAGAGCTCCTACTTGGGCTGGAACGTCTGCTTCTCAAAGAGGTTGAGCGTGACGGTGCTCACAAACGCGGGCGGCGAGTTGCAGTGGCTGAGGTACCCGAGGTACTTGGGATCGAGCGACGCGCAGAAGTCGGTTTCGAGCAGCGCCATGTTTTCGTCGTCGACGAGCCGAAACTTGATCTCATCGGCCTCGTTCTCGGCGTACATGGACCGGAGCGAGAGCTCGTTCTTCTTGAGGTCGATCTTGTAGCCTGTCACGCGGTACACCGCATCGCGGTACTTGTTGATTTGGTCCCGAAACACCTACATCATTGTCGTCTACCTGTCTTGCACGGCCCTCGGTACTACCTCCTTGAGGCGCTGGTTCAGCATACGCAGGCCCTCGACCGTCTCGTGCGGCGTTGTGATGCTGGCGGCGCTCGTCGGCGGCTTGGCGCGCGGCGTCTGGTGCGTCGCTTGCTGCAGCGTCTCCTTGAGCCGCTCGTTCTCCTCGCGAAGCGCCACAATGTCGGCTGGCTCGGGCGCCAGCGCATGGTGCGACGTCGGGTTCTACAATACATCAGCCCACGCCTCAATCACCTGTGACATCCAAAGTACCAGCATCATGTGGACGACCTTGGTTGTGCGCGGGTTGAATTCTCCGCGACCGAGACGCTTCTCAAAGAGCGCAAGGTCCGTCTCGAGCTTGACGATCGCTTTGGCGAGGCGAAGGTTCTCGGCCTTTTCGTCGCTGATGGACCGCTCGAGCGCGGTGATGCGGCCCTGCTGCTTTTCCATGAGCGCCGGCGACGCCATCGTGCGCTGCGCCTGCTGCAGCTCCGCGTTGACCGACTCCGAGCGCGCAAGGGCCTCCTTGAGCTGCTGCACGAGCTGCCGCGCCTCGGTCGTCTCGCCGGCCTCGTACGAGCTGAGGAGCGACGTCAGGTCGAGGTTTGTTTCGCGCATGCGGGTGCACACACGCGTCTCCTTGTCCATCTACGCGTCTCCTGCTAAGACCATAGTGCCTCCGTACGGACCTCGCGTACATGGTACTTGGCGTCCGTGAGCTCGGCCTCGAGCTGCGCGTGCTTGGCTTCCCATGTCAGCGCTTCGTTTGTCGCGGCCTCCAAGCGGCTGCTGAGCTTGGTCATTTGGAGCTCCAGTTGGCCCTACGAGGTCGCGTCAGCCATAGAATCCAGGCCTCGACGATCAGAGGTACGCGCTGGAGCAAGAGGGCCTCAAAGTCGCTTTGGCGTGCAACGAAGAGCTCACTCACGGCCTTGGTTGGGTGCGTCTCGACGAGGTGCGGATCAAGACCGTCTACAAGCAGAGTGTACGTAACACGACAAGCGACACGCAAATTCGCACTCGTTGGGTCGGTGAGGAGCGGCTCGAAGAGCTCCTTCCACTCGCGCTCGTTCTCGAGGAGTGCTTCGTACGCCACCTGATGCGAGTACGATAAGCGATGCGACAGGCTGCGCTAGGCTCACATGAATCTCGGTCTTCTCCGACGCGCGCTGCTCGCTCGCGTCCAACAAACGCTGTAGTGTCGTGAGCTGCTCGGTCAAGACTTCTTGGTTCTTGGCATGTACGCGCAGCACTTGCATCTTTACATGCGCCGGTGAGACGGAATGGTTCGACGCTGCGGTCCATGTACCTCGTCCCGGTCGCGCTTGCTGGCCTTCTCGAGGTCGGCGACCTTTTGGCGCAGCGCTCGGAGCTCGGCCGCGTCGTGGAGCGTCTGCTGGGCCTCTTCGAGTGCCTTTTGCGCATTCTACGTCCATGAGGTTCAGCCGCTGCAAGGCGTACATTCCGCACCGAAGCCAGGATCGTTTGCTCGTCGAGTTGCATCTGCAAAAGGCGGATTTCGGACGCCATGGCCTACGCGGTATACATGCATAGGTCCTATATGGTGGTGGGAAGGAGGGTACCGGCGATGACGACGATGCGTCGTGCTCGTCGTCGTCTTCGGCGCTGTCGTCTTCGTTGTCGAGCTTGCTGTTGGCTTCGTCCAGCTCGTCGCGCAGATTCTCAATGATCGTGTTGGCTTCGTGCGCTGTGTGGTTCCGCTCTGTCTCGAGCTCCTCGATGCGCTCCTTGCACACGACGATCTCGTCCGTGGCCGTCCGCAGCTGCTGCTCCAAGTCCGCACGCAGCTCTTGGTACGCTCGCTGAAGGTCCGTGCTTTCTTCGTTGAGGATATCGACCTTGCTGCGCATCTTTTCTTCTTCGTCCATGGTCATCTTGAGCTGGCGCTTGAGCTTGGCGATCTCGCTGTCCTTGGCGGCCATCGCAAGCTCGTGTTTGCTGTGCGTTTGCTCCTGGGCAATGCGCGCCGCTTCAAGCTCCTGCGTGAGAATGTCGATACGGCTCATGGCGGCGTTCTCGATGCTGGACCGCGGGCGCTTCGAGCCGCTGGTGAAGCTCGCTGGCGATGGCGTCAGCGTGATCTCGATGCCAGACTCCTGGACCGTGCCCCGGCTGCTGTCGACCAAGCCACTGCTAACCATGAGGTGCGACGGCGAATCGCTGCGCTCGATCGGCGAGATGTAGCGCGTGTTCTGCAGGAAGCCGTCGCGGGCAGGCGGCGGCGTCTCCTCCATCTCTGGTGCTGGAGCAGAAATCACACTATTTCTGTAGCTCTCCGGATTTACGGACGACTGGAAATTGTGTGAACAGTTGGTATCCGTACGAAGCGAATCATTTTGGCCAATCGAATCAACGTTATCGATTCCATCACTGTGATTGGTCATAAAGTGAGTTGCAGCGTGATGATTGGTGCAAAGGTGCAAGATCGCCCTCCCACCTTGCCTCTGCGCCGCTGCAACAGACCCCAGAGTGCTAACTTGAGGTACACTCGGTGACCGATAGAAAGCGAACATCTTTCCCGCGCGTACTGCGTCAACTGGGGCATTCGAGGGGTGATTAACCACGTTCATTGGCAGGCGCCGAGAAACTAGATCGCAGTCAGTCCTGGGGACAACCCACGCAGTTTTCACATGTCGACATCGCGTCGCCTTCGAATGACTCTAGTATTAGTATAGAGTACTGCGCACTTGATTTGCGCCAATAGTTTCGTTGCGGTGGGCTTCCGGTGTCGCCTCGTACGCTTGGTTGCGCCGTGCGCGAATCGACGACGAAGCACCAAGCGCAGCTTCTTCTTAAGCCGTCTCTTCGTGATGTTCCACGCTGATCCGGCTGCACTGAACACTGGTACTAGCTGGAAGCGAGATGCTGTTGCGGCTGCGGCAAGTTGCCCTACTGCGGCCAAAGAGGTCTGGCGACGTCGAGCACAAGCCGCTCTAGAAATGAAATGCCAAATGACCGCAAAACCACCGGATCGTGTCCTCTCGGCTCGCGAAAGTGCACGGCTGGCGCCAGACGATGGACGCAGCATCCACCTCAATCCTTCGCATATGGATGCGTCCATGGATGGCTCGATCTCGCATGATCTCCATCTCACGCTTGGCGATGCCTTGCGTTGGTTTGACTAAAGTAGCTCTTTTACGCTTGTAGCGTACACGCCGAGCTGCGTCGGAAGGCCAATTCATTCCTTGTACTATCCGCGGAAGCCTCCCGCCGGTGCTGTCGCGCGTCTTGTCCGTGGATGCCCCGTCGTTCCAGCAGCTGGTGTGGCGCACTTGAACTTGGGGCTTGAAGTTCGCGTGCTTTAGCTTCATTTTGGCCAATCGTATGTCGGCAGGTCATGATTTTAGCCAATCACCGCAAAGGGCAAAATGAAGATTCGCTGGCGATCCAGCGGCCAGAACGGCAGCAGTCTTCATTTTACCTTCGACAGCGAACAACGATGATGATGCTTCGCTCGAGCACCAAGCTCAACACGGTGCTGGCTCGCCGCCAGAGCACGCTCACGTTCTCCAAGTACCCGTTCCTGAAGGAGCTCGGTCTCCAGGAGGAGAACCTCGGCGTCTTTGACGGCGAGTGGTTCGGCAACGGCCCGGTCTTCAACAGCGTCAACCCCGCGACGAACGAAATCATCGCCAAGACGCGCACGGGTACCAAGGCCGACTACGAGCGCGTCATTGCCTCGATGGACGCGGCCAAGAAGGACTGGGCTGAGGTGCCGGCCCCGATCCGCGGCGAAGTCGTGCGCCAGATCGGCGAGTCGCTTCGCGCCAAGCAAAAGGCGCTCGGCCAGCTCGTCTCGCTCGAGATGGGCAAGATCACGGTCGAGGGTGTCGGCGAGGTCCAGGAGGCTGTCGACATTTGCGACTTTGCCGTCGGTCTCTCGCGCTGCCTCAACGGCTCGATCATTCCGTCGGAGCGCCCGGGCCACTTTATGATGGAGCGCTACAACCCGCTCAAGGGCCACGTCGGCATCATCACGGCCTTCAACTTCCCGTGCGCCGTCATGTTTTGGAACGGTGCGCTCAGCCTCGTGGCCGGCAACACCCAAGTGTGGAAGCCGCATGACAACTTGTGCTTGACGTCGATCGCGTGCAACAAGATCGTGTCGGACGTCCTCACGAAGAACGGGTACAACCCCGCGATTGCGTCGCTCATCTGCGGCAGCGGCAAGGAGGTCGGCGAGCCCATGATCAAAGACAAGCGCATGGAGCTCATCTCGTTCACGGGCTCGACGCACGTCGGCCGCCACGTAAATGAAGTGGTCGCCAACCGCTTTGGCAAGGCGATCCTCGAGCTTGGCGGCAACAACGCGATGATCATTGACGAAGACGCCGACTTGACCATGGCGCTCCGCGCGACGCTCTTCTCGGCCGTCGGCACGGCGGGCCAGCGCTGCACGACGCTCCGCCGCATCTACCTCCACGAAAACATCTACGACTCGTTCGTCGAGAAGCTCGTGACTGCGTACAAGCAAATCCCGATCGGCGACCAGCTCGACCCGACGACGCTCTGCGGCCCGCTCCACAACCAGCAGGTACATTTCGTGTCGCTCGCAAACACCTCTTCACACACATGTATACAGGCGGTCACCAACTTTGCCAACGGCATCAAGACGGCGACGGAGCAGGGTGGCAAGGTCTTGACGGGCGGCAACGTGCTCCCGGGCCCCGGCAACTTTGTCGAGCCGACGCTCGTGGCCATTGCGCACGAAGCGCCGATCGTGCAGGTGCGAAGCCTGCGTCGCGTCGTCGGTCGTTGCTGACAAGTTGTCGATTACTGTGTAGACCGAGATCTTTGCGCCCATCACGTACGTGATGAAGTTTAGCAACCTCGACGAAGCGATCGAGAAGAACAACGACGTGCCGCAGGGCCTCTCGTCGTCGCTCTTCACGACCAACCAGGCCGCGATCTTCAAGTGGACGGGCCCCGCGGGCTCGGACTGCGGCATCGTCAATGTCAACATTGGCCCGAGCGGCGCCGAGATTGGCGGCGCGTTTGGCGGCGAGAAGGAGACGGGCGCCGGTGGCCGCGAGTCGGGCAGCGATGCGTGGAAGCAGTACATGCGCCGGTCGACGTGCACGATCAACCACAGCAAGAACCTCCCGCTCGCGCAGGGCATCAACTTTGGTTAAGCCCACACTTGTTTATAGAGCATTGATGATACTACGTGGCGTGTGCTATGAGCTACTACTTGACGACGGAAGACGGTGGTGGTGGCGCTGCTGCTGGAAAATGCGGTCCATCTGCGACGTGTTGTGCGCAATGAACGACTGCCCGACCTTGTGCACCCTAGCTTGGAATGCCTCAAACCACGCATTTGGCTCGGCCGGCATCGACGAGAGGTCGCAGCCCCAGTACGCGGCTTCTCTCGCCATGTCGAAATGCCCATGCTGGTCGAAGCCGTGCGAGTTGATGTAGACAACGCGGATGTGCGTCGCGTGCTCGGAAATGCGATCGAGCACGATCCTACACGAGATTCAGTCGCTACGATCACATGTGCGTCGTACCAGAGTCGGCGGTTGCACTGCTCGTCGTTGAGCGGCTGCGTCTCGTCAAACGGGATGTTTTGGCACACAAAGATGCACTGATTGGAGGTCGCAAACTCACGCGAGACAAAGTTGATGCTCTCGCGCGGACTCGACGCGATCCGCGTGTACGAGATGTGCGCTGCGACTTGATCGACAATCTAGTGCCATCATGAGTTGTAGTGTCAAACCAGAGTGCGAGTACTACATCTGGGTCGAGTGGTGTTCCAGTACCCGTCGACCAGACGCCGCCGTTCACAAAGTGCGTGACAAAGGCGCGGAACGCCGCCACCGTGGTCTCGAACGGCGCATTGTGCTTGGCCTGGTGGCGCCACGTGTACTCAAAGTACTCGGGGTCGCTCATGTCGATGGCAAAATCGTCGAATCGGTCGGTGCCGCCAAGGGACTGGAACCCGCAGAGCGAGAGCATCCGCTCCGTGTTGTGGTAGAGGTGCTTGGTGATCCAATCGAGACCGAGCTTGCGCGACTCCTTGTTGGCGAACAGCGTCGCGTTGCGCCACGAGTACGCCGAGGCCTCGATGGATTTCTAAGCACTCGACGTCAGGATAACGTGGCAAGAGTGTGATCAACGACGCCACCTGGATGGGCACGTGCTTCGTGACCCACGTTGTCATGACGACGACCAGATCTTGGTACTCTTCCAGCTGCGACTTGAGCGCCTTGTTTTTGTGCGTCGTGAGCACGGCCTCGTCCCGGAGCGCCGACGCCACGTCGACCCACGGCAGCTCGGTCGGAGCATTCGCGCGGAGCTCGGTCGTGAGCGCATCGACCTGAACCTCCAGCTCGGCGACGAGTGCGCGGAGCGACGCCACTTCGGACGACTCGCGGCTGCGGTACTGCCGCTGCTTCTGGCGCTGGTACAGGCGCCGGCGCAGCTTGGCGGCGGCCCGCACCGCGTCCCGCTCGGCGTCCATGCTACTGTGACCGTTCTGGGAAAGGCGGTCATCCGGATAGCGGCCGGATACGACTGTACTATGTACGGTCGTGTACCCATGCGACAGTCGCCGGCCAAGCCGCGGCGCAATCTGGGGGTTCATCACCAGCGTTCCTGTGGCGCAGACGCGTCCGGTACCGCCGACGCACCCAGAGACCATGCGTGACGCTCTTCTTGCCACCGCACGTCACCTCTTAGATATCAGGCCGCGCCACTCGATGCCAATGAATCTTCTTCCTTGGCGCCAAGCTGCGACTACTGTACGATTCCAGCGGGTATCAATGTAGCGGCGAGCTGAGACGCTATACTCCGCAAGGTCAGCACGTAGGTGGTCTACAGTTGCATAGATGACTAATGCACAAAACTGTCCTCCCTGGCAACGACATTAATATAATACTAGACTCGATTGTCTGAGACAGCCCAGCGCCGAGGCACGTACACTCACGTACATTGGCGTACATTGGCGTACATTGGCGTACGGGACGCAGCGTACTTCAATGTACGGTCACTCTCGGCAGCCGCAGGTGCACAATCGATTTCGTCCATCGCTACGCACATGCGCCGCTTCAGCTCCAACACATTGACCCGCCGCTTGGCCGGCGAGCTCTCGGAGATCAAGGCCGCGGGCACGTACAAGTCGGAGCGCGTCATCACGTCGCCGCAGGGCGCGTCGATCGTCGTGGCCGACAAGGGCGTGCTCAACTTCTGCGCCAACAACTACCTCGGCCTCTCCAACCACCCGGAGGTCGTGGCCGCGGCCAAGAAGGCGCTTGAGACGCATGGCTTTGGCCTGAGCTCCGTGCGCTTCATCTGCGGCACGCAGGACATCCACAAGGAGCTCGAGGCGGCGATCGCGCGCTTCCACGGCACGGACGACACGATCCTGTACCCGTCGTGCTTTGACGCGAACGCCGGTCTCTTTGAAGCCATCTTGAACAACGAAGATGCGATCATCACGGACGAGCTCAACCATGCGTCGATCATCGATGGCATCCGCCTCTGCAAGGCCGAGCGCCACCGCTTCAAGCACATGGACTTGAAGGACCTCGAGGCCAAGCTCGAGGCGTCCAAGCACTGCCGCACGCGCCTCATCGCGACGGACGGCGCGTTCAGCATGGATGGCGACGTTGCGCCGCTCAAGGGTATCTACGACCTTGCCCAGAAGCACGACGCCCAGGTGTTCATCGATGAGTGCCACACGACGGGCTTCTTTGGCGCCACGGGTCGCGGCACGGACGAGTACTTTGGTCTCCGCGGCAAGATTGACGTACGACGACGCTGCTACCGCATGATGGGACGCATAACTCATCTTGCCTTGCATGTAGATCATCAACTCGACGCTCGGCAAGGCGCTTGGCGGCGGCACCGGTGGCTACACGACCGGTCGCCAGGAGGTCATCGACACGCTCCGCCAAAAGTCGCGCCCGTACCTCTTCTCCAACTCGGTCTCGCCCGTCGTCGTCGGCGCGTCGCTCAAGGTCTTTGAGATGCTCGAGAGCTCGAGCGAGTACGTCGAGCAGATCCGTGACAACACGCACCACTTCCGCGACCGCATGGCCGCCGCTGGCTTCAAGCTCACGGGCGCCCGGTAGGATCCATCATGCCATGTAGTTTTATGCTAAGATGTCTCTGTAGCGACCACCCGATCGTGGCCGTCATGATTGGCGATGCGCGCCTCGCGTCCAAGCTCGCCGATGACATGCTCGAGCAGGGCATTTACGTCATTGGCTTTAGCTACCCGGTACGATGATGGTCTTCTCCCACAAGGGGGTGCTCATACGACCCCATATGTTAGGTCGTGCCCAAGGGCCTCGCCCGCATCCGCGTCCAAATGTCGGCGGCGCACTCGCGCGCGCAGGTCGACAAGTGCATTGACGCCTTTATCGCGTGTGGCAAGGCCAACGGCATCATCCAGTAAATTGGTCCACGTAATCCACTGGAAATTGCAGCGTTTCGAATCCGGTCTTTTAGCTCAAGGCAAAGCTGTCAGTATTCTCGATCGCAAAGCGGAGCTTCGTGACGAGCGTCGTATACGACGTGTACTTTGGCAGCACGAGCTGGTTGAAGCACGTGTGGGACCGTGGCAGTGCGTCGTCGCTCAGATCGGAGAGCGTGATGGTGAGCGGCGGCTCGAGCCCATCCAGCGGCAAGGTACTCGCGCCCGTCGCAAACTGAAGAAATCGCTGGCGCGTCGCATTCTCCCAGGAGCGCAGCACTTGCCATAACCACAGAATGACTTGGGCGCTGGCGTCGTAGCCGCCTTGGTACACGGCTGTTGCGCGCAGCTGGTCGACATCGACGCTCGGGTTGCCGCTCATGAGCAACTGTAGCTCGTCTACCATGACAATAGTGTTGGTGAAATGCGCATCGACTATGCGACATGTACGCCAGGTAAACGGCTGCAGCGCCGCCGCGGGGAGGAGTGTGTGGAAGCCACTGAGAAAGGCATCGAGTTGTGGTCGTATGGCGAACGCGGTGCGCCATTGCCGCCGCAGCGCCACGTACTCGAGCTTGTTGGCTTCGGTCACATCAATCGCGCGTCCATTCTCTTTGAGATCCACTAGCGATAATGCAACCTATGAACTGAGGGTGGTGCCGACCTTGTCGTGCGTACCGAGGACGTTGTTGGCGCGCGTGATGGAGAACGTGTCAAATAGCACGTCGGTAATATCGTGCGTCTCGATCCAGCAAAGCGACTTGGCCAACTGCGGATCCAGTAGCGCGAGGTCCGCGGTGGTGTCGGTCTCGCCAAGAAGGTGCTTGAGCACCAAGGGCGCCAAGGGCAGCGCCACGACGTGTCGATCGTATATGGCTTTGGCCACAAACTTGCCTACGCGATGACGTTAGCAACCTCAAGAGATGCGGTCGCGACCGAGGAATCGAAACGACTTGAGGTGCGCGGGCGTGTCGGCGTCCGGGTCGATCTCATACACACCGCCATCGTCTACGACCTATGATGAGCTCTTGGTAGTTAGGGTGTCGCTACCTAATGGACGAAAGAGTCCCCACGACGACTGCAGTGTCGCTTTGGAGACGGCCAAGTACCAGTCCTAGAGTTCTCGATGATTGACCGAGCAGCGTCGACGATGCGAGTAAGCACCTTGGTGAGCCCCCCCGAGTCGATGCCGTCTTCGTCGTGGTACGTAACCCGGGGCTTCCCAAGCAGCTCCTTCTTGGACGCGGTCGCAAACCGAGCAATGGTGTCGGGTAGCACCGTAGCCCGGTGTACGGCCACCTCGAATGCACTTGGTGGCACAGTGGCGTTGCCACGGAGGTCCCGATGCAAGTGATAGCGCTTCTTTCGAAAAATCATCTCGGGGGTCTCTTCAAGAGCATCGCCCGTGGCTTTGCGTGCGGCCGCAATCTCGGCGGGCTCGTCGTACGTGCGCTGGCTCGTAAACTACAACCACAAGGTGGAATACTGTCCGAAAGCTACTGAGGTACCTTGTTGAAGTAGAACACTTTCTCCTCTCGCGGGTCCCAGCACTCGACCCACCTATGCACATGAGGACACCCGGTGCCGCCGTTGCAGTTGCACCGCTCGCTGCTGCAGGACGCCGGGAGCTCCTGCACCTCGGGGCGCCCAAAGGCGGTGGTGCGGATCGCGCGACTCTCGAGCCAAGGTGTGCAGCCGACGATATTGGCCGCTTGGAGCCGAAAGCTGTACATGGTTTTCGGGCGCAAGCCCGCGCAGAGGTACTCTACGACTCGAATGTCAAGTGGAAACGTTGGAACGTGCGCACCGCGTTCGCGGCCTGCGTAGAGGTGTTCGAAGGGCCCAGTTGCCTCATTGATCTCGCGCACTTCAAGCGTATATGCAGTGATCGGCGACCCGTGGTCGTTGACAGCGGCCCAACATACATGAATGAACGTGTCTGCAATGACAGCGGCGTGCAGAGCATGTGGTTTGTCGGGCGCCCCGGCCAGCGTGAAGAACGGGCCGCCGGTCGCGCTGAACTCGCTCCAGCCCTAAGAACCGTAGTGGAACCAAAGCGACAACACGAGAGGTCGACCGCAGGGTTGCGGCAGCGCACGCGGAAGAGGTAGCCCTCGTAGCACGTGAGGTCGGTGAGGGCACCTTGCCGACTGTTGGCGTCGTGGGTCAAGACGCTCCAGGCTTTGACCACGGCGCTGGCCGCTGCCATCTTTTGATATTGCACTTCAAACCGATCCAAAATGCTACCCGGCGCCTCGGTCCACGCGACCTACATCCCTGCTCTCTTCCTTGCGCCGTTTTGCAGAATACGCACCGTGAGGCTCGCGACGGTGGCCGTGACAAAGGTCGGCGTCAGGGGTGGTGGCGGCGGCTGTGTCACGGAAGCAAGTGCAAGCATGTCTTCTGCCTTGAGCTTGCGCTGGCCGGACTCTTGGTCGGTCACAAAGGCGTTCCTAAGTAGACGTTATCAACGGAGAACGACCCACACGACTGTCAAACCCGTCGTTGTCGATGGCGACTGCGATTGGGTACATGGCTTTCATATCGATCGAGACGCGCTTTTGCGACAGGAGCGCTTCGTCCAGCGTGATCCAGAGGTATGTCTGCTTCTTCAATTTGCCAATGTCGTGGCAGTCGTCCTTGGGCGTGTCGAGGGCCAGTCGCTTGGCTTGGACCGTCACAGGCGCATACGGGTAAATGTTGTCGACCACATATTGCTACAGAGAGAGCGTGAGGCAAGACGTCGTGACGAATACTGTCGTACGACGATGAGCGCGTGCTTGGCTTCCATCTCGTGGATCCTACACGCAAGTTGTCGACCATAACGACGTCCGTGGAGACTGACGCACCGCTTCTCTTCTGCCTCCAAGTCAAAGTCGCTGTCCGTGGACGCGCCATGCAGCTTGTCGGCGGCAATCTTGGAGATGGACCGCGTCGCCTTGCCGCCCATCGTAAATGTTGCCTTTTGTAACGCCCAACGGATGACCAGGATCACAGCTTTACGCCTCTAATGTAAAAACCCCTATGAGTCGTGGCAGCTCCGTCCCAGTGTGCGAACGCAACGACGACTCTGCATAGTACTCACTTGTCGACTCGATCGCACATGCCACGAGCTCTAAGCTACATGGAATACTTTGTGGAAAAGCCAAACTATGACGTGGCATTGTGAAATGTTAGTGTAATGGTCGATGCAAATAAGTTCGGCTTAGAGCTGCAGCAAAGCGGGGTGCACGATGGCTAGCATGACGCTCTGGGCGGCCGGGAAGAAGACGAGGTACCCAAGAAGCGCGCCGCAGACTACATCCGATGCAAAGTGGCGTCCCAGTGCGAGCCGCCCGATGCAGTTCATGACGACCCAAAACACGCCCGTGAGTAGGATCTCTTGGGACTGGGTCACAACGTCAACTTCGTCCAAGAGCGGCACGGAGCGCAGCGCGACGGCCAGCAGACGCTGCTCGTCTAGAGACCAAGGAGATGTCAGGCAGACTGCACTACGAAAACGACGTGACGTACACGTGACAAGCTCGACGATCCACGCAAAGAGGCAGCCGACGCGCGTGGCATGGCCTGACGGGAACGAGTACTTGTCCGGGCCCGGAAAGCGCATGTCGTGTTTGTGGTACAGCGGGCGATGGCGCCGAAACGCCGCTTTCATGGCCAAGTTGAGCGCAAAGTCGAGCTACAGGCGGACACTCAGCACCGCACACCAAGATCTTATTGTCAGGACGTACCACGACCGTCACCGTGAGGTACGTCGCGAGGTAGATCTGGTCGGGCGAAAGCACAGGCATGGCGCCCGTCGCCCATGCGAGGCCAGCCAGCGGCGGCAGCACGGCGAAGAAGCTACGCTGCAAGATGAGTCGACTCGCAAGGCGACCGCGTCGTCGTACAAGATGCCATCGCCCGTAAACGTGATGACCTCCCACATGGCCTTGGCAACGAACGAGTCACCGCAGTTCTTGTGGAAGAAGGTGACAACGTCGAGGTCGACGCCGTCGTTGAAGCGGTTGATCCAGCTCAGAGTTGACGTCGAGGCCATGGCGGCGTGTTGAGGAATGGTCGCCTGTCTGAGATGGCCTTTAGTACATCCCAATCAACACCACTTTTAATGCCATTGGTATCTCGAATACCTTGATATTTGTATGTGGAATACGCGACCGTGAATTTAAATATTGATCGCATGGTCCACCGGATACACCCAGGCAGTATAAAACGCGTGGTAAGTCTGTTTAAAACAGCTCAACGGGAACGTCCTCGCAACAACCTCGCATCCCAACCGTGTATCTGCACGCACCCGTACTGAATGCAGGCCCCAAGTCGACAGCGAAGTGAATTGCGACAGTTAGCATCGCACAAGAGACCTTCGAGGAACCGAGGTCGACTTCGTGGGAGCTCTGTGCTGACGATACGCGTGAACAAACGTTTGGTCGAAGATTCGTCTTGTGATGACGGCGAGGCTTTCTGAAGGCTGGGGAAGCCCCAAACAATGACGGTGGTCGCAATCAAACCGGCGACGACGCCCTTGATGTAATCCACTAGACCGTACCAGTACTAGTTAAAACTGAGGTAGCGTTTCTTGCCCTAGGTGCTTTTGTATACACGTACCGAGTCGGATTCATCTCGACGCGACAGGCTTGCGTGTCGGTGCACCTGGTTTTCCACACGAGAACAAGTGTGCTTGGCTACTCGACGACTGCTGCACGATCTTGGTCAGCAACTTTTGTTGGCGAATGTGTTTTAAACGTGTTCGGTTCGAAATGGTTTGAAACACCCTGGTCATTCCGTCCGGATAGCCTCGGACACGTTGACGAAATCGAATTCCGGATTCGGGATGCAGCGACCAGCGCCGGCGGCCCGCGAGGCGGCCAAGCTCGAGAAGCGTCTGTACCACCGCGAGAAGCAGCGCATGTACCGCCAGCAAGAGGCCGACGAGGTCCAGTTTTTGAAAACGCGGGTCCGCGACCTCGAGGCAGCGATTGAGCAGCACGCGCAGCTCCAAGCGCGTCGCCGTTGACGTGCACTGACGTTTTTATCTGCGTAGAAATCGCTCGACCCGTCACGGCCGTCGTGGCGCAACTCGACACTCTTGAAGGAGCCCGAAGCGCGCAAGCTCGGGTTTGAGTGGATCTCGCAGCAGCTCTACCACAACGTAGACCGTGTTTTGGCCGACTGCGGCTTTCCACCGCCCGCCGAGCAAACCTCGTTTGACGAGTTTGTCGTGCGCGAAACCGCAGACGATACGTTCCAGTACATGTGGCGGCACCAACTGGTCGTACCCGTGTCGCTGGACGTTGCGATTGCGAGCGCCCGCAAGTCGATTTACTATTACCTCTCGGGCGTCGTCTGGTCGCCGGGCAGCGGCATGTTTATCGACTCGGACGTACGTTTTCGTCGACCGATACGAGGCGCTTAGTAGACTACTAGATGCTCCAAGAAGTGAGTCCGACGATGCTGTACAGCCACACGGTGGTGAGCGCCGATGAATCGGTGAATTTGATGTGGCGCGAGTTTCCCGTCCGTGACAACCGCTGCGTCATGGTGAGCCAAAACATCCACGACGACGAGACGCTTCCCGCGATCAAGCGCCAGTGCAATCGCCAGTTCTGGTACAATGATATATATCAGATCTAGATCTAACATACAAGTAGGGTCACGATGGAGGTGGTGGACGAGACGCACACCAAAGTCCGCGTTCTGTACGTCAATTCGCAGTTTTTCAATAAAGACGGGTACGTGTCGATCCACGAAGAGGCGGCGTGCTGGGGCCTCGTGGACCTTCCGACCGACGCGACCGACGATCAGCTCTCGCATCGCTTCAAGCGCCACGCGACCGTGGCCGGGCAGCAATTTCTCCAGTTTAGTCTGCAGACCTTTAGCGGCAAAGTCTAACCGCAGCACTTGCACATGTCGAGTTGAACGTTAGCTTGTCAATTGAATGCATCAAAGTTCATGTTCATCGACATTACCGGAAATTGCCACTGACGCTCGCTGCTGACGTGAAGCAGCTCAACATGAGTTCCATGGTACGTAGTCTCGATACGTCGCTTCGCGTTGGCAGCCCATGTAGCCATATAGTGTTGACATGTGAAGAAGGCGGTTTTTGGTTAAGGACCCGTCAATGGCCTTGGCTCTCGTGCATCTGACACTCTTGCGTTCGATGCCCGGCGGGTGTTCCCTATTCTGATACGAAGGAGGTTAGAACGATGGAAGCCTACCCAATCAGGGTCCAGTACGATCTGCATCATAGACGTTGATTGGAAGAGAGCCCATCAATCAGACGCCAGGATTTGGTACCTTCGTGGCGCAGCATGCGGAAGGAGAGTCCGTGTTCATTTGACTGCCAATGGTCACCTGGCTCCTTGTAGCTAGAACGGGTCATGTCTGCACTGCCCGTAAAGAGCCTAGTACCAACGCGAGAAGAACTGAATCGGGCGATGTGTGCACACGACGGACGAGCGGGAAATGTAGCTCTTGCAGTCGGTCATTGCGACGAAGAGCGTCAAGGTACCGTCGCTCGTACTCTCTACTAGTACGACAGAGATAGAGACACGGATGTGATGGACCTCAACTTGGACACTCTGTCGAAACAAGAAACGGCCCGTGAAACCTAATGACACTCGAATCGGTGAGGCTCGCCGTGCTCGGACCGCGGCACTTCACGTCTGCGTAGCGCATCGCTGCGCTTGAGACGCACGTGAGAGATGTACGCGAGTGACGACGTCATCCTCTCGAACGCTAACACGCCACTAGCTTCAGTTGGCTCGGCCACCCGACACCACCGCGGTCTTGACGCTCGTGCATCGCATCAACCAGCTCTTTCTGCAGTGCCCAACCATCGCGTAGCCGTTGACGTATACGTGACTGGAACGCTTATCCTGACTAGCGACCATCGCGCTTTTGCAAAGGTACTGGTTAAAGCCGACCCGACAATCGTGTCGCGGCTGTTCGAGCTTCTCACGCAGGTGCTTGCACATCAAATGCTTGGCCGACATTGTCACGTAGGGGGATGTCGCTGCCATGGTGGTGGGGCTGCAAACACTCTACCACCTCAGCTGCGAGGCATCGAGTGCGCTCGACGTTGTAACTCGTGGCGGTGTCGAGCTGTGCTTTGGCCTCTTGCCCATGGCGACGTCCATGCTTTGCGCAATCCTGCTCGACGTACTCGACCAGCTCGTCGCCATTGCACCGGCAGCAACAGCGCGCGTCGCAACACTGCGTCACACGCGCCTGCTGCTGGCCAAAGTGCACGACGAGCGCACGACCCGCGTCTCCGAGGCCGTCGTCGCGTCGTGGATGCCAGCCGCCCTCCGCCTCTTGAATGGTGCGCTGCAGGTCCCCGCGGTCGCTGCCAAAGCCGCCAGTCTCAAGTACGTTGGTGCATCGATGACTCGTGTCATGACGCGGTGGATTTACGTAGTACGGCGCACGTGTATTCCCTCCACGCGCAAAGGTCTCTGCCACGACCGCTGGCACTGCGCGTGGAGCGTCTCCTGTGCGCCAGTGAAGACAAGGTGTGCACCTGACGACAGCGAGCATCAAGGCCCTTGCTTCCGTCTGTGGCAGTAGATGCCTCATACAGTGGTTGAGCACTGGATATTCATATCCACACAGCTCGCGAACCACTAGGTCGAGACAAGGCGATGTGTTTGTATCAATCTATCAGTAGATCGTCCTACGGGAAGACCGTTGGGATGGGACTGTACAGGAGCCTGTGGCCAGGGCTCCAGCAGTCAGCTAGTTTTAGTTTCCATTTTGCCTCTTAGTACACACGCCGGTGTTTGGGAGTACGGCCTCCCTTTGTCTGGCGTTTGAAGGCGGAAACGGTCACAAAGTCGACTTTAGCGACCAAGCAGCGATCAAGTTTCGCTCAAGAAGAAGACATGACGACCTCAGGACAAGCGGCGATGGCGATGAGCGGCGTCGTTGTGCTATCGCAGCTGGTGCATCCCGAGTTCAAGAGCATCGCCCGCCGCGACGTGGTCGTGTGGAAGCGGGCGCGTCTCGAATACGAGACCTCGATGCGGCGCGAATGCCAGCGAACGAACCGGAGCTACACATCGACGTGTGTTCCGATCCGCGACTCGTTCGCTCCCGTGGGGTATCTCGAGTTCCTCATGAAGAACAAGTGGGGCCTCTGGGACGACTACAACTTGCTGAACGTGCCTGAAAACGAGCTTTGGGGCGCGATCAACGGGATCATCGACAAGGAGACCAACAAGACGGTGCTCACGTACGACAAGGTTTTCAGCTCGCTCGCCCTCGACCACAACGAAGAAGACATCGAAGAGCGGGTCAACAGCTTTGTTTTCAAGGCCTCTCAAATGATTGAAGAGCATGGCCTCAGCGAGAAGCTGAGGCCATGCCTCAAGGCCAAGATCTTCAAGGCACTTGTCGATCGGCTCCGTCCCCAAGAGCTACAGACGGACGTGAAGCAGCTGATGGATGAGAAGATGGCGGCCAACAAACAGGCTGGCCTCAAGCACCTCGGGAAGATCATCTTGAAGCGAGCGCTTCTCTACAAGTCGTGGAGCCCCAAGACGAAGCGTCTTCGTGACAAGGAGTCGTCCGACGAAGACGAGAAACCGTCGCACGAGGAGCAGCAAGGTGCGCGCGGGAAGAAGAAGCGCAAGTTCAAGCAGAAGGACAACAAGCCGCCAGTGCAACAAGAACGCAAGAACGATGGCCTGGAACGTCCGTGCTGGCACTGCGGCAGCAAGAAGCACAAATTGCGGGACTGCCCGAGTTCGAACGCCAAGCAGAAGGCGATTGCTGTCAAGAAGAACTGGAAGGGCGGTCGTCGTGGCGGAGGCGGCGACGGCAGCAAACAAGGCGGCAACGAAGGCAACGGGGGCGGTGACAAGAAGAAGACCAAGTTGAGTCGCCTCCGAGCCTCTGGTCTCGACCAGCTCCTTTCGGGCAACGAAGGCCACATGGTTTTGACGCTCAACAGCGTTCTTGACGTGCCTTGCGTGCCGGACAGTGGTTGCGGTCTGAACATCATTCCCGCCAAGATGGTCGAGCAGCTCAAGCAGAAGATGCCCAACCTTGAAGTCATCAATTTGGACCAACCTCAGCTTGGGGTGGCTGTGGGCAAGACGGCGTTGCAGCTGGACAAGAAGGTTCAATTGCATCTCCAGCTCCACACGGCTGCCGGTCCCGTCAACGTGCCTGGTTTGCAGGTGTGCTACGTTGTCGATCAAGGTGACGAGTTTTTGGTGTCGAACGACGTGCTTGTGATCAAAGACGACTTGACGCACTACTGCGAGCTCGTGGCGTGTGACATGGCGGACGCGGCCTCGGTCGTGGACGCTTTGATGCAGTGGGCTGCGCGGTTTGACATGCCCCTCGTGTGGGTATCGGACCAAGGCAGTCACTTCAAGAACCAAGTGGTTGCAATGCTGGCCCAAGTCTACAAGGTCGATCACCACTTCATTTTGACCTACACGCCATGGCGCAACGGTACCGTCGAGCGCTTGAACCGCGATATTCTCCAAGTTTTGCGGGTCATGCTGCGCGAGTACCATCTGAACCTTGAGCAGTGGGAGTATCTCCTACCGCTGGTTCAAGCCAACCTCAACCAGACGCCAGTCGAGTCGCTTGGTGGTGTGTGCCCAACGCAAGCTTTCACGGGGCATGTGCCAGCTACCAACTTGGACATTGTGGTCCGCGACTTTGATGGTGAGCTCGTCCGTCAGGCAGACTGGACAAAGCCAGACGTCGTCAGCACGATGGCTGCTGCTCATGCAAGTTTGATTGACGTCCACAAGAAGATCGACGACCTGCGTCAACAATGCCTAGCGCGGGAGACCGCGGCGAAGACGCACCGAGAAGAGTTTGTCGCCCACGTTGGTGACTACGTACTCTGGTCGCGCGTGGAGAAGATGGAGTATCCGAAGCTGCTCGTCACATGGCTCGGCCCGTTCCAGATCACGGAAGTGTCGACGTACTCGTGCGTCATCCGTCATATCCTCTCGGGTCAAGAGCGCCATGCACATACGAGTCGCCTCAAGCCGTACGCCGAAGGCAGCTTTGAGCTCACGCAAGAGATCCGCGAGCACGTGTTCGAGCAGGGCGTGCTTTTGAAGATCCGTGAGATCAAGGCAGTACGGCTCAACCAGAGTGCCCGGCGGTGGGAGATCCTCTGCCTATGGGAAGGCCTGGAAGACATCGAAGCATCGTGGGAGCTGTTTACGTCGATCGCGACGGATGCCCCTGCGGTTGCTCGACAGTTTGCGGAGCAAGTCGCAGACCCCCGAGCGCGGGATGGTCTGGCTGATGAGCTCAAGCAACTAGAAGAACGGTCTGCAGCGTCGACACGACGACGGTCGTGACGTGCGGACTACCAAGAGAAGCTACCTAGTACGTGATCCCGGCGATCCTCCGGGCCGTGCGATGGTGACTCTTGAAGATCTTGGACCAGATCAAGAGCAGATTCTGACGGCGATTCTCCGGGGTCTGTTTTTGCGGTCTTTGATTCCTTGGGATTTGGGCTAAGCTGTCCTATAAATCCTTTGGGAGAGGGGTGTGTGGCAGTAGATGCCTCATACAGTGGTTGAGCACTGGATATTCATATCCACACGGCTCGCGACCCACTAGGTCGAGACAAGGCGATGTGTTTGT